AGACCACGAGATGAAAGTTTGATTGCGTCAGAAATTACTGCAAATGAGTACATTGACACTACTGAATACCTTTTTACATATGAGACATTGGCAATGAGAGACGACAAAACTTTATTGAGAGACCCAGATGGAGAAGCAGAAAAAGACAAATAAGAATGTGAAGTAATTGAAGACATCATTCAGGCACCAACTAGGAGCGAAGTGATACCAGCTTTGCCAATCTCTTGGTCCCAAGTTATAAAAGGAACATTAAGATTTTCATTTTCAATGACCAGCCAGTTGTATTATTTGAATTCAGATTGGTTTTTTTGAGTTAAATGGTACATGTATGGCTGTACATGTGCACAGAGGTTGGAGATAGCCTAAACAAGCCCACAACAGGTTTTTTAGGCGTGAACTGCGAAAGGACCCCCAAAAAACGTTATCTCTCGGTTTAACAAACTCCCGATATACGAAATATTTTCTGGTTCCCTTCAGAGTTCTTTATATTGGGATTCCACTGTAGTTACAACCCCATGGCACATGTAAGGCTTTGTTTATTTAGACAGGCTTATTGATCTTTAAGCTTTAAATGATTTGAACCGGATTACACTGTGGTTTACGAGTGTATCTTGCAAGTGCGATCAGTAAAATCCCGTTTTCTCAGGACTCACAATTCCTCTATATACAGTTTACTTTCTGTGCATTTTTCTAATCTGTATGCAAATACAAAACATTTTAGAAACTTTTACTAATAAAATGTGGGCAAAAATGTTCCAAAATTAAGAGACTTTGAATTGTGAGGATTTAGCTACCGTAGCTTTCTTACAAAATATAAACGTGCAATTAACCATTTAATTCATTCTAACACTAGTCAACAGATAAGTTTTCTTTATGGTGAAAACACAGTTAGAATTCTTAAATTTTGAGAACGAGATTGTCAGGAGAAGCAGACTAGAAGGGTTTATAAACTGCAGGATTACATATTAATTAACCTACCTTATTGTTAATGTTTTTCTCTTTAGTATGTTGGGTTTGACGTTAATAAAGCTTGTTTGATAAAATGTATTGATTGGACTAGCCTTGCTTATGTTTTCTTATGATAAAGTTATGTAGTCTAGTCCTTATACAGCTGACTGTATTATTAAGTACTTTGGTGCAATAGCACACCATTGCACGCCTTGGCACCACAAGGAGTGCGATTCATTGCACCCCTGCCATTTTATTCCCAGCATGGCCTGTTTCAGCATCTCAAGTAAGAAAAACAGTTTTGGGTCATTCCATGTCAAATCATCAGACCCATGTAACCCATGGTCTTAGAATTTCCTGATTTTTTTACCACAAAGAGCCATTTTGGAGAAAACAGCACATACAAAATTTCATCATTATATCTCTTACGGTTGCGATTTTGTAGCCGTTTCAAAAATGACCCGTTTTAGCCAAATATGCCACACCCAGTTTACCAAGCGATGGGCGGGGCTTTCTATCAATAGCTGTAACTTTTCTATAGTTATCAATATTTGCTTGAAAATAATGTCAATTATTGATTTGATACTGTAGATTTCAAATATTGCATCAGAATCTGCCAATTCTCTAAGGTGAAGAAGATAGTCATATGTTAAAGGTTATCACTTGTTTTGAAAACATTCCCAACCGATGTATATAAATATTGAAAAAAAGTCCTGTAGCTGGAATCATAGCATTAGAAGCTTGCTATATTCTGAAAGTGTATTCTTTGGGCTATCAGAAAATGTTTAAGATTACAATTGCAATTGAAGTATTTTGAGTTAATTGCACCTTACAAAATGGGTATAATCTTGCAAGAATCGTGAGCAAAAACAAATTTGTAATTAAGGTAATATTGCATGAAATAAAAATAGCTGCTAAAAACATTGAATCAATCATGACTTCACATTCAGAGACAACAAAGAATAATTAAAAATGATCCCTAGCCATGGACAAGCTGAGATACTGCTTTATAGTCACTGTAGCTGAAGCTCTAAGTTTGACTGGTAATTGTTTTGGATGAATCAGTTTTGCAAAGCATGTAAATGTGATACCCAGCATATGTATGATCTGCTTGATCATGTAAAGTTCTGAGTGGGTTCAGGTGGGTGCATGAAGTTCATTTGAAAGTCCCCTTCATCTTCATTAATGTCATAGCAACCCACCCGTCATTGTCATATAGGCAAGCAACATACTTTATCGTTCGAGTCCCAATGCCATTCTCTCCCTTCTTAGAAAGAAAAGCAATGTTTTCTGCAAAGTCTCTGTCATCAGAAAATTACTTGAAAGTAATCTTTTCATCTTTAAGTAGATAAAACTGTGGTGTAGCATGCAATTTTGCTTGTTCCAATGGGCTGACTGAATTTCATCTTAAAGGTAATGTGTCCATATAAAAGGACTGCGTATGCCCAACTTGTCAAGCCACCCATCAAAATAACGGTTTGCGATTGGTTAGTATTCTTGCGATGCCAAACTGCTCACATGAAAAGCTTACCTCGCAGCAGTATAGATAAACAAAATGACCGTAATGGCTGGGGCGATGACATGAAAAATCACATGTTTCTAAAAATGCCCGCAGAGTCGCTTGCCTTAGTTGGACACATTCCCTTTAATTGAAAAATTCATAGTTTTCGGCAAAGTCAGCCAAAAAACAATCATCTTCATTTCTTCCTTTCACTTAAGGTATTTTGACTGCCATTATGTAAGAAGAGAATGAGAGGTCAAAGCAACAATACACTTTACCAGCAGCTCAACAAAATGAGCAATACTCAAGAACCTTGTTACTATTTTTGATCTTCTAGTGTTATCACCTTGCTGAAATAGAACATCACTATCACCATCATGTAAACACTGATCAAGAAACCTTTTAAGTACAGACGTCCCTGAACAGTTGCCTCGTCTGTGCGCTATACATTGCTTACTGTCCTTGCAGCAGACAGTCATGTCTATCATATCTCTGTATGTCTTGTTAATGGCAACTGGAATTAATAAATTTTGATATGTAGTACACCCACAAACAGAATTTTTACAATCAGTTTGTTACACTTAAAGATGAAAAGATTGTTTTCAAGTAATTTTCTGATGACAGAGACTTTGCCGGAAACTTTGCTTTTCTTTCTAAGAAGGGAGAGAATGGCATTGGGACTCGAACGATAAAGTATGTTGCTTGCCTATATGACAATGACGGGTGGGTTGCTATGACATTAATGAAGATGAAGGGGACTTTCAAATGAACTTCATGCACCCACCTGAACCCACTCAGAACTTTACATGATCAAGCAGATCAGACATATGCTGGGTATCACATTTACATGCTTTGCAAAACTGATTCATCCAAAACAATTACCAGTCAAACTTAGAGCTTCAGCTACAGTGACTATAAAGCAGTATCTCAGCTTGTCCATGGCTAGGGATCATTTTTAATTATTCTTTGTTGTCTCTGAATGTGATGTCATGATTGATTCATTGTTTTTAGCAGCTATTTTTATTTCATGCAATATTACCTTAATTACAAATTTGTTTTTGCTCACGATTCTTGCAAAATTATACCCATTTTGTAAGGTGCAATTAACTCAAAAATACTTCAATTGCAATTGTAATCTTAAACATTTTCTGATAGCCCAAAGAATACACTTTCAGAATATAGCAAGCTTCTAATGCTATGATTCCAGCTACAGGACTTTTTTTCAATATTTATATACATCGGTTGGGAATATTTTCAAAACAAGTGATAACCTTTAACATATGAGTATCTTCTTCACCTTAGAAAATTGTCAAATTCTGATGCAATATTTGAAATCTACAGTATCAAATCAATAATTGACATTATTTTCAAGCAAATATTGACAACTATAGAAAAGTTACAGCTATTGATAGAAAGCCCCGCCCATCGCTTGGTAAACTGGGTGTGGCATATTTGGCTAAAACAGGTCACTTTTGAAACGGCTACAAAATCGCAACCGTAAGAGATATAAGGATGAAATTTTGTATGTGCTGTTTTCTCCAAAATGGCTCTTTGTGGTAAAAAAATCAGGAAATTCTAAGACCATGGGTTACAAATCTTAAAAATATCTGATGATTTGATATGGAATGACCCTTTTGTATCTCAGAACATTAGGTAAAATGTCAAACCTACCTGTATTAAACCATTTGCTGCAATTTTTCAAACATTTTAATGCACTTACTAGCACCCATTAAAGAAAAAGGCAGACCAGAGGACCATGGTGCTTTGCAAGAACATTTGTTTCTAACTTAAAACCTTTCCTCTAAAGTGCCCAACTCTGAAGTTCAAAATACAACTTCTGATCTGGTTTCTTGAAACTAATCAGACTTCTACTCTTAATTGGTAAAAAGAACTGCAAGAGTTGCAAAAACTTCTCTAAGATAATGTGTATGATTTAGAATCATACACATTAGCAGCAGCTAATAAATCAACTTGAAGCTTGAAAATTTGAAAAACTCTGAATGGATTCCATACAAATGACTACTAAATAATAATATAGTTTATGTAGGGACCTAATGCCCCAAAGTATCATTATTACTTGCACCTAGCATCAACACCTAGTATCCATAGTAACACAAGCAATGACGTAACACAAGCAATGACGTAACACAAGCAATGACGTAACACAAGCAATTACGTAACACAAGCAATGACACATTTATAAGTCCACACATCAAGAAAGAAAAGTCACAAAATAACATATCTTACTGGCTCAATGATGTTAACCTAGTTCCAATTCTCAACAAAAGCAAAATATACATCATTTAAGAGTTCCTGTTATCAATCATATTGGAAAAAATTTAATTTTCTTGGGCGCTCAAACCAAAAAATTGATTTATCTGACTGAAAATATGCTACCACTATCCTGTTAATAACCAATTCTAAATCTTGGCAGTAAACATTGTTGACAGTAAACTTTGTTGGCAGTAACTCAAGAAAAACAATTTTGGTTCTGATATATTGAACAGATAAAATGAAGATTTTTGAATATTTCATTAAAAGCTTTATTTACCTGTACTCCTGAGATTGCTTTAACAACTGTTGACTTTCCATGAGCCACATGTCCAATTGTACCTATAATTTACAAATGTCCCATAATTTACCATCAAATAGATAGATTGGATATTTAGAAAATTAAGAAAAAAGAATAGAAAACTAATGCTATGGAAAACAATAAAAGATACCATATAATAATCATTGATGTAAATGTCATAAGTTAAAAAATAATATTTCAAAGTTTTCTACATATGATTATAACCGATATCAAAGCAGACAATCATACAAGCTTTGTTGTTATATGCTTAGGCACTTTAATAGAATATGACAACCATTATTTATCTAGAAACAATGGCATACACTTGGTCATATGTTGGGGGGGAGGGGGCAAGCCTTTTGTTTTAATAAGATGGTGTCACATTTCCCATTGTTTTAGAACAAAAGACTATTGTCCTCTAAAGTATGGGGGCAGTTGCCTCCCTTGCCCCACCCCCAGATGTCTGCCACTGACTAGATAGAAACCACACTGTAATCATTTGTGTTGTCCAACTTTACTCTGAGAAAATACACCTGAAGATACACAAGAATTTATACCCAGGTTTCTACTAATGGCCCTTTTCACTGGTTCTCTACTAATGACCCTAATATTTCTAATCAAATTCGACATATTCTCCTAAGGGTAAAGTTAATTGGTGAATTTAAAAAAAGATCAGTCCTTTGGCTATTTCGGAAAATAATATTCTCTGTAATCCTGACAAGGCATTAGGCCTTTTTTAAGTGGCATTTAGAAAAAAAGATAAACATTTTAACACATCACAAAATTCACAATACAAATCAGTAAAAATTTTGCTCTTAAAATAAATGAAGGTTAGTGATATTTTGCACACCTTGAAAGCAGCAGGCGTATGCTAGGCCGAAGCCCAAGAAAGCTTGCCAAATGACTATTGATTTGAAAACGACCTCAATTTAATTATATGCTTACCAATATTTATAGTGGCTTGTCTGCTAATAACCTCAGGAGACAATGGGTGAAGTCTTGAGACATCCTAAAACATGTCAGGAAATTAACAATTAGTTTAAAGAAACAAAGAAGATATATGAAACTAAATATCATGAAGGCTCTTGTGCAGCCTGTATGCTTAGCAGTAGCTGTTTCTTACACTAGGAAGAATTGATGGTGTTCTGTATTTTCATTGCAGAAGGATATAAGGTTAGTTTTAGAAGTATAATGGCAAAGGTTCTTGTAGGCAAATTGATCTCCTTCTAGAATTCTTTTTGGGAAAGTCAGTAGTTTGTTTGCTCTGGGAACAATGACAGCAATGTGACATTAGGTTTAATTTCTTTTTCATGAGTCATTTTTATTGTTCAAAGACCAGAAAATTTTAAAAGAACTACTTTAACAGAAAATTACTTTAGAATGTCGATGATTTTATCAACAAAAATAGCAATATAGAGTTTAAATAAACTCAAGCTTACGACAACAAGGAAAATCTGGCCATTATTCTTGTATTCATTCCAAAACATTTGAAGCGATATGGTCCTTAGTTTTGTTCGAGCAACGAACGAAATGCCAGTCGGTTATATTGCTTGATATTGTTTGACACTATAATTAATTATAGTTTCAGTATTTTTAATATTTGGACAATTTATTATTCGCTCGCGCAGTTTAGCGAGGCCTGCTCACTATACTACCTTACTTTGACCTTATGCTACATTATGCTACAAAGCACTGTGATAAAAATATAATTATGGGATCAACTTGCTCTTTTTGTATTCGAGCACAAATATTTGCCTGTTTTTCATTACTATACTTATTTGTGAGATGGAAAACCAATAAAGAGGGTCTCTCACTACTGGGAAAAATTCAAAATCAAATAAAGAAACAGAAATTAAATAAAATAATTGCCCGAAACTTAAGCATAAAAGCTTTTGAAAACATCACAAAGGTTGACAGAAGCAGTTCAGTCATTTGAAGTAACAATACAATAAATAAATATTGGACTTAGATACAGAATCTTGACTTCACCAAGGTATGGTAGCAGACCTATCGATGGAAGGCCTAAAATAAATCGGTAACGGGAATTTAATACTCACAAGAGTAGACAAATCCTGTTTGGCGAGGTGCGGTTGCATGTTCTTCTGGATACTTTCTGCTTCGTCTGCCATCTTGAACAATTAATCAAACTTAATATAAATAGATAATAGGCCAAATCCCGTGTTCTTTACAGCTTCCTATAATTCGAGTGCATCCGCCATTACGCCTTTGAAGAGGCCACATGAATTCAAGAGCCTGATTCTGATGCAATCGAAATGTAAACGAGGCTTCCTGAAATTTAATCGCTGGTCTCAGACTTTTAGGCACAGTCAATAGAAAAACGACGATAGAAAATATTTTCAGGCCCCCGAAATTTTAATTTCAAACTGGGAGTTGGGTAGCCTGCGTCACAGACCAAAAACTTCACGGAGTTGCGCTGATCATATCGATTTCGATTTTCGCACTGGCAAAAAAGCCACCGCTACGAAAAATGCTGCTTGAGAAAGTTGCTTGTCCAAATATTTCGAAATAGATAAAAAATACTGAAAAAGATTTACCACGAGTCTAAAGGGCGTGGCCGAAAAAAAATCGTTTTTTGTCCACCCGTTTTTCGACCTGGCGACTAGGCCGTAAGCTGTGTCAGATTTTTATTTGGTCTCGTTGCCCCCATTCCGGCACTACGTTTAATAAGCATTTTCCTGTGTGTTTTTTCGTGCTGATTACGAATCTTCTTGTTGTCAACTGTTAAAACCTGCAATTCTCTTGAAATTCAGCTCCAAACTTTACCATTCCCGCGCTTAAGGTGTATAACATGGAATGCCGAAAGCCGATGCTGCTTTATTATTTTCGGCCCTATATCACAGTCCGGGTAATACCTAAGTACCAATTGCTTTAAAATAAACATGGCAGTCGGCTAAACAAATTTCTCCTATTATGGTTCGTTGTTTGATACATTCTTGACATTATTGCTTTCCAGTTGCGGACCAATTGTTTTAGACATTCTTACTTTCCAGTAGCGGCACCAAGGGGTAGTATGGACGGTTACCCCCCCTCCCCTCTTGCAAAAAATTGTCCAGATATTCTCCTGAAATTGATAAAAAATGCACTGGGTAGGGGCAGGTCATATTTTTCAAGATTTGTCTATGAAAATGCACCTGGCATAAAAAACAATTAAAATGAGACAGTAAAGGCGTAGTCTCCTGGGTCACGCCCATAACCCTCCCACTCTGCTACAGCTGGCGCCACCACTGTTTTATTTTTAACGCTTTTACAAAGCTTAAATAGCTGAAATGTTTTTCATAAAATTATTGATTTCAACCTGATGTAAGAAAGTAAAGTACAAAAATCATAAAGGGATGACGTCATCAACTATTCAAAACCTGTATACGAGAACAGGGCCGCGGAGAGAATTTATGGGCCCCGGGTCAGGACAAAAATTAAATTATAAAGCATGCCTAAGGCAGACGCTTCTAGGAGGTATGGGAATGCTCCCAGAAAATTTTTGCAAATTATGGTTGCTTAAACTGCTAGGGTGGCTATTTTGGTTGCTAAAATTGTCATTGTGGCTAAACTGCGCCGGTGGCTAAACTGCGCCGGTGGCTAAACTGCGCCGGTGGCTAAACTGCGCCGGTGGCTAAACTGCGCCGGTGGCTAAACTGCGCCGGTGGCTAAACTGCGCCGGTGGCTAAACTGCGCCGGTGGCTAAACTGCGCCGGTGGCTAAACTGCGCCGGTGGCTAAACTGCGCCGGTGGCTAAACTGCGCCGGTGGCTAAACTGCGCCGGTGGCAATGGTGTAGATAGAGGGGGTCAGAGGGAGCAAAAACACCACTATAGAGCTGAACTGCTATTTTGTCGGAAAACCTCTGCTTTTTCAAAAATTTAGCATGGTTCTATGTTTATCTAAATGCTATGTTTTGATGGAAAAAATTTGAATCTAAATAAACAAAAGAATATTCAATATATCAAATGATCTTTTTTCAGTTCTGATGTCGTTATGTTATGTTGAAATTTATGAGAAAGATATAGAAGCTTGTTAGATTTTGTCGGAAAATCCATGGTTCTCACCCCTCCTGTGAATTAGAAAGAAATAGAAAATAACAGGTACAAGATGATACGTTTAAATAACTGAGAATAAAAAACAAATGGGTTAGGCGCAAGACTTAGGGATATTTAATGGAAGAGATATGATTTATCACAAGTACATTTTTTACCTTAGGCAACTGTTTATTCTGTTTCCTTTCATATCGCACTGCATTATTCAACCTCACACTTCGAAAATACAATCGAAATACAATGTACGCCTCCAATATCATACTTACCATACCTGATAACTGATATCTGATACCTGACAATTTGAGCATAACTGATATCTTAGCACCATAATGCATGAAAATGAAATTTGCTTAGAAATTCTTAAAGGCTAGAAAATGAAAAACGTTCCATTCATTAACTAAATTGGACCACAACCGACACACTGTTGCAAATAGATGCGAACGCCATAGTGTAAATCTGTATGACATACATATTGCCCTGTATGTTACCCTGCAATCACATTTCGTAACATTCAGAAGCTTTTGAACTTCTTTAGCCCTAGCCAACAAAGATGAGAAATTCTTAACAAAAATTTCTTCACGACTTCATGGACCTTTATCATTATTGTCTCTAATATTATGTTTTGTTAATCTTGATGGGGAGGCTGGATTATTACTTAGAAACTTTGTTCAATTGAGTTATTATTTATGGGCCCCCGGGTCAGTGACCCCCCCTCTCCTCAGCACTGTACGAGAATAACCTGTACAGTATGAGCAAGCTTACTCGCATTTGCCAACTGTAAGCTCGTTCATGCTGCTAACTACGGTGTTAACTACAAAAACAGATGGTTTTCACCATAATACACGATGATATTGTGATGACGTCATCAACCGTTAAAAGGCATCTTCTCAGACACGAAGCGTTTGACAACGCTCTAAGTTGCACGTTTATATACTAACGTAAAGTGATCTAGCTAGTGAGGGCAGTTTCTGTGTCAAAAAATGTTTTTTAAATAATTTGACTGTATCGATGACGTCATAAAACCTAGAAATTATTGACCCCCGTATCTCACGAGTGCATGTTTGTCAGAGTGACAACAATTAATTTTATATTAAGTAACACATTATGAACAAGAAAAAACAGTCGTGAAGTTGAGCCCGGATGCGGGCAACGAAAATTGATTTTGGAGCACCTTTTTTGGTCACAGCTTACGGCCTAGACGCCACTGATCACACATCACGTTAGCAATTAATTTTTGATTGTCTTCACAACTTTTCACGTCGATAGCAAATAAAATTTTTTAATGTTCCTTAATGTCTATAGATTACTTTACTTCAAAATTTCTAACTGTATCCGTATGAAAAATAGCTACTTTTCAGAATTTGACAATACATTTGCGTTTTTGAAAAGCTGCTATATAAACTTTACCAAAATACCGAGATGTAGGGGAACTCTTAAAATTTTGCATCCAGGCAATGAAAAATTCCCGCATTTTATTTTCTAAAATTTAACAGGTCTGTTTTTCTCCTATTTTTAAAATCTACGTATCAAAGACAGTTTCTACGTAGACCAAACCTTTTCCCATTAAAAATAGCAATGCAATTTTCACGAATAAATCTCAATCTAAATTCTCCCTGGATAACGTGAAGTCCGCAAATTCATGTGTCATATTATCATCATTAACGTGAAATCCTATTTGAAGTTGTGAAAAGTACACACTTGTAAAGAGCAAATATATACAAATATTCCTGAACCCAAGAATAACATAATCCACTGATTTAGAGCAGCAAAGTCAGATGAACAACTTTGGTATGTAACAGAAATACACTATAACTGTTGTGAAAATTTGAAGTATAGGATTTTTACTAGGTGTCATAAATTCTCTTAAAATCGATCTACTGAGTATCGAAGCAGAATTCGAAAAGAACAGAAAGATCTTCAATACAGCAGTTTGCCTCTCCTAGTTGACAAAAACATTTGGTTGGAATGTTGGATACAACAGACTTTGTGTTTTGTAGAATACTCACAAGAACTGTTACCTTATCACCAGGCATTTATCGCCATTCAGTACCGAAATAAAAAAACATTGGCAAAGGATTAAAACTTCTTGACAAATACCTATTGACTATTTAGACATCAATAATCATAAATAATCAAACGATGAGCAAGTCTATGAACTGTAGAACTCTTTTCTTTGTGAATAATCATAGTTTTACAAATCGATCACTGAAAAAATTATACGTTACACACAGATTATACGTGACTGGAAGTATTGCAAAGTTGCGTAAACAACCCACAATATTGCCCAACAATTCAACCAAAATTTCAGTTCTCGATTGCTTTATCAAGATGATTCTTTAAGATCACTTCAATTGCAATATCATCGCAAGAATGTTAGACGAATGTTGGGTTTAATGCAGAATCGTTTAAATCAGGCAAAAAACGATATGTCACTACAAGAAACATTTACAGAAAGCTGGTTCCCAGAACAGCAAATCATGATGACTCGTTTATTGATTGCATCGCTGCATGCTGCAGAAATGCAGCAAGATGACCAATTTAGCCTTTGAATCGAACTTCGTCGCATGAACTCTTCAGTGCCAGTTATCAAGGACCCAATGCATGATGGTTTGTCTGAAGATCTGACAACTCCTTCTTGGACTCCTTCTTCCTTCTTCTTTCTCACTTGCATTTTGTCTATCTTTGGAGTTTGAACAGTTACAATGTTCCTCTGTTGACAGAAATAAATCTAAACTATCATCTTCGATGCAGTATTCCAGTGGAATCTTCTTTTAATACTCGATGGAAATCTAAGTGAAAAGGAAACAACGTGTTAGAAAAGCAGCTTGTGGACAATTCTTGAGTCAGTTTCAGTGACACGGATCTGAAAATTTTCACAGATATGGGAATTTTTTGTACAGGGATCTGACGAGAAGTTCTTGTCCCACCACTAAATATGTTTTATTTTTTCTTTTATCCGTATATAGATGATATAAACAAGTCAATAGGAAGAATGACTTCTTTGCCCAATCAAGTTCGTCTGATTTGATCAGTAATTGTGAAACAACAAAGCACACCCGCAAACAGGTTTTCAAATATTCCTTAACGGCGCCTGGGCTGTGGATATTTGCTTCCTCACCAACTCTAGATATTACGGATATTACCCTCACAGGGCCGGCGAAACCGGGGGGGGCGGGCGGTGGGGCCATGGCCCCCCACTTTTCTGCAGAGCTGAAGAAAAATTTTAGGCAAAAGTGAAAATAAATGTAGTATATGATTTTGTAAGTATCTTTGCCTAGTATTCTCTTAAATGTGTCCATAGCTTCACCTTGGTTGCTATGTCTTTACCATAAAAGACATTGAATAGGGGAATTAGATCGAAGAATCGGTCATTGTCTAAGTTTTACAACGAGTGACAGCTTGGCTTAGCAAATAGATCGGGAAGCCTAGTACAGAATAACTTAAAGCCAGCACAAATTGACGGAGTTTCGTTTTCACAATGGCCTAAACTTAGCACACAAGGTCTATTTGTTAACGAAAACTTTCTCAGAAACATTACAAAAAGAGAAAAATCAGCTGTTGAAGGAAAAGAAACAGCTGGAAAGAACTTTTTTGAGGATATGAGAAATAAAGTATGATCAGATTTGTTCCGAAAAAGTATCACCAAGAAAACTTCAGTGTTTAATCGTTTGGATAATCCATTCCTACTAAGAAAGAGAAAATATCGACGCAATTATAAATTCTATTTAAACTAATTTAGACAAGCCCAGTTTGAAGGCTTTTCAAATTTTTTTAAAGCACTTAATTTCCGAAAAAGTTAAGATCTGATGTTACAAAGTTATATCTTAACTGTATAAAATTGCCTAACTTTTTATTTTTGATTGATAGTTCTTCTGTTGATATTTCAACGTTAATGTTTTTTATTAATCCGTGTTTCATTTTTTTTCTCCCCAATCTTATTTCGGGTACTTTTAAAATCTAAAAAAAAGGTTTCATTACGAGTTATATGATAATGGTTATTCTAAAACTTTGCAAAACTTTTCTATTTCAAGTCAACATCACAATAGACGCGACTATGCGACACCTTCAGTCAAAATTCATTTTAGATACAGTTTCTGGCCATCCCTAAGACACCATAATTCTACAATTTTCTTGCCGCCAACCATGGTGGCACGGCCATTCCTGAGCCCTTTTAAGACTTTGATATTTTGGCCCCTCCACTTTCAAATACGTTTCCCCGGCCCTGCCTCAGGTAGAAAAATTTAAACAAACACAAAGGAGAATTACCATTACTTGTGAAAGAATAAAATTTGTCTGTAATGATGTAACTGCCAAGTCTCAAGAGGAAGACTGAATTTTAGTCAGACATATTTGTTTTTTTTGTAAAAAAGTAACTTTAGTAAACCATTTTCTAATCTTTACAGTTAGAGGAATAACCAAGTGACCAAGGGACCCAAATGACCGCGACTATTGTTAAAAAATTAATGACACTGTTGAAAAGATCTTAAGAGAGATGACTTTAAAATTGATGAAGTTTTTGGTTTTGGCAATGGATAGATTCTTGCTTATTCCTTTCTAAATCAGTTAATATTTTAGAAGTGTGTGGTTTGAGCAGAGAAAGTTTTGAGCGAATCGTTACAACATTCGAAAAGTGCCAACTACTATTACAGATTTAAAGCAGCATGATTGCAAACAATTTTGTTTTTGTCTCCAACTCTAGAACATTTCCACCAACCCTGAATGTTCGCATAACCTACTCAATAACATAGATGAAGCTAGACTATTCTGAAAATCTTACCAGCGGCCGTACGCAGAAATCTTCATTGGGAACTTACTCGTAGACGACTGTTCTGCATTGCTCAGCAACGACTTAGATCTAAAACAAATCAACCTTCGTCAATAGTGGTTTGAAATAGATCATCTCACTCAATGCAGAAGAAGGCAAGACCTAAATGAAAATGGTCACTCCCCGGCCTGGGGGAGTCGGGCACTGTTGAGACATGAGGAGGCCAATCCAACAAAAATCTAGGGGCAACCGAAAGATATCACATCAACCCCACAACTTGAAGATTGCATGGACGAGTGAAACAAAGCACGCTCAAGTACTTTCTTTAAAATTGTCGTGAAGTATGACATGTTTCTGTTCTCAGCACTATCATTGAATCTTGCTGGCACAAAAGGCATATTTGACCCTAAAAGCCCTACAGCAACCCCACTGTACATACATGTTGTATTCAAATCTAGTTATCAGGAAATTGCAGTGCCTTAAATTTCAAAATTACAGTGTCTTAATTCAGCACCTAATAATGTCATATCTTCTATTATAATATACCCAAAAATACCAAACCCGATAGAATGCAGACCATAAAATATCTGGCTTACCCCTACGTATGTTAAAACATTAAGAACTGCCGTTGGATGCCAGAGGCAGTTAACTGGGGGGGGGGGAGAGGGGGAAACATTGGGAAAATGCCTTTACACATCCTGCAAAGAAAATAAATTCTGTTTTTAGCACTCTAAAAGATACTTTTCCTAACCTGGGTTGTTTCTAGCTGATGCTGTACAATTATTTGGTATAGCGACGTACCTCTAAATAACTATTTGGTGATGTAACTTGACAGCGAAAAGGGCTTCGTAGGTGCTGCCAACAGTAAACCAGAAATCACGAAACTTTAATCAAGCCAACACGGCAGTTGCAATCCCATGAACAACAGAAATGGTTTTCTTTAATTTTATAATTTTCAACAGACACAACATACCGACAAAAAAGCCCAACTGGCAAAACTAGGGCACTTTCAGTGAAAATAAGCTCTGTGGGCTAACACCGAAATTTGATAATGGGCGCATGATGGGCATTTGGGCATTTGATAATGGGCATTTGATAATTTCATAACAGAAAAATCTATTTTAAAGCTTTTAAAGAAAAATAGTTGGTAGTTCACCCCTCCTTCAAGGCAAAATAAATTTTTCATTGCTGAAATTGGTAGAGACCGTTCAGCTTTTCGATTTAAAGCAAGTCTATGTTTCCGTGCTTTCAGAAGTTAACACTAGCGTGAAATTGCCCTTGGTACTAACTGGGAGACAATTGTCCTTCAGCAACAGTGACCCTCCTTGGTGTATGGCAACAAGCCATTGTTCTCCTCCTTTTTCATAAGCAACAAAGACTCGACCCTCCATCCAGCCTGACCCATTTTGGCGTATTATATATTGCGACTGAACGCAATCTAATATTGAAAAGTACTGATACCTTTTACAGTTTTAAAATATTCAGTTCAAAATTATCTCGGGAAGAATTCAAGGTGCTGTGAAAATCTTTTCTTTGGTGCAGCATAAAATTTAAAATAGATGACATAATTAATGACTCTTGGCTGTCATTAACATCTGCAAAAAAAAATTAAATAAGGAGAAAAGTAAAAAAGAAACTGTTATCCCGTGGTGTAAAAGGTGTGTAGTCCAAGGCGCCTTATTTTTGAGGAAGCACAGTTCGTAAAGCCGCTTTGTGGCCATTGGAACAGTACACTTTGGCTCACAATGATCTTGGCAAGCGGGAGAAATCGGTAGTCGAGGGCGAATCCGACAGGGGTTGTGGAAACCACCCCCAGCTACCGATTGGTCGGTAAAATCACCTGGAAGTAATGAAAGTGGACAATATTTCAACTCTCTTTCAGCTGTAAATTTTACTTCTCATACCTCCACTCTAGTTAGATGTAATCGCACGGCACAAGTTGCAGTTGTCCCTTTTTGTCAAGGAACACGGGGTGCAGGTCTAAAGAACAGGTTCAACGTTGGGAAAATTCTACTTTGACAAAATTACGGGAAAATTCTACTTGGTTACTTCTAACTGCGTGGAAAAATCAGGCTACCTCTGCAAATTGTAACCTCTCTTTATTATACTTTTAGAATTTTTCACGCGCTATGGTGGTCGTGAATATTTTTCCTAAATGTGCTGAGACGAATCAATAAATTCGGTTAGTGTAATAGCTCTAATACGCCGCCACCCCTGGAGGACTTACTCGATTTTAGATCTTCTTGAGGGGCTTAAAGGGGAACTGAAGTGAAAAACGATTTTTTTACCACTGATAAAGGTTCCCGTGCTGATTCCAAAACCGTTTGAATTTTTTTAATACGTTATGTAGTTTTTAAGTTATTAAGTTTTTAAAGTCAAAATTTGCCCTCATCGATGGCGGAGCGAGAACGCGGTCGGACCACTGTGTCACGTGACCTTGTGACGTAAAGTGGTGGACACGAAGAGATGTTTTGATGTAATGTAGTAGTGAGTTTGATAAGGTTCATGACAGATAACAATCGTGAAAATTGTGATAAAAGCATGAAACTTGGTGAAAATATAGAATTCGGTATGCGTAACAAGATAGAATATAGAATCATTTTGGGAAAAAAACCCTTGTGCTATTTTTAGCCTGGGGTACTTGTGCCCAGTACTCAGAATACGTTAGTATGGTAAATCTATTTCTGTTAACTATACAGCCATGAAACTTGGCAAACCCACATAATTTACTTGCAGAAAATGATTGAGTGGTCCCCACTTCAGAAATACCTCTTTCGCTAGTTTTAGAATGGGGGTCCTGTGCCCAGCACTTAGAGGACATAACTATGATTAATCCATTTCTGTTAGCTGTAGAGCCATGAAACTTGCCAAACCTACACAATTCGGTTTGCAAAAAAAGACAAAAGCAGTCCCCCACCTCAGAAATACCCCTTTAAACATGATTTCTCATGCTTTGTCTATAGAACATGATATCAAAGCATTTTCTGGTATAACTCCAGGCACAAAAAACAATTCATACCAGGATGTACATAAAGGAGAAGGATTTAAAGCACAACCATTAAATGATGTATATGTTTCCAAGTTTATTAAAAGACCTTATCTTAACAAAAGATATGTCAGGGTTTCTATCTCATAACTGTTCTATGAAAAATGTTGAGTTGAAGCAAATTTCAGAAAAATATAACCATTGGGCACCAAAAAACTTCATTCTCAAAATTTGAAAACAGTGTATCTAACAACAGGCAGTGACAGAATACATTAAAAGAACATTGTACTGTGAAGGTAAAACATTTTCTTCTGATTATGTATAAAAAATGTTACCAAGCAGGTGGTACAGGACCATTATTGTAAGAGAAAAACTTTATCAAATCCAAACTATTCTACACATTTTGATGTGAGTAAAATATCTTGAAAAATATACCTTAGGAATCTTGAAAATATCAAGCCTTGCTCAATCCCCAACCCCTTCCCCCCTTGATGTGACTAATCTAGTTATTTGGCCTAGGGCTGACAAGATTTGGCCATTGCCCCACTAGTTTTAACAAATTTCTAACTTATAACATGACCCCACTAGTTCTAAATTTCTCTTCTTGCTATTATGAACTGAAAGTCTGGTCCCTTTGAATAACCCCTGTATATAACCCTGTACTCCACTGTATATGTAGTAGGTAGCTGAGTTTTGCATTTTCATTGTCTCTCTGCAGAATTTTGAAACCCTTGTCTTCTTTGACTAAAGTTATTTTCTTTACATTTTGTGATAAATTCATACTTAAAGTTGTCCAGTTTTTCCAGCACAAATATCCAAAAACCAGCAAACCATCCATTGATCGGCCACTGTTTGTAGATACCTAGCAAAATGGATATAATTTTAGGTATTAATCTATTTTAGGCATATTTATGCAATTCTATTAAATATTTGACATTTTCGAATTATCAGTCCAAAAATCTTAATTGCAGTAAGATTTAATAATACTTGTCAATGTACAAAAAACAAGCCAGTTTTTAAACCAAAGTGGATTAGGTCGACCTGTTCCGTGCTACACATCAAACTATGTATAAACGTTTTATATCAAAGCAAATATTTATTAAATTGTAACATGTAATAATCCTTATTATTTCAGATTTTAGAAATGGAAAGATAATAATATGTAGCAGCCTACATTCTCAGTTGTATCTTACTTTTTATAAGGAAATAAGGAAATTGTGTTTGAGTTGTTCTTGCCTTCATTGTCAGAAAAGAAACAAAGATCGACGTACCATTGATTTACTTCCTCATTTCTACCGACAAAACGAGCACGTCGCGGGAGCTTAATTCATCCTCAGCCTCTGGGATCTCATCGGGCCTAGGCTAATCTTCATCGCCACTTTCGCAGTTCCCGTTCGCCCTTGGTAGGGCAAGTACTTCACCACCACATGCTCCAAATTCATCGTCCAAATCCAAAGTCTGTTGTCATTCCTGAAGAGCTGTCGTGAAAATTGCGAACTGAAATTCTAACCACTAACCGAATTCCCTCCCTCCGATTCACTCTACTACCTACTACACTGTTGTTTTCGTTGCGATCGGGGCACGTGTCCACGACTTTACGTCAGCGCCTGAAACTTGTCTCCAGACCTCTCCGCCACCGAAATGGAGAAATTTCACACTTCGCGTGGTGAATGCAGGAAAACGAAAAGAAAAACACTAATTTCGTCTCGATATTCGAAATCAGCACGATGAAAACTACTAAATAATTGATTTTCATTTTTCACTTCAGTTCCCCTTTAAAAGAGGGGGCAAAAAGAGAGGGGGCTCAAAGAGAGAGGCCTAACTTAAGATCGATATCAGTATCAATGATGAATAACACATTAATAATTAATTAAGGTCTCTATTAATAAACTGTACGGTGGTTTTAGCAATGTTGCACTTATAATGGTCTATCAATACTTCTATTGTGGAAACAAGAATATCTCAATGACTGAAAATAGCAAAATTAGTCTTGAAGTATATCGTCACCTTGGTACCAGTCTTGTAGACTTTGAGATTTGAGCCAGAGAACTTTTACAGTAACTGTCACTCGTGATTCGAAAAACGGTTATACCGGAATTTGAATTTGCTAAAAAATGAGTTTCATCCAATGTTGATCATTAAGTTTCATCTCATTCAGGGCACTCTTTCAAATTACTTTCTGGTTTTTAAATCTTTTGGTCTCTTACAGATTTTTATCTTATCCTGGTCGGCCAACACGACAAAATCTTCTAACACGGCGAGGGGCAATTCACCCTTGTAAACAGCGTGGGAGATTTTCACGAAAACAAAGCAATTTATCTAGATTTTCAGATAAGACGATAGGATTTCCAGCAAAATGTACGAGACTTTTAAGGAGTGATTTACCCCCCTCGAAAACAGGCGGGGGTTCCCCCAGAGAGTTCTATAAACTGGAATTCTACTAAAACATAAAACCAGAATATTTTTGAAAGTTCAATTTACTCATGAAACTCTAGGCTAGCTTGCACTTTTGAAATGTGTGAATCCTTCTATAAGTTTGCCTCCATTCATGACAAAGTTATGGGGACTAAATACCAGCATAGATCTTTGGGTAGCCATATTTGGAAAGAGTTGTCAATAAAAATTATTGCAGTTTTCTTCACAATGATGTTTCCCGAAACTGGACATATCCTTAGACACTGTTGCGTCGATTCAACATGATTGGTTTTGACTATTACAGTGAAACCACGATGGCCATTTTCCAAGACGTGTAGCCCCTTACGTGCAACCGTCCAAGTAAATTTCTTTGGCATGGGTGAACATTTAACTCGCGTCAGAACCGGAGCTACTATTGTCTTTGGGAGACTCCAAAAAAGTGCCCACCAAAAAAGTACAAAATCCGGTGTTTCTTATGAACAAGACCTTTCACTGTCATTGTTCTAAAAAATGACGCCCTCGAATAATTCTACTCTTTCTATCCGGGAAGATAAAGAGAAATCTAACCTATAGGGGGGTAAAAAGCAAACTTGGACACAGAGGCATTGTTTAAGGGGAAACAAGAGGGCTAACCCACAGATAGGAGCCGTTAACAACCAAATCAGCATTACTCTGTTCTTTCAATATTAAGGTTTAGACATTTTCTTTGAAATGCAGTCTGGGTTGCAAATGGTTTGCATTCAACATCACGAAAAAAGACATTTCGGACGCTTGTGTCTTTCATTTGATCATGAGGTGGAACATACCCGCAAACAATTGATAAAACATTGCATTCCAAAGAATCAACTTTGTCCAATGCTTATTTCCAAAGTTGTCACCCTTCTTTTCTTATTTGAAGCGAAGTGGAAAAATAATCTTCATTTGTTGAAAATCTTAATCTTCGGGCTTTCGGTTATCAGAATCTAAAGTAAAATAAGGTCCATTGCACCAACAGCAAATCTCAGTCGCAAGAAAGACGGTTTTTATTGTCTTCTTACAAGCAAATGATTTACCAAGACCTTATGACAGTCCCCACTCCATGTACCTAACACACCATCAAAGATCAAGTATGTATAGGACCACCCAACATTAAAGGTTGTTGATTTCCAACATGAAGAACAGGCAACTGATGCCTTGCAGGCAAGAAACAAATCAAACAGCGTTACAAAGATGGTTAACAATCATACTCTGCATTTAAACTTCTTCTATCGGAAAAATTAAACAGAGAATTCATGGATACATAAAAAATCATAGCAGCTCGACATACATAATTTTGAATTGCCAATAGTCTTGGAGTCTTTAAAACCTGCTAGAATCTCTAGTAAGAAATACGGCTTGAAGAAACTTCTCATATACACCCACATTCTTCTCATTTTTCTGTTTGTCTAACTGGTTACAGGCTTGATAAAGTGCTAGGAATTTCTGAAGGATGGCAACCAATTGGCATTTCCCTTTCTATAAGTTTCAGCTCAAATATCAAAACAGAATATTTCAGCAACTCAAAACTGTAATTAACCCAAGTATAACGGCTTTCAGAAAATCAACTGTCAGTAAACACATTAAAAGAAAAGGGTAAGGGGACCAACTCCTGAATATAATGGTTTCTCACCACAAGAAATATTTGCAGCTTTTTGTAGAATATCTGTAGTTATGATTTTGGTATATTTGCAAATTAAAACAAAGACTCAATTTAAAATCCGAAAGACGACTAGTATGGGAGCTTTGGATAACGTAATGATACCTTGGGAGTGGTATCTTAAATACGATGATACACTGAATGCAAAATGTATTTCAGAAACTCTAAAAGTACCACGGAATGAAAGTATAATAATAGCTCTTGAGGTCTTTTGTCAGTAATATCTGGTCTGTAATGGCACAATCTTGCGCAATAGTACAATGAACCAACTTTGTGCCTTTAAGGAGCAAGCAGAAGCAACAAAATTAAGCCTTTAAACACTACTCAAATGTTTAGATCATCAATCAAGCATAGCATCAGTGGCTTTTCTTTCTTAAAGCCAGGGTTGGAAATATATACAGAAGAATTTATTGTATTGGTTGTCATGGTAGCACATAACAGAATGTTTCCAGCCTGTGCTAATGGCTTTTAAAAAAATCGCACTTTGAGCTTGGGACTGAGGAACGCTGCAGCAAGATTTTGTTCTTGAGATTTTGCCATTTCCATGCAGTAAATGCAGATCAAGAATTATTTTCAAATATTGGAAAGAAATTACAACAGAAAAACCAGCAGAAAAGAAGCATTGGCTTGATGGGAATACAAAGGGAAAATTCGGAACCCTGCTATTGCACTCACAAATATTGATGTCAGTAATACACCCCATTTAAATGTTTCTCCTAAACTTGAAATATCCCTTAAAAATACTTACAGCTATGGAGTGAGCTCATGCTACTCAATATCTGTCTTTATAGCCACCTGAACTGTAACCACCGGCACCGGAACTATAGTCACTGCTGCCATATGAGGAGCCACCTCCAGAGTAACCACCTCTACCTCTGGAGTAACCCCCGCTGCCTCCACTATAACCTCTTCTTCCATCATCATAGCCTCCATAGCTACTGCTGTCTCCCTGGTATCCACCTTCACCACCACCACCACCACCACCACGGTAACCTCCAGACCTATATCCGCCACCTCTTTGGCCCCCTCTTCTGCTGCTGTCATTTCTACCAGTGGCAATGCTCGCTTTAATTGTTCTTCCATCCCATTCCTGTAGGAAAGGTTTAAAACTATAAAGTGCATGGTCCTTTGATGGAGAGAAGCGCCAAGATCAAAACAAATTTGAAAGAGTCCACAAAAGTGTTCAGTCTTTTCAAAATTTTTCTCCAAAAACAAAGAAAACATGGTGGTTTTTAAGAGGCATGGCTTAGATATATATAATTACTTTTTATTAATTGGCTTTCCTATCAATTCGCAATCATATTTTTTGACCCAAGAGCATTTGGCCTCTGATTTCTTTCTGTCCTCTCAGCAGTTAATGAATATTTTAGGCCAGGGAAGCAGGCAGTGAGGACCAAAATTGATCTCCACTCCTATTAAGCTTGTGTGTCGTTGACAATAAAAAGTTGGTGCTAAATAACTTGATGTAAGGCTTTCTGCAGTAGCAAAAGGAGCTTTGCTTTCCATGAAAATTTAGTCAGTTCTTATAACTGACGCAACAATCATTAGTGCAACAAAAATAAAAGAGATAAGTGTTATTCATGTGTCTGAATAAACAAGAGTTAGGATAAGTCATAATTTCCTTTATGGACATGATCAAAACTGGTTCTAAACCACATTTTTTGTTCAGACAAGATACCTTCAGGATACTTGAATGTGTTTTACATCACTTTTCATGAATCTAATAACAATGTTGTCCCAATATAACAATAGGTTTAGAATTGGTTTATAAAGAAAGTATGTCATGAACAGTTTGGTGCTTCCCTTGGGAAAATATAATATAACTAGGCTTTTACAATCGGTTATTTATCTTAAAGATCATAAGAAACGGACCAAACCTGTTCTTATAGGTGATATGGCAACTCAGTGACAAACTTAATCTTTAAAGAAACAGAACAGTTATGCAAACAATTACCATTATTTAACCCAAAAATATAACTTCACTTACAGTTCCATGAATTGCCACGACACAGGCTTTTGCCTCATCTTCATGCTCAAAAGTAACAAAACCAAAGCCTCTAGATCTACCAGTGTCTCGATCAAGGAGGATTTTCACTAAAAGTGAAGCAATGACAATTAGGTCATTATAAAACGAAGAGTAAGTAGGCAGGCTAAGACCTTCTTCAAAGAATCAAATTTATTGGAAAATCCAACCATTGTTGCTTTTTTGTCAGAAGTTGTTAGAAATTTCATCTGAACCCCTCCATCGAAAAAATTATATATACAAAGTTTGTCCTGTGTAGCAGCATTACTAGGTTTTTAAAAAGAAGCATAAAATTATTGTTGTTTGATTTAATAAAAACTTCCAGCATTAGGAAAAAAATGTGGATCTTGGTCAGTATTATTCATGGAGGATACAAACATAAATACATACATATATATACATGGTTAATATACTGAACAGATATATGCCACAAAACCATTGACAGAATAAAACACTCTTTTGTCATCAAATATTTGAAACTTGGCGAGGAATTGAAGAATATTTCTAGATTAAACAACTCCTTAACTGTGCTTTACAAAAAATTTCTTAAAGAATAACCAGATTTTGGCTCTTTTATCAGGCCTTCCACTAACAAAATGAAGGTGCTTAAAAAAACAAGCTCCTAAGAAACTCAAGGCACACTATTTCACACTGATATGTAAATTTGCCATTCATGCCTTGCTTCTGGGTATTGAGCTTTTTTCAAGTTAGCAATTTTTACCAATTTTATGCTAGAGCTTTCTCAATTATTCTATTTTTCAGTTCGTATCATGACCTTGATTTTGTGAACAAAGCTGAAAGCAAGTTTTGATAACTCTGTTTGTAACTTGCATTCAAGAATATTCTACGTGCATACATATACATATACTACATAGTAAAGTTAATAATTTTCTCTGACTTAGTGGTACTGCCACCAAAGGGAAGGCATAAACAGTAATTACATCTCACGAATGACGTGACGTCATCAAAAATTGCCTGCGATTTCGAACAGTGACGTACATAATTTTTTTTTATAAACTCTCGTTTTTCGACATAGAGAATTCAAATACTTGATCTGAAAAAACGACTTTAGCCTTTTTTATCATAAAAAGCCATTTAAAGAAAAAATTCTGTCAATCAGGAGAGAAAATTTAAGCTGTCAAAGATTTGAACTCTGCCGGGCGGGAGACATTTCTCCCATACGGGAGACAAAATGCTTATATCCCTAGCTGAATTATATTTCAGTTGAAAATGTTTTGATGTGAATCACAAACATAGATAATTCCATGCCAAACCTAAAATCTTAAACTGGTTTGCGATATTTATACGATATCCGTACCACAATACGCAAACAGCTGCCACGGCCTGGCCTAGCATCACTTACTTGAGCTGTCGGTGTAACTGCTTTGACTCAACGCTTTTTTCTGGCGGCATTGTTAGAGAAATTACAAGAAACTTTCACTAACTACAAAAACTTACTAAGGTTAACTTACGAAAAGTAATAAAAAAACTCAGAAGAAACCTGACAGTCTGAAACTGGAGTGTAAAGCGTAGACTACTTCTCAAGACAGAGTTACATTTTGATTCGAAATTTTAGGCCGATTTCAACCAAAGCGCAACTTTACGTACCATCTTCTACTGATCCGTGCTTTTCACATAGATCTCTGAGAGACCCTTCATCTGTTTTAAAGGAAAGGCTTCCGACGTAGATTCTTCGCTGGTCATCACCCATTTTAGTTTATGTTTTTTCTTCGGAAATCTTTCAGTGTGTCGTAAAAGCACGCTCTTCTGTTGAAGACGAAGAAAAAGAAGGGAGACGCACGCTGGGACGCAATGCTTTCTGGGTAACAGAAATTTCAGTATAGCCTAGTACCCAGGGAAGAACCACAGTCCCGAGAAGAACCACGTCTATCTTCAGACAATTCAATGACCTTGGTTTGTCATACATCCAGAAATATCATAATTTTTTCCTAAACAGCAAATCAAATTCCTAGGCTTTACTCTTGATCTATGACAATTAATTTACCTGCTGAGCGTAAAACAAAGATGAAAGAATGCTTGCAAAATTCGTCATACTGCAAAAGCTTTTGGGGGAATACATTTTCGATCACTTGAAAATGATAAAATACAGGCGTTAAAAACCTCTCAGGGCGATTTTGATGCTATTATGTAGCTCAGTAGACTGGCCCTGTCCCCAGGGGGAGGGGGGGGGTACTCACTACTTTTCTATACCATGTCAGCAACTTTTTGTTGATCCCCAAATATTGAGTTACCGTTTTGAAAAACCCTAAATACCTACTGAGTTTCAAATTTTTGAGACCCTTTATTGTTACATATTTTGAATTACCATTTTGTTTAAAAAAAACATATTTAAAACTGAAAATTAATAAGCGCCACCCCCGTTTATTTAGAGCCTAAAAGTAATGGCTGACTTACAATTGAGTAGTTTTAATGTAATTAGATAACCATCGCAGTAATGAAGAGTTGTTTGAAACATTTAGGTGTAGGCAATCTCTAAATATGATTTTGCGAAAAGGTTGTTATTCTAATATTTGGTTTTCTTTTACAACTTCGTTTTCAATTCTCAGACCCCAAATATTGAATTTTTCTTTAAAATCTCAGACCCCAAATATATTTTTTCTTTAAAATCTCAGACCCCAAATATTGACATGGACACCCCTGTAAAGAAAAGTAGGGAGTACCCCCTGAGGCCCTGTCTGATATAGAATGATGGCTTTTAAATTTAGACGACAGTCTTAGATAAATTTCTAGGTCACCCCTGACCTCACTTTATACTCAGGTGCTTCGCTTCCTGGTAATCCTGGTCACAAATTTTTAGCGTTGTTTAGTGTTGTTTAGCAAATGTTTAGTCGTTTTGCCACCAATTATACATTTGTTGTGATTGCGCAGGCGCTCTAGCTGTAGAAATCCAAAGGTTTTCGTCTATTTTCGTGACCCAAAAAGCCTTTATGAGACATCTGCATATCTCGTTGTACGCAACTGTGTCTTCTTCAACAGTCAACTTTGTTGTCAATGTATTCTTAGGCTTGCTTCAAACGTCGCACTTCTCATGTGCCGAACCTAACTCTGTTTGGAGCGACACTTGAGCATGTTTAACGCGACTCCCGTTTCAAACGTCGATCTTAATTATGTCGCGCCAAATGGGTTTTAGGATGTTACATGGAATATCGGCGCGAAATCTCAAATATTTGTTTGAAACGCTGTGCCCTCCAAGAAAGAAATGAACTCTGGGAAGGAAAATAAATTAAATATAATTATGCATTGAGTTCGGTACATGACAAGTTCGACGCTTGAAACCGTGCCGTGCTGGAGCCGTGCAGCTTGGCAAGCTCTGCCGATCCAAACTAGTCTGCCGCTCCTAACTCAATCTGCCGTACCAAATTGATTCAAACGTTGCGCCCCTCATGTACTTAATTCTCGAGTTAGGTTCGGCACACGAGAAGCGCGACGTTTGAACCAGGCCTTACTGAGTTAATTAGAAAATATGAATGTAGAAAAACAAACAAAATGCGCTTCAAAATACATTTCCCGCATAACTTTGTTGGTAGCAACCATCAAACCAAAATGCTGAGCAACAGAAGTAAGGCGGTCAATGCGAAGCATGACGTGTGTTGCGAGGCAAAGCACAAAGCAGCATTACACTTAAATGTTACTTAAGTTGGGTATACGCAGTCCATTTATATAGAAACATTACCTTTGATGTATTAGAGCTGCTAGCAGCCTTTTTACCCTCAGAAGCTTTAAAACACAGCTTTTAAACAAACATGTCAATTTAATGCTTGATAATACAACTGCTGTTGAGGTAATTAATCACATGGACGCAAATTCCAACTTTAACTGAAAATTTCGTTCGACCTATAAATCTACGGTACCTACCGAATTGATATTTGGAAATAGCCCCAACTGCATATTTCTAGTTTATTCATAATTACAAAAATTTTAATTATAATAATTATCCTAAAGCATAAAGGCCTAAATCTCTAAATTTTGATTAACATGACATAAACATTCAAACTTATTGTAAGAAGTGAAGTCAATTGACAGCTATGTCTCTTTTTTTTCTGCTTTGCCCATTTTAAAGCTATTTGCTGAAAGCAATGTTGTTTAAAATATCTCTTTCACAATATGGAAGCATCAAGGAATTGAGCCTTTTATCATTGTTCTTGATCAAAGGAAACTATTAACAATTTTCATAGGTTCAAATGCCTTTTCGATGTTTACAATTGAAACGATGACTTGAGAGCAAATGCATATGCCCGATCTATAAGATGACACATTCTTCTTTGATCAAATACTTCTGCTGCAGCTTCTGCAATGTTTTCTGGCTTCTCAGCAGCTTAATCGTAGCAGTTAATGATAAGGAGACGCTTACAAATGACAGGGGGAGCTTAGCATAAACTCGTTCGTTATAAGAAGCGGTGAGGATTTTTGGCACTGAAAGATTCTTAATTTTTTATTGAATAACTGCTCGTGGTTTGATAAAAAATAGAAAGCGATTAGTGGAAAGGTCCACTCCATCCTGTGTATTTTAATAAGGTGTAAACATTTTTACATTTAGAATCCCAAAATTCTTAAAATATAAAATTCACAAGTTTGGTCTTAAGAAAAAAATCCAAATTAACCGTAAAGTTTTCCAACTGTAACTGGATTTTCCAAACTTTGGGGGGCATTACGCGCACCGCGACCCCTGTTATTAACGTGCCTGCTGCCTGTCATATTCCTGGTGAAGTGAATATAATGTTATCGCAGACAACGAAATCTTGCTGTTTCTATAAGCAAGATGCAGTGTGGATGCTATCAAAACAATACTTAATGCTTGATCTGGTTCGAATTAAACCAGAAATCGACCTTTTCGCTTCAAGGTTAAACCAACAACTTGATAAATATTGTTCTCCCTGGCCAGATCCCAATGCTTTTGCAACTGACGCATTCACACTCCCCTGGACTACTTAAATTTTTACTGTTTTCCTCTCTTTAGCTGCATTCTCCGTGTTCTTCAAAAAGTCCAACAAAATGCTTCATACTTGTTGTCCCGAAGTAGCCTATACAAGCTAAAATGTTATGCACTGCACCAGTCCACCTCGCAAAACACTACTGTGTCTACCAGCTCGACCTCAAGCCGAACAAATTTAAGCTAATGCTATGTCTAGTGTCAGGCAATTGTACTCGAACCAAAGTCTGTCTCCTTCCTTCATACATTAACTCACGAAAATATCTCCTTAAGAAATTGCCCAAAAATTAGATTGCGCGAAATTGGAAAAAAGAAAAAAGCAGGAGTTTAAGTTTGATAATTCTTTTTTTGCCAAAGACAACAAGTAATCATAATTATTCATCTATGATCACAATATCTTTCATGGTCTATACTCTGCCTGATTAGAAGCAACTTCCTCAGCAATAAAGAATTCATCGTCACTAAGTTCATTAATTAAACTTTGAAAATTTAGCATATTGGCTGACTGATTAGGAGGTGGCTTTTTATCAAATCAATACAGTCGAATGGTATTCAGGTAAAGGAGACTGCATGTGGAGGGCTTTGCAAGTTAAACTTTTCTATTTATATAAAACATTTTACTTAAGCTTGAAAAATGTCTATTTTGCAATTATTTTGGACTTTTTGTCTGGATATCTTCTCAAATTACCTGTCAATTGCCACTTTGGACATATATGTCCTTATGGTCCCGAAAGGGTTAAAGATAAACAAGCCAAATTATTGAAAAGGACTTAATTCTATTTTCTTCTAAGGCTTTATATCAATATGAAACAGGCAATAGTTATTGACAAAATAGAACAAAACTAAGATTTTAACATCTATTAACAGATATTATCATATATTAAAGTATAAAATAAATATATTGATAAACAATCATGTTTAAAACCATAAAAGACAAATTGGTACACCAAAGTTTATGATCAGACTTAATTCTTCTTTGCTTTCTTCATCGGGCCTTCAAGAAAAAAAGTATTGCCTATCAGGTAGGTCTAGAGAAAAGCTTGTTTAGTTTAAATGAGAGATACAAAAACATACCATTTTCAAGACAAAAGCAAAAAACGTCATTAACCACAAGTAGTTAATATTGAATATGCTTTTAAAAGCAATTCAAGGCCAGAGAAAAATAAAGTCTCTGAAGATTGAGAAAGATAAATATAGGTGCAGGGCTGAGTTTGCAGTCCTAGGACTGAGAGAAATAAACAAACATGAATAGGTTTAGAACTGATAGTGAATCAATACCTTAAGATGGCTTCCAGCATAAATAGACCTAGTTCATGAGGATTCTGCTGCTTGGAACTTTACAGCCATATTATTTCTGTGGATAAGAAGTTATTTGATTAAAAAGATGGTCGCCAATATTCTTTTTTCTGCAACAAATAAATAAAGGTGTGTGCTGAATGCAAGAATGTGTAAGGAGCATAATGCAGTGGCAATAAAAAATAAAATAATTCATTCCAGAGAAACAACTGAACAAATCCATTATGGTTCAATAAACTGAACCTTTAATAAGCAATTTACCTTCTCACTACCAGTATCAGTTAGGTTATCACAACTGTTTTTCACTGTCAATAGGTGGTGCAAGTTTGCAGTTTTGAATTTGTTTTGAAAAAGTGGATGAAGGTACACAAACACTCTGTGTTACAGAACATAAAACTTAAATGGCAGTTGCAAAAGAATTAGTAAAAGCTGGGAATAGAATTCTAAAGTGGTGACGTCACAAAAATTTATTCTTAGAATTTTTTAATTTGGATCCCATAGCATGTAAGAGCATCATGAAATACCTTTAAATATGCAAAATCAGTCAAATGTGTTACGAATTGGCTAAGATATGGCCACATGTGTATTGGCTCTTTCCCATCAAGCCTCTGTATTTTGGTTTCTGTTCATAACTTTATGAACAGAGTGAAAATAACAGTTATTCGTTAGCAAACTTCAAACCTTTCAGTGGCAGTACCTCAACTGATTTTGGAAATATTTGACTAATTTTGCATATTTGGAAGTATTTCATGGTGATCTTCTATGTCATGTGGTTAAAATTCAAAAATTCTAATAAAAGGTTTTTGGTGACGTCAAATTTGGTTGTTCTGGCGTCCCTGCTTGTAAGAATACTAATCAAAATAAAACTTGATATGCAACAGGTGAAAAACTGCTTAACAAAAATTAATAGTAAAGGATCTACCTTTCTCCGCATCAACCATATATGAACTGCATTCTTGGAAACGATAAATTCATATCCAATTCAATCTGCAATTCAGAACAAAAGCAAATTTTCAATGCTACAACAAAGACAAATACTAAGAATGCAAATAGAACGAGAAAATATAGAACAATAAAAACTAGGTCCTGATAAAGAGTAACTTAATATTGTCTGACGGAATCATTCTTAAATGTATCTTGTCTGATGGCAACATTATTCGGATACACATAGTTTATGCCAAAGACCATTCTATGGACCATTCTTAACTCAATAGCACAAACATCAATTGGAATCATTTCAATTTGCATACCTTCAATTGCCCATTTCAATTTCTTTGAGACAAATTAGGATATTAACCCTAAAACCGAAGGAAATTCAATATTGACCCTACCTCCTGAAAAGAACTTCCGTATAGTGTCACATCACTCTCAAAGACGGCACCAATGACGAACTCCCATTTCTAATGTATGTTGCAAGTTGCAGATTCGAAATGCGGTTCCCAGAAATTACTTCAGAGAAGCTCTTGTACAAGAGATGAAATGGCCTTTCCTTTCAACGGTTAAACAAGTGGCTTCTTAAGTTTTATATTAACAAAACCCCATTTTTAAATTTGAAATTTTTTCTGAAACATCAGATCCAACTAATAAACATTTCTACAAATGTGCCACAAAATACATTGATTTATTTTTCATTGCCACACATTCAATTCCATAGCATTTTTAATAGACGTTACTTCTTTGTGACATGTAGTTTAGGGTTTGGAATATCCTCACGAAGTATTTAAAATCTTTAAAGCTTTGTCCTTCAATGAATTTTCTTGACATTGAAGGTTGCAAGTAACAAAATAAAACCAGAAGAATTAGGTTTTTATCGTCATAATTCAAGAGGCACAATAAAGACGGAGCACTTGTTTTCGTTTCACGATTATACATGTAAAAAAGACTGACATAAAACTTAAGACTGACATAATGCGACATCACATAGCTAGTGCCAGCAATTTGCAATGAAATGTTTTGTATAAAACAATTCATGCCACCTAACAAATTTTTATACTGGCATTTATGTACAGTTTGTTTTCTTGATTAACTAAGAAATCTTGTTGAATATCTTGAAAGTCTTTATGCCGCACAATCTTGATGTGGAACAAGCGGATACTTCAACTTCTCAGTTGCCGAACCATGTATGCCTTGAGAATAAGCGGAAGCAAAATAATAAATGAGTGTACGGACAACAAGAAAGCTTTTATTTTTTGCAATCAGTCAACAGCCTCAACATTCAATGGCTCTTTGTGACACTATGAAACACTTGTGTTTAGAAACTTGCTTAATGTTAGGTAAATCAAAATGTTCACTATGATTGAACAGCTAATGAACAGTCACTCAAAACGAAAATTCATTCTAGCTTAAAATATCAAACTCACAAACTACAACAAAGCTGATACCATTTCAGTCAAGAATTTTACTTTTGAAGAGAGCATAAAGCTTCATTGAGATGCTTTTTAATATTTGATGATGCTTTTCACCCCTTTTTAATTTAAGAGATGCTTTAGATTGCAAAATTGAAACTTAGCAAAGTTCAGGATTGATTGTGAAGAGCAGATGCACACATATGGCCTTCCTTTTGACCATTCCTACATACTTATTTCAGTTGCTTGAAATCAAGTGGATAAAATTATCATGCTTGAAAAATTCCAGAACAATTTCCAGTATACCTGAAAAACTTTCCTATCAGTCAATAAAAAGCAGGATAGAAAAACTATTATCTAACAAAAAGCATTAAATCATGAGCATCTTCTCATTAATATAAAAAAGGCTGCAAAAATGGATGTTAGCAGCAAATTCAACTGTTCAATGTAGCTTTTCATAAAAGGTGACAAAGAGCATATGTAGCTTATAAGAAATATTCTATATTTGTCCAAAATCCACCTGAGTTATCTCTTTTTATGTGAATACATAGATCACTTGCCAATTATTTTATTAAGCTCAAATTGAGAAGAACATGTCAATTAATCACATCAACTCTTACCTTCTCCCTGGATGTCTGTGTTTAATATCCTCCACCATATGAACTACCATAATTGCCACTAGTTGAATCATATCCTCCACCACCTCCATATTGGCCATTTCCATAACTTCCATTATCCCCACCAGAGTACCCTCCACTGTTTCCACTTCTATATCCTCTACTGGTGTCACCACTGCTACCATTATAGCCACCACCATATCTCTCAGTGCTTCCATAATCTCTACTTCCATAGTTATCATCATTGCCGCTACCAGCATTGTAACTGCTTTCTCTGTATCCGCCACTTCCAGCACCATATCCATCATCACCACCATAGCTGCTTCTGCTTCCCCTACTACCTCCTCCACCACCTCTTCTGCCATAATCCCTTTCACCTCCATATCCTCCATCTCCACCACCATATCCTCCACTATCATCGCCATAGCCTCTGCCACCTCCACTGCTATACCCTCCTTCACTTCCATAGCCACCACTACCACCATATCCTCCTCTACCACCCCTTGGCCCACCTCCCCTTGGGCCACCACCACCTCTAGGTGGACCACCACCTCTCATTGGGCCACCATTGCCCCTTGGAGGACCACCAGCACCCCTTGGGGGACCACCCATACCTCTGGGAGGTCCACCTCCACCTCTGGGACCACCACCACCTCTTGGGCCTCCCATACCTCTAAAGCTACCACCTCCTCTTGGGCCACCACCACCTCTTGGGCTTCCAAAACCTCTCCCTCTACCCCCAAATCCTCTTCCACCACCTCTTCCCCCTCTTCTACCATCACCATCTTTCTTTGGTCCTGCTATTTGAACAGATAAATTTCTTCCATCCATTTCCTAGAATTAAACAAATGGTCAAGACTATGACACTGATTGTTCTTGGTCTCCCAATTTTTCACTGGGTTAGGCAAACAGCTGGTTTATAAAATCTTCTATCAAAAGGAGAAAGATAATTTCAACTTTTCTTCATCTAAATCTTAGTCAGTAAATTACAATCTTGACAACCTTCCAGCCAAGGCCACTGACTAGGAACCCATTTGTTTGTGGGTCAACAGGTAACAAGAAGAGACACTTCATAAATATTCAATCAATATAATCTTACTCTTTTGTCCAAAGCCTGTTGGCATTCATTAGCCTCTTCTGGTGAGGAAAAGATTGCAAATCCAAATCCCTTTGATCTTCTCCTTCCATTTTCCAACCGTTCAGTAACTATAAAAACTAGAAAAACAAATAAACTTAATTTATTGCAGGTAACAAACAAGGGCACAAACAACCTTTTGCTGCTGATAAATAGATGGGTTAATGAATGCAAAATTGTCCAGGTCAAAACAACCACCATCTCAAGGACTGAGTTGCAGAATTGCTGGAGATGCAGAATAAACACAATAGAAAAAAACAATAACAAGTTCAAATGGGTGAAAGGTGTACCCTGGAGCAGTGGTGTAGCCATAATATTCTAGGAAGCATACACTAGAAGTTAAAAAAGACACGACTTTGGTCTTTAGAATAATGAAACTATACCGTACAAATGTTGAAAAATATAAATGCATTATTTCTGCTTTTGATAACATGAAACCGCCAATTATAGGACTTCTGAACTATGCATGCCCAAGCATGTCAAGATTTTAATTGCGATATCTTCACAAGATTTTCACCACTTTCATCATCCTCAATTGAACCATGGGTGAGACATTTATTGATAGTCTAATCAATTTAGTTGCAAGAATACATTAGCAACAAAAAAATTTGTCAGATAGGTTTTTGCCAGAAAAACTTTATCGAAAAGAATTTCGGACAACTTTTTGTCACAACGATGGGGGCTTGAGCACCAGTACAGAAACTGTCCCAACCCCCAAGCAGCTCTTTCACACAGAACAACATGTCAGAAAACCAAAATAAAGCAGTGTATTTATTCAGTTTATGCAAAGATGGGGTCAAAAGTAATGCTTTCAGCATTCAAAAAGTCTCTACTCTATAACTATATGGCATGAAAGTTCATAGACATAGTATATTTGAAAGTAAAATTATGAACATAAGTATAAGATTCAGAAGCACAAAACTACTCCAACAGAAAAAGTTGGTCTTGAAATCTGATTCCTTTTGAGCTCAAAATTTGTGTTGAAAACTTGAAAGTGCAAATACTTTGTATAAATGAAAGAAATAGTACAGTTGAGTATAAAATGACAAAGGTGGAATCTTTTGAAACTGAGGACAAGACAGTTAGAACAGTAGCGTAGCCAGGCTGATAAGATTGGAAGGGGGGTGGTCAAAGACGAGTTGAGCAAGGAAAAACTGGGGTCTACACCTGCTTGAACACCAGTAATTTTTTTGCAGTTAATGTAGCTTTGTATCTAGAATTATGTTACAATTCAAGAAGCTTAAAATGTCTATTCCTTTGAGTAGGTATCACAACTTCAGTTCAGGATTCTAACCAAATAGTAGCTAAGTCATTTTCATCTGCAGCAAAATGTAATATAGAAGTATCATTAATCATAGCTGCGCAAAATGTATACCAGAATTTAGGTTATCCGGGCAAAACACGGAGAATGCAGTCAGGAACGTATGCTTCAACCCTCAACAACTTTAATCCTCTCATCGACAACTATTGGTTGGTGTATGATAATATAGCCATTATGATTCATAAATTTCATCAAGCAATTTGAAGTGGAAGTAGTTTCAGCTAATCGAATACTTCGTCCTTTACATAGAGGCACAAGGATACACATGTATGGTCCGCACATGTTGTGTACAAATCCCGACATTCGACGATCAGAAAATTTCGTACTATATAGACTAATATGAAAAAGCTAGGAAAACATTTCCTTTAAAAACAAATTAGAACGACTTGCAGCACAAAAACATTTGACTCAATTTTTTTAAAACAGAGCCAAATGATGCCAGAGATAAGAATACAATAGGAAGGTGTAGGCCAATGATTTGAAAAACACCGGTTCTAACTTCCAATAACTTACCATCTTCTATTTGACCATACTTTTCACAAAGAGCTCTTAGATCATCGTCAGTGTAACTCCAAGACAGCCCACCAATATATAACTTCCTTCCTTCGTCAGACATTTTCACAGTGAGTTTTATTTGCTGTTTCTGCTTGCAGTTTAGGCCTCAATGGCGGGAGAGAGCAACGAAGAAAGCACGGGAGCAGAATGTTGCGCAAAGGTCCCTGGGTAATTTACCAGACCCCTGACGTCACTGGCACTATCATGTCGTTATTTTTAATAGACTTCAAGTGCAGTTTCTGTAGAAAATTTCATATTAAACAAAATTCGTAATTCGCCGTCAAAACTCTAAATTCTCAAAAATGCAATGAAAAATATTACGTTGAAGATCAAATAGATCAGACAACAATGGATTCTTTCGTCATTTTGCTTTGCTCCTGTCTATTAGTAGCATACAAGATGTTTGTTATCAGCAATTTTTTTCGAGTGCGTTGCTTGTGATAATCCAAAGTTGTTAAATTTACGACAAAGATCTCCTTTAAGTTGAAATTGGTTCCCTGTGACTTCCTGTGACCAATGTGAGAATAAACAGACAATAGACATAAACAAACGGTGCTTGAATGCTCCTCAGAGTTGGACTGAGTATTTCTCTATCAAGACCAACTGTTAGCCATCCATCACCATACAACAAATCTTGAAGTAGCAGTTCATTAAATGTACTTCAAGAGCTTTATCGAATTCATTTTTCATCCATGTTTAGAGTAAGCCAATTTGTTGCTTTCTTAATATATTTTGCATATAATATCAACTTCTGAAAAAGCCCCCTTCTCAAATAATGCTCTCTTGAATAAGCCATCTCCTTTTTAGTACCGAGATTTGAGAAATATTACGGTATATCTAAAATTGCGGGGATTACGTTTGCTGGGTAATAGACACTTAACTGGGTAAGAGTTGCTAAGCCTTTTGGGTTGGAAACAGGGGCGGATACAGAATAAAAGTTGACGGTCGCACATTAATACTGCCCAGCAGGCGGTCCAGGGGGCCTCCCTCATGATCAAGGGCAGAGCCCCCCCAGAACCAGAGCAATTAGGACTGGGGCCCTGAAACCTTTAAATTGTTCAGTCAAACATTTTTCTCTTTATAAGGTTTTCCAAATTTTCCAGCGAATCCAACACGCAGTTGAAACAAAATATCTTGAGATTCAGAAGTGTACACTTCCTGTGCACCTCTTCCCGTATAGATTAAGAATTTCACAACTTACAACCTCATCCACTTTTTTCCTTGCCAGCAGTTGTGCGGCACAGAAATCTAACATAGTGTTTACAGACTTTTCGTGCCGCACAAATATGCGAAAACTTGAATTTTGATTGGTGAGATTTGAGCCTTTTGGGTTGGAAATACTGAAACTGGGTTAGGAAGAGGGCGCATAAATGATAAAAGCTTATTTTCGAAGGCCCTATGCAAAAATCTTATTTGGGGACGAGTTTGCTCTACCCAGATAAAAAGTGTCGATAAAATTTTACAATGGCTTTGAAAAAAGCAAACATTTTACGACATACTAAAAGCTTTTTCGTATGACACTCCTCAGAGCATAAAACGTCAGAATAAGGTTCCGAAAGAACACGATGGAAAATATATACCCAGTTGTGGATCGAAATAGGCCAATCAGAAAAACGCAGGCACAAGACCGGTATAGTTGACCAATCAGTGCCGCGAGCCTAAAGAAAAATTACCAATGGAGTTCAAGAGAGAAAACGAACTCCTTCTGTCTACACAATGGCGGCTTTTTCGTTTTTATGTAGATCGACTCCAAAACTGCTAGATGGAAAGACAACCGGGCTCTGCCAATTATCCGAAACATGTCGTCATTATAGAGTTTTGCACAATCTGGGTTGTCTAAAAGATGTTGACCGATGGCAGAATCACTTGTTTTAACAGTGTTTCTAGACCTACAAGTTCGAGGAGGCAGTTCTCTTTGAGGGGCAGTTTTGTTTCTTATGTTTGAAGGAACATGCTGTTTTATCCTGTCCCCCAATCTTTGGGTTGTGCGTCAGCCTCTGTTTTGAAAATGGTATATTTGTCATCCACATAGACACCTGGCTTTTGGTCGTAGTCGAGCAAACGCTCTTCATAAAGGCCAACAAAGATATTGGCCAAGGCAGGTCCCAGAGGGCTACCCATAGTGACACCATCCTTTTGTTGGTACATTTCATTTTTAAAGGTGAATTCAACTGAACGTGTTGCAGTTCCCATTAGTTCAATGAATACTTCCTCTGGGAATGGTGGGCTAGTAAGCTCGCTTCGGTACAAAGCGTCGGCACATATTTTGATGGTCTCATTTAAAGAGACATTTGTGAAAAGACTGCTAATGTCAAAAGAACACATGAAAGATGTTTGGTTTTCGATTTTCAAGTTTTGCATGAACTCAGCGAACGTAATAGAATCCTTGATGCAATGTTTTGAATATTTTTGAAATAAAATTTTACTTTGCAGCTTGCTTTTTGTGCACAGATTTGCGAAACTACATTCAATTTTCGAGGGAGAGAAAGATAGTCCTGAGATTTGTGGAACTGGTAGAAAAAGAACAAGACGCCTGCTTCATAGACGTATAGTAAGTGATCCCTACCCTCACGCCAACGTATATTTTCTCACGTGATGCCCCTTCCATGCCCCCGGTAACCCCTAATGCAACAGAATAATGAACCGATTCCAGTTTTTTATGTTATTATTCAAAGTAATCTTTGACTTAAGCCGCCGGTTTTATGTTGAATGTGATATATGACATCATCATTGTCAAGGTGTGGTCGAGCGTAAAAATATGGCAAATAGCAAACATATCGCTTTTCTGGTTTTCGAAATAGCTGTCTGGATATAGCTAGAAAAATCCAATGTTTTCTGTGCTTACTAGCGTTCATAACTGAGGTATCGTACCATAAAATGATTGGATGGTTATTTGGGGTGTGTTACCACAAGAAGGGGACTTTAATTGCTTGCTTCACTGGATCAGTATCGAAGGACATTAGCCAATTTTGTGCCCATTGCCTGATAGCATTTCAGTTGTGATTCATGTCTAGATCCGCTTCATTTAGGTCTCGAACAACTATGCAAAGCGAACAGTTTAACATGTAAACAAGAAACAAAAAAGAGCATGTACACAAGAAACATATGGTTATTGAGAAAATATTACCTTAGGTATATAATGGTATTCTATCAGATTGCATCTAGATTGTGTTACTTTAGATCCACATCTGAATACGAAATCTTACTTACCTTTCGTCGTTATCCGACATTTATACTCGCTTGACGGACACCTCTCAATATACCCTGCTGTTTTTAGTTTATATTCGCATTATTAAAAAAAATCTTAAAAATAGATCACACGATCATTTAGCCACCCTTTTCTCAATTATCAACACAGAAATCGCGATGACTCTTGATTAGGTATTTCACAGAACTTGAAAAACTAAGAAATAACAAGTACCCAGTGGGAGTTATCCTATCTTAAAAGGTTTAACACATAGTGCATAGTTTGACTCACAAAAGTATTATAGGAAATCCAAACAGTCTAATGCAAAAGGAGTTTATAGTAAGATTTTGTTGAATTTCGTTGAAAGGCCAATTAACATCGAAATCATGCATGATGGTGAAACATTTCGTCCTTCCAAAATCTCAAGTTTATGTAGGCAAGAGACTATATTCTAAAGTCACTTTTTTGGACAAATTTTCTATAGTTTGAAATTGTTTCTTATTCTGTTTAAAAACAAAAAGATGAACAAAAAGATGAGGGCCTTGAGCTGGATTGGTGGATCGTTTAAAATAAGGTTAAAAAAGTATTACTGGATAAATTTTTGCAGTTGTGTGTAGAAGACTTGTATACTTTTTCTAAATCTAAACACCATCGCGCCATTCTTGAGAAAAAGGCCCCGATATATCTTAACTGGAAAATTTTGTATCTTTATAATCCTGAATCCCAACATGGTCCCCAACGACTGGGTACTATGTGGATCTTCACGATGTACCAGGCATTCGGTTGCTAACACGGTTGTCCAACCCCTGAATTCAACCTCCTCTTACGCACCTTTCATCTGTTTTCGGTTAAGTTTGGTAAAAATACTCAATAAAGATCCAGAGGCTTGCAAATCCCATTTTAAAGATATACAGATAACATTCGTTCACCAAATCACACAACAGAGAACAATTACAAAATTTGCCATGGCTTGGCTGTAGTCCTGATGAAATAGTAGTCAAAGACGAAATGAAGTCCGTGTTTCAGGTTTAATACATTTTAAAACCGTCCTGCTCACTTTAGGACCGAAGAGAAGACAGATTAAACAAACTTCAAGGAAAACAATATAGTATTCAGAAACGGACTCAAATTCATCAACAGACGTGGCAATTGAAAAAGACAAATTTCCCGTTATAAAACAACAAAATAAATAACAGCGCAAAGAAATAAAAATGTTACAGGCCAGTAAAATTTCCTGTAGCTTAGTGCTAGTACTCGAGGGGCAAATCTCTCCAAAAATCTCGTACATCTTTTGTGAAAATCCTATTGTTTTATCTGAAAAATCCCTGGAAATTCTTATGTTTGAGGGAAAATCTTGTACGCTATTTACAAGAGTGAATTGCCCCTCGCTAGTACCCTACTTGATCTATTAAACGCACAAAGTTGAAAATTAAACCAAAATTGAAAAAAACCAAAATTGATAAACTCCCCCTGCCTAATAAACGCCCATCATTAATTCCGGGCGTTTAATAGATCAAATATGGCATTCAACGACAAGCATTCGATATTATGAACGTCTTTCTTGAAATAACCAGTTTTACACATTTTCGAAGGATCCTCTGAGAATTCAGTAATAAATAAATGAATATAAATACAAAAATGTGGCTATCGTCAAAATTATTAAAAGAATCATGAATGTATATTTTGAAGATGGGAGTATAAATGAAGGAAATATCAAGATTAATTCTTACAAGATAAAAATTATAAAAGATTCTACACCAACTGAGACTACTAAAAGGGAATATTTCCGAATTCTTTTTCCTAACTCTAATCATAAAATTCTTTTATCTATGTTTTTAAAGATGATATGTTTTTATACCTCTGGGTTGTATCATTGTGGGGACTGTAGGAACGGACAATACCAAGGACTATAAGTTCGAGTACTAAGAAAAAGCATCACTTGGGACAAATACCAACAGAAACTGCTAACGTATAGCTGCAAAAGATACTAGTACGTGAGATACGCTACGTGAGCAATACGGACAGCTCTGGCAGGCCTAAGTTAGATAAAAACACATTTGCTTGTCAAGCAGCATGTTCAATATTTAACGCAGAAAGGAAGAAAAAACTATTAGAGGGCTGATCAGACAACTATAAAAACTTAATGTTTGCACCGAGAAGATCAGCGGAAACTCTGATTTGTAACGTAGAATCGGCCTGTTCTCCGCTTTTAAGCCTACCAGAGATTACCGATCTTAGTAGAAATACATAACATGTACGTGCAGAAAAACACTCAAATTTTTACAATTCTGGAACAATATTATACAGTTTGTTGTTGCTTACACGGTCCCGTTGAATTAATTGTGAAAACTCGAAGAACTTTCAATAATTACTCATTTTTTCTTTTTCAGCTCGAAAGCAGGCCTTCAGCATCTAATAAAAGCGTTTGGTAGGAGCAAGATCACTTACGCAGGCTCACCATGTTTTTCAATTTGTCCCTGCTCATTCTCTCCTCCGTAGCTGAAAGCATAGTCACCGCCAGTCAGCTGCACAGTCTCGTTTTCATTGGTGTTGTACGCCATCGAGTACTTGGCATTGTCCTGGGAACGCTTCTGTTTCCATCTCCAAATCACACATGCGATTACTGTGACAATCACGACGAAGGCAACGACGATTATGATTATGATGATAACGAAACTCAGCCCACCTTATAAAAAAGCAAACCACAAACATTAAACAGAAAAAAACCCTTTAAAAAAGCGGGGTGGGACTTTTGGAAGTCACATGAGTGCCAGAAAATCTCAAAAAGAAGTGGGGGTGATTTGCCAGAATTTGGAAGACTCGCTTGTTGCTTTTTCAGTGGGTAGCGAAATTTGTTTGCTCCGAGGCCAGTTCATCCAGTTCGAGGCCACCTAGTTTTAACTAATTGAACTAGAAAGGCAGATATTTTATGCTGCTAGCCAGTTCTTAACAAATCCTTTGCATGGTCTCAGTTCAAAACTCATGTTTCAGAAATTTTTTGCTGTTTCGGGTGCCTTTTACCCTGCCCATGCACATATTCAGTGAGACAAATTGCTGGAATTTACTGTCTTAATTTGTTACGCCGAAAGGTTTTGCACTGGACGTAAAATAAAATGCTTAGCTAAGTCTGAAAAGTGACTACAAATACAGGGGTTAATTGATGCTACTAATGAAACCGCTAAGACAGAGAGAGCTAGCAACTAGTTTCTAGCCAAGAATAATCAAGAGAAAAGGTTTTTTTTGTAAAAAAGGGGGGGGGGGGGTGCAAGGGACTTACCGGAAATCGGAGAAAACTCCGAACGCTATGGGAATTTTTGAGAATTTGAGGTACAACTTACCGGTTTTCTTACACTCGCTGCCTTTACGCTCATATCCTTTACTGCAGGTGCATGTATACCCCCCATTTCTTGTCGGTAAACAGTCCTCGTTTTCCTCACAGTCAGCGCTACCTGATTGACATACATCGGTTTCTGTTAAAAAAAATAGAAAAACCTCCTCAAATACCGTTAACGCATAATGGGGTAACTTAATAGACACTATGTACATAATGTTCTTCGCAAGTTAAGACTTCTGATCGTGAAATCTGACCTTCATTGGGAATACGGTCTTAAGTATATAAGCCTAGGAAGAGAAAAAATACTAAATAGAAAGAAAAATAGCAAAGAAACGAAGATCGTGAGCTTTTCTTTCCAGGAGGATCTTAAATAGCTGAATAGGTTAATGTTGTACCAAGATGGCTCTTTAAAATTCAAGTTCGATCCCGAGTGCTGAAAAAATGCAAATTTTTAGCCACGTATTGATGTAACTATTTTGCCAGTACAGAACGCTTGGTCGACGTGGATTTGCAAAGCGTGGCATAGTTTGACTATTGTTGGTCAAAATGGAAACTTAATGTAATCCTAAAAAAGAGAAAGTCAGCGGGGATGTACCTAGAGTGGGCATTTAACCAGAGGTTGCATTGAAAATAAAAAGGGGATACATAGCGATACGGGACTGAGAGAATGTTGCATGCATTTATGAATAATCTTAAACCGGTCACCGATTGATGAGGCACAAATCACAGACCGGGACCTGGCAAATCTTCAAAAATGACTTGAAAAAAAGAGTACTTACGACTGGCTTGCGCTTGGGTGGTTTTGTCAGCACCGAGAACATCGAGTTGTTCACTTTTAATAGCATCATTTGTAGCAGCTTGAACTTCTTTGGTTGTGACATTTGTAGATGAGAAAACCAAGAGAAAATCGACCACGAGGCTGCCCTTTTCTATCGAGGTGACAATGACAGCTGTACAACCGACCTTTTTACATACAGAATTTAACAAAACATCTTCAATCTCGGCTGCCTTTGCTTTAAAGGCCTTTGAGTTTTTATCCTTGTATTCCTTCTTGTACACCTGATTCAGTTTGAGCTTCGATACCTGACAAGGCAACAGGATAAATGATATAGATTTTAACAAAGTAAATTGTTGTAATATGTATTTATCTTTACCAAAACGAGAGAGTACAGAAAGATAGAAATGAATTCAAATATAAAATGTTTAAAGTTGATACAGGCTTAGAAATTGTTGTTTTGGTCGATAGCTGATGCCGGTGAAAACATTCATTACCTCGACAACGATCAAAAGGTTAATAACGAAGACAATAGAGTGATGAGGTGATGGATTCTTAGGCTTTGACAACATAAGTTGAAAAAACACAACGAAATAACTTTAAATGTGGGAAATCAGCTAGTTCTGTCTCATACTGCCCGAGAAAAAAAAGGCCCATTAATTCAAAATGAGGCGAAATTTGGCACGTCGAAATTTTTTGTATTTAAGATTTTTGAGAATTCGCATAGTAAACTATTACATGAGGTCAAGAATCAAAGTTATGTATCCTTTTTATCTATTAAATGTCAATTATGTCACTTTCCTCATTTACATCATATTCGTTATCATTATCAATTATCTTTATCGTACGAATCATCATCATCACCATCATTGTCGGTTCTTGAACTAACTTCGTTTTCACCCTGATAAAATAGTTCTAACTCAGTGGCGTAGCGAGGGGGCGGGCGCCACCCCTAATGGCAAAAAATCTCTTCAGTTTCGGTTGAAAAAGGCATTATCTTGGATCCAAAAGGGTGAAGACCCCAATGTTCTCTGCTCAACTCGCCTTTGCCCAACCCCCTCCCCCTTCCCCTCCCAATCTTACCACCCAGGCTACCCTTTCTCAACTGTACTATTTCTTTCATTTGTTCAAGGTATTTGCACTTTTCACCCCAAATTTTGAACTCTACGGAAGGCACAATTTCCTGTTGGAGTACTCTTGTGCTTTTCGAAGGTTATACTTATATTCACACTTATACTCTTAATTACACTCTTTGAATGCTAAAGCATCATTATTTTTACTCCACATTCGCATAAACTAAGGAAATATACCACTTTATTTTGGTATTCCTGACATGGGGTTGTGTGTGAAAAAGCTGCCTGGGGGGTTGAGCGAAATTCCGAACGGGTGCTCAAGCCCCCCAAGACTCCACGAAGCCGGTACCTATGGGACTGAATATAAAGCTACCTGTATGGTTTTGCCTCTAAGATTTTGGTAATATGTTGCTAGGTTTATGTTAAATATCCACAACAAAATTCTGAAAAGTTATCCGAAATTTTCTTCGACGATGTTTATCCGCCGAAAATTTATCTGACGAAATCTTTTGTTGTTAATGTAGTCAAAATAAAAAAATTCTAAAAATAGATTTTTATGACGTCATCACTCTTAAACTATGAAAATGGCGATTACAATGGTAACAATGATAATGATAATGGCGATTACAACTGAGAGTGATGATGATGATGATTACGACAGTGATTTGACAGTGATGGTGACTATAGCCACGAAAACGAATTTGAAAGGACGAAACGAACCTTAATTGCATGGCCTTTTACTGGCTTGCATTTGCCATTCACCATCTTTTCCCATCGTTTGTTGCATTTGCACATCGCCCCAGCTCCAGGCATTGTAACACAGGTAGTTCCAGCCGGACACTTTGCACTCTGACATCCATCTATAACCAAAATTCTTTACCTATCTTTAAAATGACTAAATTCAAGTTCAACTGTTAAAAACAAAACAGATTAAATGCAAGGAATATCTGAACTCGATCACCATATTGAAACAATGGGATACCAGGGGAAAATTAAAGATATATGTCAAGGGTATATAAAAATTATACATTTTGTGCAAAAACAGTAATAAATATTAGCTAAACATGGATAGTCGGAGGATCTTGCAGTGTTTCTCGACTTCTTAATCCAAGAAGATAGTATGAAAACAACATGTTGGGAACAGATGAGTATAAAAGTATAGCAAGAGATGACCTATCTTGCAAGTCTTTATATCCATCTTTATTGTGCTACAGCAGGTGTTTCTTAGTATTGGTAAGCATTCGATTCAAATTTTTTTCAATTCAATTATATTCGTATACTACAGAAAATGAGTACTATATTAAAACTGTAATATACACGACCCAAGAAAAGTATGGACTTATCTAGCTTTTGCTGTTAGCAAGAAGTATAATTGAAAATTAAAAGCAAAACAGTAGTTAAAATAATTGAAACAAGGTTGGCTATATACTTAATAAACTGGAACAAGATAATATAGCATGTGGATTACATTTCATTTTTCTCTCATTTCATAACTCTAATACTATGACAGCATTTGAATGACAGCATTTGAATGACAGCATGTGAATGACAGCACTTGAATGACAGCAATTGAATGACAGCATGGGAATGACAGCTTTTGAATGACAGCATGTGAATGACAGCACTTGAATGACAGCATTTGAATGACAGCATGTGAATGACAGCATGTGAATGACAGCATTTAAATGACAGCATGTGAATGACAGCATTTGAATGACAGCATTTGAATGACAGCATTTGAATGACAGCATGTGAATGATAGCATTTGAATGACAGCATTTGAATGACAGCATGAAAATGACAGCATTTGAATGACAGCATTTGAATGACAGCATGAGAATGACAGCATGTGAACGACAGCATGAGAATGACAGCATTTGAATGACAGCATTTGAATGACAGCATTTGAATGACAGCATTTGAATGACAGCATTTGAATGACAGCATGAGAATGACAGCATGAGAATGACAGCATGTGAACGACAGCATGAGAATGACAGCATTTGAATGACAGCATTTGAATGACTGCATGAAAATGACAGCATTTGAATGACAGCATGAGAATAACAGCATTTGAATGAAGGCATTTGAATGACAGCATTTGAATGACAGCATTTGAATGACAGCATGAGAATGACAGCATTTGAATGACAGCACAGCATGAGAATAACAGCATTTGAATGAAGGCATTTTAATGACAGCATTTGAATGACAGCATTTGAATGACAGCATTTGAATGACAGCATGAGAATGACAGCATTTGAATGACAGCATTTGAATGACAGCATTTGAATGACAGCACTTGAATGACAGCATGTGAATGACAGCATTTGAATGACAGCATGTGAATGACAGCATGTGAATGACAGCATGTGAATGACAGCACTTGAATGACAGCATTTGAAGGACAGCATGAGAATGACAGCATTTGAATGACAGCATTTGAATGACAGCACAGCATGAGAATAACAGCATTTGAATGAAGGCATTTTAATGACAGCATTTGAATGACAGCATTTGAATGACAGCATTTGAATGACAGCATGAGAATGACAGCATTTGAATGACAGCATTTGAATGACAGCATTTGAATGACAGCACTTGAATGACAGCATGTGAATGACAGCATTTGAATGACAGCATGTGAATGACAGCATTTGAAGGACAGCATGAGAATGACAGCATTTGAATGACAGCATTTGAATGACAGCATTTGAATGACAGCATGAGAATGACAGCATTTGAATGACAGCATTTGAATGACAGCATGAGAATGACAGCATGAGAATGACAGCATTTGAATGACAGCATGAGAATGACAGCATGAGAATGACAGCATTTGAATGACAGCATGAAAATAACAACATAAGCAGCCGCTTCAATGTTTGTTACACTGAATACAGGGATACACAAATCAGTACAGCAACAAAAGAGATGGAAGTGATAATTCTGAAAGACAGGACTGACCCTCGCATTTTCTGAATCCGTCTCCGTCAAAGCCAGAATCACAGCGGCAGCTGAATGAGTTTTTCGTGATAATGCATCGAGCTCTTTTGTTGCACAGACTCGAGATCTTGTTTAGTTTTGCGCATCGTTGCGGATCTGTTGTCAAAAAATTAGAAAGGTGGTGTAAACCGAGGAAATAATTTGCAATTACAATGTTATAAAAAATAAATACGTTCAAAGGTTTTTAGACAATTTACTACTATAATACGAATACGGGCTTTTCTCCTGAAGGGAAAAAAGTAAGATATCAAAGGCAACCAATACGCGCTAAAGCGGTTGGATCTCTAAAATGATCAAAACTTAAAGTCTCTGAAGGAATCGTTCTGTTAAACATTGGGCATGAAAAAGGTGCAGGCTTAACTGTCAAGCTCCACTGTGGGTTCATTCTAGCAGCTCTGCCAGCCTCCATTTTGGTTATATATGTCGTAAGACTACCCATTTTAGCTAAACCTGAGGATAATCTGTTCCAAATGGCAAAATTCCTTGTGGCTTCTTTGAGAACGTGTTTTCTCTAGCCTTAAACACGTGAAACTGTTATCTGGATCAACGCTGATTGGACTAGATCGCTACACGAGATCACGGAGAAGCCAGGGTTATACCAACACCAAAAAGAGGTCAATGTAAAATTACATAGCATGTGGTACATATCATTGATGGGCAAATAATGCTAAGAGGAGTGCGAAAGGAACTTAATAGTATCAAGAAACATAGTCTGACAAAATCAGTAAAAACCAGCGTATAAGAGCCTTATAAAGTTCACAGACAAAAATAATGGAGTTAGGTCCTACACTAATAGAACTGATTCAGCCCGAAAATTGAAAGTTTTTATTTCGCAGATCAATATAAAATTTGGATAGATAAATTTGGATGAAACTTCAAGCTACTTAGGGAACCAAACAAGCCTGCTATTAGGAAACGTATCAAGATTCTAGTCAAATTTGTCTGTTCTTATACGCTTGTGTTTATTGTAGCAACAGATGAAAAAAGCTTACCGTTCTGAAGCAAATTGACAGTTTTCCTCATGAGATCATACGTATTTGTCTGCGAGAAGTCTTTGTCTTTAGCTTCAGTTGCAACGCCTAAATCTTCTAAAGAACGGTTCTTCAGAAATTCTAAATTATTTCCATGCACTAGCTTCCTCTTCAGGTATTCCATGCTGTTGAAGTTAGAAAACTTCGGGTTCATAAACACATCTGAAAGTGTCATTTGTTTTCCTTTTGCCTGGGATATTCCAGAACTGGTGAAGAAATCTTTGAGTGGCGTAAAAAGTACACCATAATTGTCCTCAGTTTTGGCACTCATAAAGTCACGTAGATTCTTGCTCAACGAGTCGAACCCAAGGCCAGTTATGTCTTGGACTTCTGCTAATGAAATATTCAGGAACGGTTTGAGCAGCTTGGTAGTGTTGAATGCAGTTTTGATAATCTCGTCTGATGACTGATTAAAGCACATTTGAAATACATTTCTTATCGTCATGCTTTCAGCCCATGGGTTTTTTATGCTGCATGCTCTAATAACATCTTTCAAAGGCTTCTTCGTGAAACTCCTTTGCATTCTGGCAACAACATCATGCATGTGAAAAAGAATGTTTATGCTTTTGTGCGGATTGAAAAGAACCATATTCCTTGCACTTTGAGCCAATAGCTTTCCTACATCAGGTTCTGCCTCTGACTTTAATAGCTCAAACAATTTCCTAGATATATGGTGAGTATTCATGAAGTACTCACTGACATATTTGTCCTTTTTCATCTGTTCGACAGCCTTAAGAAGAAACGGAAGCCCGGTCTCCAAAAACGGCATATCTTTAATCCGGGAAACGTTGATACCGAGAGGAACTTTCTCCCTGACACCAAGGTGTAATTTTAAGAAGCCAAGCAGTATCTGGGCACTGTGGGCTGTATGTGACTTACTGTCGAAGCCAACAAAGACGTCAAGTAGCCTTTTGATTGTGAAATTGTAAGAGTCAAAACCTTCAACTGGGCCACGGAGCAGTGCCTTGATGTCATCATTGGGATACTTCAAGTACTTCTTAATGCCAGGATTACCCTTGATTGACTTAATATATAATGGGATCTGCCACGCCGATTTAGAGAGGCGCTTTATCATATCAAGGAAGGTGGCATTCTTTAGAGATGATAAGGGTATGCCTCTATTTGCGCTCAAACTGCTAATTGGAACACTAAAGTCAGGACCTGAAAGAATGAAGATTTGTGGTTTATGTAAGGATTGCGTAATTATAAAAGTAACTACAAAAAGGAAAAAATTGGAGACCATGATTTTGAGTATATAGGAACTGCGGCACTTCGCAATACAGGAATTGAGTTTTAAAGCTTGAAGTCATAAGATTTTCTGACAGCATAATTTGAAAAGCATAATGAAATACCTTAAAGTGCAAATAAGTTAAATCGGTTGCGAATTGACAGACATAGAGCAAGTGAAAGAGCTGAATTTGCTTATGGATTACGTTGACTTGGACGTTTTTCGTAGAACCAAGAACAAATTATAATGATTTGATGGGAAAAGAGCCTGTGCTTATGAGGACATACCTCAGCCAACATCTGTAGCTCATTTAGCCTTTGTACAGTCAGATGTATTTCGCATCGCGCTTTTTGGGCATGTACTCAAAATCAAAATAATTCTTTATGACGTCAGGACTCTGTTATGTGAGGCTTCCTATATGTTATCTACCATAAATAAATTACAAGAAAAAACTATAGAGTGAATATCCTGTTATTTTAGAGGGGTTGCACAGCAGTCGGAAAACATTAAGAAACTCCAGTAATCGTGGAGTGAATGCTATTAAGGGTACAAATGTGGTTCTGTTGCGTTTTTACACAAATGGGAACTGATAAATAACCTGTATAGACTTCTTAAGAAATTCTACAAAAAACTCACTTGGGAACTCTTCCTTGCTCAGCTTCGCCAGATCCTGAAGAACTCCGAGTACTGTTCGATTTAAAAAATCATCGTTGGACAGACCTCGTGCAAATTTGATTTCATTAAAAGTAAGGGTATTAAGAATAGTGTTGTTGACATGGAATTTTTTTGCGACCATGTCAATTAGTTGTTTCACTGGAGCTATCGAGACAGCTAGTCCTGGCAATGTTGTGTCCATGTTCTTTCCCATAATGAGGTGTTTAATTTGCATTGTTAACATTTCATAAAGTTCAACTTTGCTCATCGCCACTATGCCAGGGCGATTCAACACCAGGTTCATGCCATAGAATGTCCTATGAAGCACCTCCGCAGTTTTCAAATCCATCTTTTGCAGCAACGCAATATTTCGCGCAGAAAGCTTTAGCGCCTGTGCGACGTCTTGCTCCCTTTTATCGGCTATCAAACTGATAAATTTTATTAGAGGAGTGCGCTCAATTTCTGCCTTTGTTTTACCAAGGATCTTAGCGATTTCTTCGTTTGCCAAATCATTGACGTGAACTTCCACGTTTTCACTCGCATTTACCCGCGCGGCTGCACTTGCTTGTTTGTTAACAAGAGTCATAATTGAATTCATTGACAGAAAATAGAAGTACTTTGTGGGGTATAGGATAGAGCTTAATTTGTCAACAATGATCGGGAGTTGGTTTAATGTGGTACTGTTGAGCCCATTGATAACATCCTGCGAAATGTTGAAAATGTTCACCATTGTGGAGACGTTCATTTGTAAAATCTGAAATGATATATCCAAAAGTGAATTGTTATTCAAATTTGTTACGCTAAGTCCTTGCTTCTTGGCAACAAAGAAAATTGGTTCATGAAGAGGTGTCTGCTTTTTATTAACAAGATACCTTGCCAAGATTGCATTTTGAGTCAACTTTATCAGACTTTCGAATGGCATATTGAGCTGCGTTGCAAAATCACCCACTTTTATAGACAAAATTTCTGCAGGGAAATTTTGCAATGGAACTAATTTGAGTAGCGGAAAATCCTCAGGTAAACCAAGACACTTGAGTGAAATTTGAATTAAAGTCATTTTTCTCAGTTCTTGTTGAGATATATTGCATTTTTCTGCAGAGCTTGCAACACTCATGCTCTCCATTCCCATTGCTATGGACGCGAATCTACTCATATCCTGGGCCATCTTCTGATTGGCTAACTGAAAACTCTGACTAGCTGCCTGGGTTTTGCTGGCTGACCCACGTACCATAGCAAAGGCCATATTCCTTCTTGATGTTAAGATTTCATCAATAATCGTTTGATCCTTTAAAAGCATTTTGAAATATTTCTCGGGCATTTTGGAAATGGAAATGAAAAAACGCTCTCGGGTTTCATTTAGGATTTTTGGCAGCTTCTTGAGAAGAACTGGATATAAATCGGTCAAATACCGCCGACTAACCAGCTCAGAATCACTGGTTTCGAGTGCAGATGAAATTGATGTGTTACCAGAAAGCATCATTAGAGATGTTATGACTTGCATTGTCACTGCCGGCGAGTCAAAAGAAGATGCCATTTGAATAACTTGTAGGAGAGAAACTTGATAACCAGTGATTCCTGGTATCATTTGAAACCCATCATAGTATGCAATAACATCTGCAATTGATTTCGACTGCAGAAATTTTTCTAATGGTGGCGACAATGGCAGCCAACTCTTAAGGCTTTGTAGGCTCAGGCTTGGCGAAATGACTTTTAAAATGTCTTCTGCGGTCTTTTTTGAAAAGGCGTCAATATTGGAGCCACTACCAGAAGCCAATGTTGCTATGGGCGTGTTGAGCTTTTCTGCAAAAAATAACACGGATTCAAAGAAATAACGCGTCAATGTATCAGTGATATAGATCAGAAAGAGGCATAAAAATGTACCTACGCTCAGAGAGGGAAAGAATGTGGAAAGTGCATGGACAAAAGATAGGACGTTGCACTAACCGCTGGCGCGCATTGTTTTCTATAGGCCGAACAGGCTGTTTAGTTTTCAGAAAAAATGTAGTGCAGGCACGATGAAGGGGGCTGGTCAGCTGCAAGGCCTTGTGAGCCTGTACAAGGGAGAGGACAGGCCTGTCTCTAGTTATTGTGGTCAAGGGGGATGTCCAAGACCCAGTTGCCTACAATTTGGATACAACATCCCTTGTTTGGCGGCAAGTTTGGAAATTTGCCTACTAAGCACCCCTAGATGGCGAAAATTCCTCGTTTTTGCAATGGAATTTTTTCAAGGGGGTGTCACACCCCACATGCCCCGCCATAGCCGCCATAGCGACGGACATAAAAGAAAATGAAAGAATCAAGACTTCTGAGCGCACACAATATAGGCCATCGACAGACATATAAGTGGCTTAAGCCATCAGCTTGTGGGATTACGCTTCTTGATTGGTTTATTGACAGACGTATTAAGCCACTTCAGTTTCAGTCGATTGCCTTAAATGAAGTCTGGAGAAGAAAAGGAAGACAGTCAAATAGTTTGAATTGGAAGTAGCAGCAGAACAGTTTTTGCTGTTTATAACACAAACATGTAATAAATAACAAGTCTGCTATGTCATCTTCTTAGCAATAAAGTTGTTCGATTCATGATTTTTGAAAACAGGATTTATTTTTCGAAACAGTTTGCAGCATCCAGGGAAGAAAAGTGTTGGAATTAGGGGACAGAGTCTTCAATCTTGCTATATTGTGGCAGTTATTTACAAATTAATAATAATTTTGAAAATGGCTTTGAAAAAAGCAAACATTTTACAAAACCATTTTCAAGTTCTGTACTGCAAAAATAGTTTAAATGCTAAATTCAACATTTCTCAAGTATTAAGCTATAAAAACTTTTGATGGATATGGCAAAGCTTTCATTGGGTCTCTGCCAGGTAAGGAAATTGAAAAATCACAGTCTGTGAGCATTACATAATTGTTCAATTCACAGGCATTTCACTACGGCTTAAGACACTCATCATAGATGTTTGTGGGTTGTTTTTTTAAACATTTACTTGCCTTGCCATCAATAAATTAGAAACATTAGAGAGTTTTCATGAGGAAGTACAGTTTTATTTTAATTCCAAGATGCAGGGCATAATTTATTTTTCACCCTGCCACCGGAGGAAAATCATGCATAAACTTTCTCCAAGAATAGAAAGATAAACAAAAAAATGGTAAGGTTCCAACAACCCCAATGATGTGTCGCCAGTTTTTTAAAAAAATAAAAGGGGAAGCTACATTAAAAAGGTTTAAGCAATTTTCCTACCACTACAAAATCAATTTCTGTTTTAGTGACTGAAAATTATTCTTTATCCATGAATATCTACATTGAACTGGTATAGGGGCTTAGCTATGATATTAATTTCCTAACTGGTGAGAATATTCTTAAGCCAGATAAAAGACTGAATTTTCAAAAACATTTTCAAGGGTTCTCAGGTAGGAAAATCAATTTAACCTGTACAAGGGACCTACATAAGATATATTACTTTTGTCTTAATGTTTTTCCTTTTATAAATTTTCTGCGACCACCCAGTTGCATGGTGGAGTGGGTTTTCATGCCCTGCCAAGATGCTTTGGAGTTTAGAACAGGATACAGTCATGGGCGGAGACTTGATCAAATATTGGGGGGCAAGCCTATTGTTTTAATAAGATGATGTCACATTTCCTATTGTTTTAGAACAAAAGACCATTGTCCTCTAAAGTATTGGGGGGCGGTTGCCCCACCTCGCCCCCCTCCCAAGTGTCCGCCACTGGATACAGTATCCTGATGATCACAGCAAGCAAAAGCCTAAAACTGCCCTGTTCACTCTATTACACTGAGCACTCTATTACAGACAAGTAAATAGTAATTTCCATTATTATCTGAAATATACTTACGTATATCACTGCTAGATTGCCCATTTGCAAAGCAGATGAAAGTGAAAACAAACAATACACATAAAAGCTTCATCTTTCAAGGAGATACTGTTTACAAGCCCTGAAAATAAAACACAACAGTATGAATCGTCACAAAGTGTAGATAGCTTAGCTATATATGGGTTTCTGCCTATTATCAACTGAAGAATCTGTGCATGGGTTAGACAAAGGAGAACTAGATTTAAAAATTTTGATTGATAAAGGGATCTATTTTAAAATAGAGATCATTCAGCCTTTTTGCTGCAAACCACAAGAGGGATGTGGCTCACCAATTAGTTGACCAAAGCATGACATCATGAAAAATCTTGTTCAGAATTTCTTAATATGACAACATTATCTGAAATCATAGCATAAAATAACTCTTAATAAGCAAAATCAGTTAAATATTTTCAAAATTTGGTAATATATGGCCAATGAAAGATTTAAAGCTTGCAAACAGATTACTGTTATTCAGGCCTGGTTCACAAAGTTATGAACCAAGACAAGATTACATTAAGTTGATAGGAAAAGAGCCTGTGCAAATTGGCTATATCCAAGCAAGTTTATGGAGCTGATCTTGCACATTTAGAGGTATATATTTAATAGCGCTTTTTCAGGGTCAAAACTGAAAAACTCTAAATATATATATTTTTGTGGCATCATAACTTTGAAATGTAATGTGTGAGAAGGAAGAACCGCAGGATAGGCTGTCCGCCGGATTCTGTGAATCTTGCAATGAGTGTTGTTATACAGGTATGCAGGAGAAAGATATACAGGAACAAAGCAATACGACGATGACTTTGAAACTCTAAAGCCACATATAATTCTGATAAAATTCTATACTTATCAAAGCACATAAAGGGTCATCTGTGCCTTCTTCTCTGAGAGTGGAAACCCATTTAATCCAATGCACACACCATGAGCAAAAGCATTATAAGAGATCAGGGAGATGTTACAGGCAGAAATGTTTAGCGGTAGGAAAATTCTAACAAAAATGTCTCTCTTGATTTATATATATTGAATTATTCTCGTACTGGTTTTAAGACATTTCCATGCATTTCCTTGAATGAAAAAATAAGAGAGCCTTTTTTATAAGAAACAAACTCCTTATATTATGAAAAATTAGGGAACCATGGTACTGATCACCCTCAGCCTTGAGCTCCTTGAAAAACCAGGGAAGTTGAGCTGTTTATAGATTTGGGGTGGGAAGGGGAAGGTTGGTTTCAAAGCTTTTGATTCCTCAACAATAAAAAAGACAAGATAAATATGACTCATTTAATGTTTTAAAATACAGTTTAGGAGAGGGGATAAGCCCTCCAATTTTTTAGAAATATAACAGAAAAATCTAAAGGAGCAATTAAGTGTCTTTTGAACTTGAAAGTTTTTGCAACCATTGAAATATGTTGCAAACTGGCTGAGTGGCCAGTGGAAGACCTGATATTTACTGCAAGGATATTTGAAGTGTTGCCAAGGTTAAAAAAGTTAGAACTGCATATCCTACTAAATTACTTTAATTTGACAGAAAAGGAGCCTGTGCCTAAGTGGTTTTCTCTCATCCAGGTTTGGATATACTCGACTTTCTTCTCTTGCATTAGATAGATGCTTTTGCTATTTTCAAGGCGTTCTTTTGAATTACATAGTCATTATGAAAATATCAAAATGAGATTTCCAGGATGTCATAATTAGCCACCACTTCTTGACTTTGCCATAAAGCCAGCTACACCATAACAAGGGCATGCTATATTCTTACTTAGTAGGCTGCAGCTAAACCATACCAGGGGCATGTTCTAGTGAGGACCTGAGGAAGGATCAATTCAGTTGAGTCATTAAGTCGGTCAATTGCCTCAGAAGACCTTGTTTCTATAACCTGCCTCTAAATCTTGACCTGTTGAAATCGAACTTAGTTGGATATCTGAAAAAAATATTCGCAAACTATGTAATATTTGCAACGTCTTGATCTACAGAAATAACTTAACAAACTACAAATTCTTGTTTAGGGTCAAACCACAATGCGATGTTTACACATTCAAATGTTGAAGGCTTTTGGATCTTCATCTCACAACAAACTTATCTTTAGAAAAAGAAATTGATAGGCAAACAAAAATACATGGATCATTATTTATCGCAGCATAAACAAGATCTTTCAAATACGACTGGTGTGCATAAATTATTAACCCTTCGGCACGGTACGAGTTGGGCATTGATAGATACAGATCACCAACGACCACCATTTTCAATGCTGAAACTTAACTAACAATGGTGCTTTACCATTAATAAACAGCAACGATTGCGTATTTCTTTACTATCATCCCTTGGAATTTTTGTTCCTTAAATTCACAATCTATTAAATTAGGTAAATGACTTTATTTGCTGGAAATATTAACAGTTCTGTGCTCACAAAGCACCTTGGACTTGTAGGTGCTTCCTAATCGGCCTAATCCAATGCAGAAACATGCAACATGAAACTTCCCGACTACAACATTGTGTGATATTTGAAAAGCAACTAAAAGAATAGGGTGATGTATTTCCGAGTAATTAAAGACTTACCCTACTCTTGAATATCATTCGCTTGAACTGTGACACTTGAAAGTTGTAGCTAGCAAAGACACGATGTCCCCTCAGACTCCCCGATCTGAACTCGTTTACGGGTGGGGCCGCGAATCTACCGCGAAACAGCGACCGCAACAGCGTACTTTCTGGGTGACTATTTTCTTTTGAAATTTGACAGCTGTGACTAAACTGTTGGTTTCTTCTTCTGACCTATACGGTCTACGCTAAAGTTGTGTTGAAAATCCCCAACGACAGATAAAATCCAAATTTCCACCAGGGAAGCCGGAGAGGGGGGCGCGGGGGGTCAACCGCCCCTGTTGCCTTTCGATAGGAGGGGCAAGGGGTGATGCTAAAGTGCCCATTTCATAAAAAAGCCCTTGATGCCGGCCATTTGTAGGAAATCCATGAGAATCATATGAAATCCAGAGTGTATTGCCTCATTTATGACGACATTTCTCGAAACTTATGAAGACATTTCTTATGCCGTTTAACTGAAACTATAAAATCCTCTTTGGATAAAACAGATTTGGCTGTGGAATTTTCATTGATCTTCAAAAGGCTTTTGATACAGTTAACCATGATATACTTCTAAAAAGTTGGAACATTATGGTATCAGGGGCACTGCTTTAAGTTGGTTTCAATCTTACCTTAGTAAACGCAAACAGTTTGTTTCAATTAATGGCCATTCTTCTTCTCTCACAAACATATCTTGTGGTGTTCCCCAAGGATCAGTTATTGGGCCTCTGCTATTTTTAATCTACATCAATGACCTACCAAATTGATCACAGTTTCTATCTTTTTCCTTTTTGCTGAAGATACCAACATTTACTGTGACTCTGATAACCTTCAACTTTTAACCAAAAAAATCGACAGAGAACTAAAGAAAGTTAAGCTTTGGCTTGATTCAAATAAGCTTGCACTAAACATTGAAAAGACAAATTTTGTACTTTTTCACTCCCCAAGGAAGAAATTTTCAGAATTCACCAAGGTCAAAATTGGTAAACAGTATATTGAAAGGACTAAGCATGTAAAATTTCTAGGAGTTCTCATGGACGAACATCTGACTTGGAAGTACCACAAAACTGAGCTTTGTAAAAAACCTTCTAGAACTGCTGGTATTTTCTTCAAAGTGCGGCATTATGCCCCCTTGCCTACTCTTGTCTCTCTCTACAACTCACTTTTCTTCTCCTTCCTCAACTATGGTATTTCATCTTGCGGATTGACTTATGAAACCTACCTAAACCCACTCTTTAATCTTCAAACGAAAATTCTTCGCTGTATTAAATTTGAGCCCCTTCCTTCCTCCTAGCATGCCACTTTTTCAGTCATTAAAGACTTTAAAAATTGTGGATATTCTGCGCCTGAACATCTTAACCTTTGTTTATAAATCTCTTAATAAGCTATCTCTTTCATGCTTTCATGATTACTTTCAGACAAATTCATCAGTTCATAGAATTGGGACTCGCCAGGCTACAAGAGGCGATCTTCTTAAGTCTATAAAAAATACTAAAATGTATGGTCTTCAAACAATTCAGTACTTTGGTTCAAAACTTTGGAACACTCTTCCACTATTTATGTGTTGCTTGCTCTACTGTGGTTTTTCGCTCAAAATTGAAAAGATACCTTCTTGATTCATATTCACAAAACTAAATTTTAATTAAACACATATGATCTATCCCATTGAGGTTCATCTGGATTTTGGTTAATATGTACTGCCTTTGTTTTTTTAAATAATTTTTGGTTCTTTGTTTTTTACGGAGGAGGCTCTTTCTCGATTACCTTTCTAGTTTACCTACTTAGAGAGCTCCACCTTAATCGGTCAATCTTAAATTCAATCATGTAGAATAATTTTTTAATTTGTTTTTAGTGTTGTTAGTTTTTAGTTCTTAGTGTTGTAATGTATCTTAGTTGTAGAGTTTTGTGTATGAATTGTATTTAGGATTGATTGATGAATAAAAAACGAAAAAAAATGAAATGAATATTATGCCAAAATTTAGCCGATTTTTAAGATACCGACAGAAAATCGAAAGAAAATGACAGTTACGAAAGAATTGTTGGTAGCTGGGAATTAATTGCCCTTTCAAATGCCCTTTCACTCAAGCCCGCCACATTTTGCCGCTTGGTCGTTCCGGCGTCCCTGATTTCCATCAACTTTCACTGCCAAAGACGAAAGGGCGTCTCTAAATGTTCCATTCATCCGGCAACATGCAAGGACCGAGGAGCATATTACGAATTTTCAAGTATCCCCCAACACTTTGTTTGTCGGCACATTAAAGATTTTTGCCGGGTAAAAGATTGAATTTTTGTCTTGGTTTTTGAACTATGCTACAGTTTGAGGCTTTTAAGTCCAACCTCCCCCCAGATAGTTATCCTTGGGCCTGTGAATCCACCATATATTGCACATAGAGCCAATCTTTCCAGCATTCACTCATCACCATGCCCTTAAATGTTATCGTTGGTTCCCCCTTTACCTTCTACCATCCGCCTTTCAAACATTTATTTCATGAAAATAAGCACCACACTGAATAGATGTTATGAATGTAGAATCTAACACGAAATCATAGGCCTGTCTATCTTACCTCTAACTTAGCTAGTAAGTATGAGATCTGAATTTCATTTCGAGCCGTTTTTTGTTGAGAACCCAGTGGCCCCCGATGAAAATCTTCATGCATTTCTAGACCGGCACTCAAAATACTTAAGAACCCTGCTATACAATGAGTCAGAAAGTAAAAGCGGTGTTAGAGATCACATTATGGCTCTATTTCGATATTGCTCTTAAAGTGCCCTTGAAAAAAAAGGAGCTGATTTTTACAAACTATTACTTTCACTTAAGGATACTTTTATTTCAGGGGTGTTGTTGAGGGGGGAGGGTTCTCTTAGAATTAGCCATTTACTTACAGTGCCCGCACGCACAAAAAATGTCAAATGGAAATCGGCCTTAAGATTTGTCTTGCGTCTTTCGGTTAAAGAATTTGATAAATTGTTATAAAATCACAATCACAGATCACAGATCAAACAGTCAATGATAACAAGATGGGCTTATCAAGAAAGATCGTTATACTTAGCACGTAGATATGACTGGTGAATGACATGTTTTACAAATCTGCTTGACAAGCCAAAAAGGTTACATACTGTCCCAAAATATTTGCCTGCTCGTCATCAGAGTACAACAGGCTCAAGTTTATAATAAAATATGTTGTAAATTGAAATTAGAATTTTTAAATCAAAATGACATTGCAGACCTTTTTAAGGCAAGTCCTTTTCTTCTTTCTCTAGAGATATATATTTATCATTAGGTAACTTTTTAAGATGGAAATTTAAATCGGTGGTTAATATCTAAATTTTATGTGTAAATTATACAACAACCTTGACTGTAGTCAAGGCTAATTGAATCTTCCTCTAAAGTCGGCGACATGCCTACGCCATGGCATCTACATTCCTAATACATTAGTTCACGAAATATTTGAATTTACCCAGTCAATGAAGTTATACACTTTGACATAAACGCCAAATGCATCTTTCTTGCCACAGCCTTCTCCCCAGCTCACAACGCCAATAAGAACGTGCTTCTTTGTTTTGGCATTCCATACTGTCAAAGGTCCTCCAGAGTCTCCTTTGCAAGCATCTCCTTTGTCACCATCACCTACAAATGAAACGGCAATTCATATTTCGGCTCGTTATTGTAAATAACTAAACTCAGTTTATTAAAATACCGAAACATGATTTACCAAAAAAGGGTAGTAAAAGAAAATATCAAGCCTTAGATAAAAATAAGAAGAAAAAATAGGCTGTTGAAAACTTTCACTCATTTTAGCAAAACAGAGCAGATCTTATCAGCTAATCAACGAGGCTACTAAAAATGTTTCGTGAAACTGTAATTTAGTAGTTTTAGAATCTTCAGATCGTTCCAACCAGACCATTTAAATCTTCAGAAATATGACGGAAATTTTTTCTACAATTAATCCACTGAAACTTTTGGTACCGGGTTTTTTGGTACTTATTATATATTATGCGGTGTGAAAACAACAACATAAAAACAACACGTTTTAAAAAGCTAACAGCCTTTCAGACAGATGCTGGCTCGTCTCCCCAACAAAAATTGCATTGGTGCATGTTATTTGTTGTCCAATTGAAAATGAAATGATATTTGCGGGATATAGTTACACAGAAGCCATTTCATAACACCTTTGAGTGTCAAGATGGGATGCCTAAGACTTTGAACAATTGATCGTGGGGGGATGGGAGAAAGGGCAGTTTCAAGTAGGAAGCAAGAGCTTTCATCTTACCTGCACAAAACATGTTGGCGGTCAACGGATGTGACATGGCGCTATTACAACGCCCATGATCAACCAAAGGTATCTTCACCTCTCGCAATCTTTTTGTTGTCTTGAGTTTATCTTCGCGCTTTTTATCCTTACTTCCCCAGCCAGCAATCATTGCTTCTTCTCCTGGTTTTAGTAGCTTGAAGTCACTGTCATCATAAGGTAAGCAAATCGGTATGACGTAATCAGTTATTATAACTGGTTTATCAAGCTCGACCAGAGCGAGGTCTGAATCAAACGTTGGATGATCAAAACGAGGGTGAGTGTAAAGCATTCTGATGGATCGAATCTGCTCATGTGCTTCATTCCTGACTCTTGTTTTGCCAAATTTTACATCAAGATCTTTTCTTTTAAGCAGGCCTTTAAAAAAGAGATACAATATGAATAACCTTAGGCTTTTTTAAAAGAATACTTTTTGTACATGAAATTTCCTACTTTTACTGGTTACATCTAGGGGCATCATGTCACACTGTAAATCAGTTATTATTTTTTCATTACTGAATGTATTGTATAAATAATTAAAAATAAAAAATCAAATCAAACAAGTTTTAACATTTGAGCTTCTTCAAGCAAATTTTAACATTTGAGCATATTTTTTCATGCTAGGCAATTTTCCAACAGAAACTTGTTGGGGACTGTTTTCTAATGCTGTATTTAGAAGTATGAGAGAGAAGTATGTTTTTATTCTCTGTGTCTAACGTTTTATGACAACCAGCAAATGATGTTGATTGATTTATTTTGCTGGCTTCAATTGTTTTTTCATATTTCGTGTACTAGAGTTTCTTAATTTTTTCAGATTGTCAATTACTTGCTTGTTATAGCTAGTTTTTTTAAAAAAGCAAGTTTACTGTCATTTAATTTCGAGTACATGTCAAAATTTGGGCCACAAAACCATTTTAAGCGATTTTGCTAAGTGGAGGTGTGAAATACTGTACAGGTTTGAAATAGCACTTTGCACAATCAAAGCCAATTGAATTGAAGCTCAGGAAAAATCATAAGGAAGAATCTATGATATAGAACGAGGGATATACATATCCTATGATTGATGTGTTCAGGCAATATTTGGAAAAACGTGAATGTACTTTTTACATGAATGAATGAATGATTTGGAGCCCACGTTCCTATGCGTTACTTAAAATGACCTTAAGTAATAATAATAACAATAATAATTATATATAATACTAATAACGGATGTTAACAGATCAACATAGCATGGCTATTCTCTGTTAAATAATAAATAAGATATTGTCTTTAATTTAAGAAATATTGTCTTGAATACATCAATGTTGTCTATAAATCGTTGAAAAAACTTTTAAACTAACTTAATACATTGTACCTTGTTAAAAACATATGTAACCATAGCCAATAGAAAAATGGTGGGACCTCGTTGTCACGAAATGGCTATGTAAATTTCAACCTTGCCACTTGTATATAGATAAAAAATCGATTGTAGAATCTGTCTCAAACAACCTCCATATCATATGTAATGGCTCCGTATGACACAAGGTATGATCCCGTAGCGTTGCGACACCATTTAAAATATTGAGGGGAAAGAACAACATCTGAACGTGATATTAGCAGCCTTATCATAACTGTTTGTTAAAAAAACTCACCGACAAAACAATGTGCAGCAGTAAGAACCCATTTTCTTGCGATAAGTGACCCGCCACAGATTACTTTCTTACTCGTCTTGCTCCAGAACATCGCTATCCATGGGTGAGTACCAGCTCCAGCAATTCGTCCTCCAGCAATGCGCTGCCTCGTTGTGAACTTGGGGATACCACACTCTGTACGAAAAAAATCTAAACTTAAATCTGCTTCATCATTAAGTTTTTTTTCAGGGCGAATCTGCCGTGTTCTATGCACTGGAGATTACTTCTGAAAATTTTTGTGGAAGAAAACTTTGTGTGGTTATTTTCTTAGGTGGAATTATAAAAAATGATGAAAATTTGTAAGTAAAAAAGCTCTAAAAGCAATTTGAATTTTCTTCTTGTGTAAACAACATTTTAGATAGTAAATTAAAAATATAGTTCAGCCTTGTAAGTCTTTGATTGATACTAAAAATGAATAGAACGCACAACAAATTTATGAGGTTGTCCTCTCTAAACATTATATTCTCCGCAGAGACCTGGGAAGCGCATGAGCACTTTGATTCAGTGATCCTTTCCCTTCTCAACAACCGGAGCATTTCCTTCTACCTAGTGCAAAATGAGCTTCAAACGATTTCTAAATTACTTTTTTCGTCAAAACATCTTCTTATAGAACCCAATTTCATGTCATTTTAAAAAATTGCTTTGACGAATAGATGTTGTGATGACATCAAGCAAAATAAAACAGGGACCAAAAATTTCCTCTTGCATGAGTGAGTATCGGCTCAAGTGACGTCATAAGGTAGATTATTATCTGTAAACAAGTTAACAAATTCTTAGAAAGAATAGTTAAGAGCATTACCTGGTATTTTTTCACCCAACACTCTTAACTTTGCACTTGACGTAATTTGTCCGGCTGCATTCGACACCACGCACGTAAATATACCGGAATCTGAAAAGCGGGCATTCTTAATGAAGATGGCTTTTCCCAACGCCAAGATTCTAGATTCTTTATCTTTGACTAGGAATGGCTCCCCGTCTTTTAACCACTTGGTCTCCAAATCACCACCTCCACTTGCACTGCATTGTAAAACGGCAGCTTTTCCAACCGGTATTGTTTGGTTTTGAGGCTCTTCTATGAAAACTGGTTTGCCTATTGAATAAAAGAGATTCGATGAAAAATCTGACGTGCGTCAATTTTCCGTAAATTGTACAGTGCACAAAAATATGGCGGTCACACTTTCAACGACCAAGCCAGTGAATGGATAGGGTCATAAGGACCTGGTCACCGTGGTAACAATAAAATTGGAGTGTAGTTTATAATAGCCCTGGTCAATTTGGTTCATCAGCATACATTATTTACACTAGAACGTAGAACCTCCATGTAAAGAATACTTGTGCCAACAGAAATACTCTCCGTTGGGAGCACTGCTTTGAGATTATTCCTACACAGCTTTGCTCATAAGGAAGGAATCTTTAAACGAATGCTTTTATCCGTTGTCTAGATGACAAGAAATCCTTTAATGGAAGTTTTACAGCACTCTGATTAGTACAAAAACATGAAAGATCTAAAACTCGTTACCAAAGCTTCTCGAAATAAGAATAATTATCTTTGAAAAGAGAAAGTACATTTGCCAACACAGAAAGTATAAAGCTATAAATTTGAATAAAGAAAGTGGCTTTGAAAAAAGCAAACATTTAGTAAACTAAAGTGTTTGCTTTTTTCAAAGTGTTTGCTTTTTTCAAAGCCATTTTCACGTTTTGTACCACCAAAAGATTGTTTGAAAATAGAAAGTCAATAATAGATAATTCATGAAAGAAACACAAAGTCACTGTTACCATGGCCTCAAAAGTCTTTGGACTACGTATGCCTATAAATAAGATAGTTTTAATATTGACAAATTTGCTTTGAGCATTAGACCTGAAACAAAGGACCAATATCTTTCCAAAAGCCAATTTGTACCTGTTGTAAACATTTTGTACCAACAATCTGGTACAGTTTAAACAACGAATATTATAGATTTATACATACTCATGCATTCGGGTTGTCTTCCACTCCATTTTCCTCCTGACTGGCACCTTCTGACTTGATTACCCACTAACTTATAGCCAGGGTTACAAGTGTAAACAACAGCATCTCCCACTAGTGATCCAGTCACAACGCGATTTCCACCAACTGGTTTTGGAGGATCTGAACATCTCGATTCTATAAAAGACAGAAATGACGTCAAAGCGTTTAGTTGACATGAAAAACGTTCGATTCCAAAAAAGTATCGTTGGCCGGGCTTTAGATTTTTTCAAAACTCTTAGATTGCCTAGACTTAAGTAGCTACATATTTAGAGTTTAAAATATTTCTACTTTGTAACTGGCTTTTAGTATCTAAAATTCACAAGTAGCACTTCTCCCTTCTGTTATTATAATATTTGTTATAGATTTATAAAAGCTTCCAAGTATCAGAAGGCTCCAACAATAAATGCCCCTCCCTCTCTAAGTTTCTGAAGCAGAATATTTTCCCCTTTGCCTTACCAATGCAAAAGGGTGTCCTGTCTGTCCATTGGCCATCGCTTTTGCATCTGATTTGTGACTCTCCGACAAGGTCGTAGTTCTCTTTGCATTTGAAATTCAAGATAGCGTTCTCAGTGAAGTCATCCCCTGTCCTTATTGCATTTGCAGGCACACCAGGGTCCTTGCAGGACTTCGTACTCTTGACTAAAAAACAATAAGGAAAATTGTAGCAAGCAAGAGCAATTTAGGACCTGTTATAAAACTATATCTATTTCTAGAAAGATAACTAATTTTAATTCCATCGTGAATTTTAATTAACAATCTTTTGGTGGTACAAAATTTGAAAACATTTGAGTAAACTAAAGCTTTTCGTCTGAAACTTTTCAAAGGAGATATTTACTCAAATTTTTGCTTTTTTCAAAGCCATTTTCATATTTTGATTAACTGTCTACTATGAAGTGTACATAATCTAAATAAATAGAACGATAATTTTCATACAATTAGTCAGTTTCATACAAAAACCTTGAAAGGGGCTAAATTAAAGGGCTAAATGAAGGAAAAGGACAGAAAGGACCACGAATACACTGAAGCAAAGTTGTCATTATAAATACAGAGAGGAGAGAGGAGCTCTCGGCTTCAAGCATCTGGCAGCCTGTTCGATGATGGAAATGCCTTTCTGTGCAATCCCAATCAAAATCTACAATCCAAAGCAAGATCTACAATCCAAAGCAAGATCTACAATCCAAAGCAAGATCTACAATCCAAAGCAAGATCTACAATCCAAAGCAAGATCTACAATCCAAAGCAAGATCTACAATCCAAAGCAAGATCTACAATCCAAAGCAAGATCTACAATCCAAATCAAGATCTACAATCCCAATCAAGATCTAAATTACAGCCTCCGGCACTGGAATACAGTACCCACTACCGTAAAAAGCTATAATATACCTTTTCCTTTCATGATGAAAATACCAGTCGGTCGCTCTATTGTCGAAAGAATATCTTCTTTACCCAAGCCAGTTGTTTTGTCCACTCTATAGATTGATCCATCCCAGTCTGACCAATAGAGGCTTAAATAAGAACAATTTTAATGTATTCTTTCATGACCACATTATGATCTATGGCATAAAAATCCAGTGGTTTTCAAAAATTCACTAACAGAATGGAAGCATTTTAAATTTTGATAACATCTTGAATAATTCTTTTGCATATCTAGAACCAAAGTCAAAACAAAAGCAGTTGCTGAGGCAAAGCAAACTGTTAATAGAATGAAGCGTTTTTCACAAAAGTTTTAGCAACTACTTTTATTGCTGAATGTTTTTCATTTTCAAATGGAGAACTGAAAGAGAACATTCATAACTTTTGCAATATACAAGACATTACATGACCTTGCTTGAAAATTGATTCAATAATAATAATTTTTTTTTAAACATCTCATTTTCATTGAATACATTTTAAATTTACAATTATACGACTCGCTTTTACAGGCATCATATAATTGGCTTATCTGCATTACAATATTTAAAAGTCGATTAGTTCGGGGCTTAGCCATGGTTTGTTTCGACGACAGAAGATATAGTAGGTGCAGCGGATAGAAATGTTCATGAGTTTCATCAAGATGGATTTAGTTTGATTTGAGTCAAAATTAAGTTGGTGTAGCATGTCAGAGAGAGGAGTAGATGAGGTTCCCAGAATGCCAAGGGCACTCATAGAAAGGTTAACAAAGGTAACACGTTTATAGGCAGGGCTCAGTTCCTTGATAAGATCGCTATATTTCCTAGCTTTTCGAGTACTGTTTTCGTCGATGTTGCTTTCGAACCCAACAGTAAGCTCTAGCATGTAAAGGATTCGATCTTCAGTTACGAAGACAAGATCTGGTCGATAGGAGTCGCCTGTGATTAAAGAAGGTGATAGAAATGAAGGCAGGTCGGCGTAAAGTGAGCTGTTTCTAGGTGTTGAAAGGGTTTTAGCCAAATATAGAAGTACAGAATCATGTCTCCAGGTATTCCTACCATGTGCAAGATAATTCTTGCAGCTAGAGACTATGTGCTGTAATGATTCTGATTGGAGACAGAAAGAGCAGGCAGATGACTGAGTAATTGACCATTTGCAGAGGTTTTTCTTAGTGGCAAGAGTGTTGTTTAGGTATTTGATGGTAAAGTTGTAAATGTTTTTTGGTAACTTTTGCTGGACACTAGACCAAAGTTGATTAGTTCCCTTAGAAGCAAATTTTAAGATGCACGAGATAATAAATCCTTGAGATGTAAGAACGTTTTCAATGCGGTTTTCGTGATCACTTTGGATGGATTTGAGAACTTGTTTGGTGTTGTGATAAACGTCATATTGTATGTTTGTACCAGTGCTAGAGTCTTTCCATAAAGAGCGAATCTCTTGGTTTGGGGACAGTCTTAAAGAGTTGCGGATAACTGTTTGGCATTGTAAGAACTTGGTAGATGGAAGAATGAGATTGATGCCAAACTTCGATTTTGGAATGACGAGGCTACTTAGTGAAGCACTTATTGGCAGCTCGAGCCATTGTCTAACAAAGCTTGAAACAACATTGTCTAGATTCTCTGTCACCCATGTCTTGCTTAAATCAGCGATGGTCAGGTTCTAGGAAATTTTGGATAGCACATATCGGTGGTATAACAGAATTTTGTTCTTTGGATGAATAATAATAATAATAATAATAAAAATAGAATTTCGCATTGTTAACTTTCTTTTAGCATTAGTGATTTCTCTTAGGTTAATGTCATGTGATTTCTCTTACTTGTTCTCAAATACTGCGACAGAGAAAGGGTGTTGCACTAACGCGCCAGCCAACGTTTGCCTGTTGTTTCCCTATTTGAAAAACAAATTCTCTATTAAAACGGAATTCTGTACTCAGGGTAAAATAAACTTGCTATAAGAAACGAGCACTAGTATGAAAAAAAAATGAGACTACGTGACTTGCAATCGATGAATTTCCATGGGCTGGTTTACACAAAAAATACATTTGCTTAATGATAAAATTAGTGGCATTAGAACTAAGAAACTCTTAAGAAACAACAAATGCTGATTTTTCCACAGCATAAGGTAAGTGGAGTGCTCGATGTTGAGACCCTTCTTACATATACAAGAATAGGTGTATGTTGATAAGTTATCAAAATGTTTGCACTGTTTCATTAAGACTGAAATTTGGTTATATCCTATTTGAAATCATCACATCGCTATTAACCAAGAGGGGTAGACGAATGAGGTTACGGGAGGGGTTATCGCACTCTCTAACTTTGAGCTTATGGGCAAATGTAGAAAATTTAAGATGCTAAGTTTATCAATGATTGTTCCAATGTTTTAAACTTTATCCATGCATTTGCTCCATTCCTGTTGAAAAATGTCTGTTTATTTTGAAACGGTTGAAGATTTCACTGGAAATGCATGACGACGTTGTATTATTGTCAACCGTCATGGGTAGGAACGCCATTTGGGGATCTGCGCGCCCCCACATTTCTCTTTAGCTTCGCCCCTCCAATTAACTAAACATTTTTCTAGAGATATACTTTCAGTTGATCCGTAATCAGATAAGAAAATAATAATTTTCATTCAAAGTTGTTTACATACGCTTATGAAATTTGACTTTCAATAGATGATTTGTTACAGGGCTTTACTGATTCAATTGTAGTCCCAAGGAATCCTAGAAGCCTAGGAGAAAATCCAAGCAAGGGTGCCAATAACTTGCAGGCTTTATTCCTACCAGCCTTATCCCTGCTAAAACGGTAAGACCTTCCTACCGAGCATTAATTTCCAAAAGTCGTCTCATTCCCTTGGAGGCTTTGTGCTGCTTTAAGTCAAACCTAAAGAAAGTCTTCTTGGCACTCCGGAATATCAAAGTGACAGAGAAAAACACCGAATGGCTGCTAAAAATCAGTCGCCGTATATTCATGGGGATCACTCTTTCCCAGCCCGAGTAGAATTAACTTTTATTGCAGACAGTTCTTACCGATAAATCCGACGTCTCTATCTTGTCGTATTGTGCATCTGCCCAGTAAAGCATATTTTTGTTGCAATCAGCAGTCAATCCATTTGGCCAAGCTAGGCCATACGACACAATCACACGCCTGTTTATAACTTTCTTTAATGTGCTATCCAACTGGATTCTTTCAATCTTAGCCTGGGATCCCCATTCAGTCCAGTAGATATGAGTGGCCCTGCAAGACAATACGGATATACTGATAGACTTTTAACAGAACACGCATTTAGAACCAAATGTGTTTTTAATGTGGTCAGATATGTTTTTATAGCGTTTTTTAAAAATAGCATATAGACAGAAATGGCTTTCTCTATACATGACGTAAGCATAAGCAATTGGATACATTTTTCTAGTAGCAGATATATATATAGGTCGAAATGGCCCTTAATATAATACAACAAAACATTACATTTTAAACTAAAACAAGAAGAACTGGTTACAAAAGGTTACAGTGTAACCAGATTCATCAGCCGAAAATTCTAAAAGGAATCAAACGTGTACCATGTCTACAACCAAATGAAAGATGTTGAGGCTGTTTAACTTGCTAGTTCCAAATTTTGACTATTCAAACCGAGGCAAGTGAATACTTTACAATGTCAAATCCCGAAGGATAACCTAAGGCAACTTACTAGTCACGTGAACTAATATGGGTCGGGGGGTTATAGATCCCAAGGACGTAGATCCGAAAAACACATTCATTGGAGAAGCCTGAAAGCCTCGAATTTAAAAGGAGTGTGATAAGACACTTGAGTTGATACGGGTAGAATGAAAGCATGTTGGCGTGCATTGCCTATACGTGGATCGAATTCTTCAAAATCCCTGAAAAATCTAGACCAAATTTGAATGCACAATCTGGCATACTTAGTCTAGATAATCTTGAATAGAATTTCAACATAGTCTATTAGTCTATACACCAATTCAACTTACAGCCTCGTTGTGAATTATTACTCCAAACTACATTTAACAACTCGTTTTAGCCTAGATCGGGATTTACCATTGTTACCGAGAGCCCTAGCGTCATAAAAGTTCCACGAAGACTAAAATTCTAGTCCTTAAGCGAAATCTAAAGTCAAAAATCAAACAAAATGCTGAAATTTCTTTAAAACGAATTTGCGAATCGAATTAATGTCGATGAATGTTTAACTTAGTTTTAAATAGTTAACTTCATTTTGTAGTATTGAGTTAGTTTGGTCTAATTTACACGAGCTAGTAGATTCTCCTGAAAAGCTGATTGGCAAATGTCTACTCTTATCTCTAAAACGCTAACGAAGGTGCACAACGAGCGCAAATTTAAGACAAAAGTTTGTGAAGATAACTATGATATTCTTAGAAGGGACTCCCAGCAGAAAGATTGACTGAAGTCTTTGCAGTGGCTCGTTGGCATTTCTTCAACACAGCCCTCCATATTTTTTGCTTTAAACAAAAAATGAAACAATCACTCACCCATTCAGTTTGCACATAGCGATTGCTCTTGGCTGCTCAACCCCACTTGACACAAGAACCATTCTGTTCTGCTTATTCGTATCAGCTACCTCAATTCTTTTATTTAAAAAGTCCGTCCAAAATACTTTGCCGTTGTCTTCATCGACGACAATTCCGTCTGCCCTTACATTACTACAGGAAAGTAATCAACCGTATTTGAGATACCATAAGACGTAAGCGTAGGCCAGTGGAGTGGTTAGGAGAAACTCACGTGGATATGTCAAATAAAAATAAACCGGTATGTCGATAAAAGGGCTTATGTAAATAGTGGAAATATAAGTATAAAAACGTTAACATGGTGTCTTCATCGTCTCTGCCCTGAGAATCATGAAAGAGAGAAACCTTTAAAACAGGTGCCTTAAGCTACTCAAGTATCAGGTCGACTGCTTTTAAAGCACGATTTACTGTAGACGTCATCAAAATAAAATCCTTACAAGAAAAAACGTCTGGCAATTTATTTTCTCTGATACTGACCTACCTTGGACAGGTTGCTTCAGGCTTTAGATAGGCGCCTCCTCCTCGCCCCTTCCATCTCTACACTAACTCAGCTCATTCTGAACAATCATTGGTTAAGAAACACATTCCATGTTATGAAATTGTCTTCAATGCTAAAGGAGATTTCCCACATTGATATATATAACTTAAACCATCTTACCCCATAAAGATCTCCTTTCCCGTTCCATCCATCTTGGCTCTCGAAATAACCGAATTGTCAACATCACTCCAATAGAGGGTATCCTGTTTCTTGTCCAGATGGAGAGCAACTATACTTAAACCACTGAATGGTAAACGGTCAATTTTCAATCTTCCATCATTCATTACGCTTGCTTTCCAAATTGTCTGTTTTGATGACGCCAGGATTGTAAACGCTACTGACTGACTCCCTAGATTGAGAACAATAAGAGGTCGCTGATTGGTAAAAGACAAAGAACCAATCAAACGCGTCCTTTTCCTCTCACGTTACTTTCGATCAATATCTGGATATAAAAATTTCGCTATTTCGTGTCATCTTCAAATTTGGCAGTACCAACAAGTTATTTAGAATAATTTTACAAAGTTGCAGGCAAGAGGAAACGCGAGAAAGCCTGCATTTGGTCTTTGGTAGCAAAAACTCCTGGCTTGGGCTCGAGAATAGGATTCCCCGCTCTTAAAAGGTGACACAACAAAGGCATGATGGTAAAATTGGAGTAGTTTTGGCTCTAAAAGAACTTTGGAAATCCTAAATGCAAAACAAACAGACCATGGCAATGTAGTATTCCATCGTAAGTTTTAGTGGTAGGGTCATCAACCTTCAAAAAACAATACTTAACAGATCATCCCAATTTGTTGCGAAAAAATGAGGAGAAAAGTTACTTTGATACTAGAGCACTTAATAATAAACATAATTACAGAAATAGCATGGTACCGGAAGGAGGGTTACATAGTTTTGGATTCTCGTCGTCGTTTTGCTTTGTTCCTGTATATCTTACATAGTTTGTTTCAGGAAGGCAAGGAATATCTGAAAGAATTAGCTTGTGTTTCAGAGCCCTTACTTTAATGTGGAGACCTCTACGTCAAGTTGGGGGTCTGGATCACATGCTTTTGATTAATGGTGTTTATCTCTGCTTTTGACTTTGAAGGCAGAAAGGCAATACAAAACATTTTACCTTTAACGCATGCTTGCTTGTCACTAGCTAATTGGAATCCATCGCGGCAAGAGCATCTTGCTCCTTCGTAGGATTTCAAACAAACCTGGGAACATCCACCATTATTCTTGGAGCACGGATTTTTTGCTGTAAAAAGGCAAAAGAATACAAAATATCTATGCAGGTGTGTTGAAATATAAAGAAAATTAGTTCGACAATTTTCAGAGCATAGCTAGCGTTAATTAGGCGCCGCATAATTTTAAAAGAAGGATGTCCATAAGCCTAATTTACAAAAGGCTGTACTGCTGCCTTTAATTTAAAGTTCAAAATAATGAACATCCAGCTGTATTGAGTTTTCGAAGGATTTTGGCTTGGGGGCTCGAGCTACTCCTGGAAACTTTTTTGGAGCGCTCAATTCAATATTTTCTTCTTTCACGCCATGGCATATGGTATTTGATGATATTTGACATACAAACAAGCTTGATGAATTCGTCTTTAGTTGAATTAAGTTGAAACGAGTATTCCATATACAGAAAATGATATTACATCAAGTGATAAGAATATTCCATTCGTTATTCAGAACCTCATTGTTAAAATGAAAATTAAAATGAAAATTAGCTCTATATATGCGTCGTTTGATAATTTACAAACCTTTATGCGGAAGAACGCAGACATTTTCTCGCTTGCACACATTTGGAGCAGAGCAAAATGCACACCGATGTGAGACAGGTTTTAGTATTCTCCCAAATATATTCACTTGTCCCGCTTTTATTACCTCTTTCCAGGTGACCAATACTTGATTGCCTTGCGAGTTGGTGACAGCTATAGGCCCCTTTTGCATTCTGCCTTGAAACTGGAAGGCTTCCTCTTTGGCCAGATTGCTGCCAAGCTTAGTCCTGTAAGTACAAACGGTTTTGCTTTGACATTGCAAATACAAACGGTCTTGCTTTAATATTGTTAGACTTAAGTTTTAGTTCCAGCATTCAGGGGAGTAGATACAGGCACTGCAGGGCGTTGAGAAAAGTGGGAGGTCTTATAAAAAGTGGAAGGGGGCAAAAACCGAACAAAAAGAGTCTTTACTGATGGTTCTTCTCGTAATATTGTGCATTTTAACAAGAAATGTGGCTAAAGCTTCACCCCCCCAGCCTCCACTGCTCCGCCATGCCTGAGATAGCATTTAAAACCTAGGGCAATGGTCTCTAGAAGGGGATTCATTATGATCCGAAACATGTCGTCATTATAGAGTTTTGCACAATCTGGGTTGTCTAAAAGATGTTGACCAATGGCAGAATCACTTGTTTTAACAGTGTTTCTAGACCTACAAGATCGAGGAGGCTGTTCTCTTTGAGGGGCAGTTTGTTTCGTATGTTGGAAGGAACATGCTGTTTTATCCTATCCCCCAATCTTTGGGTTGCGCGTCCTACGTAGCCAGAATCACACTGGCACGTAAATTCATAAATGACGGAACTTTTTTGTTTGGTAGGAACGCAATCCTTTTGAATGGATGGAAGGGCTCTCCTAGTGCTGTAAACAATCCGAGGATTGACAGCAAAGAAACATTTGGTTATGGCTTGCCTAATCTGACTCTCGAATCGCAAGGAAGTGTTACCAATCCATGGTAGTTTCAAATAAACTGGGCACTTTTGCGGACCAAACTTTTGAACAGCCGAAAAACTTGCGATCTTCTCCTTAGTATAAGATAAAATGACGTCTCCTTAGTATAAGATAAAATGCCGGATAATTGGCAGAGCCCGGTCGTCCTTCCATCTAGCAGTTTTGGAGTCAATCTACATAAAAACGAAAAAGCCGCCATTGTGTAGACAAAAGGAGTTCGTTTTCTCTCTTGGACTCCATTGGTAATTTTTCTTTAGGCTCGCGGCACTGATTGGTCAACTATACAGGTCTTGTGCTTGCGTTTTTCTGATTGGCCTATTTCGATCCACAACTGGGTATATATTTTTCCATCGTGTTTTTTCGGAACCTATTCTGACGTTTTATGCTCTGAGGAGTGTCAGACGAAAAAGCTTTTAGTATGTTGTAAAATGTTTGCTTTTTTTAAATGAATGTCAGAAAAAGATGGGTCTTTACAGATGCAACAGAGGTAGGGCTACCGTAAAAGAAATGCTTGAATAAACGACACCAAGTTGACAGATGTAAGAAAAACTCACAAGAATGCTCACCTTCCCGATTGGTATTGTTCCCAGACGAGAATTTGCCCTGAAGATGTTGGCAGGGGTGCAGCAAAGGGATTTTGTACACTCACAGGTACAGGGCACAGGTGCTCCTCATGATTGTCCAAAAACTCTACAGCCCTCACCTGGCCACTAAGAAAAACTCTTGATGTCTTGATTATCCGTTTGCCTTTCACGATATCACTCCAAAACAACATTAACCTGCGAGAGAAAAGTTGTCCTTATTTATTTGTCCGTTCATTTGATACACACCGTAAGGCAAGGGATGAGCAGCAACCGAAAAGCTCTACAAAGGATAATGGAAGGCAAGCTGTGTATGAAAGACTCCTTGATCCTCGTTTTTGCAGCAGTTGATTGTTGCATGTTGATGATTTTTGAAGATAAGCAGGCTACTATTTTAGAAATTTTAGCCCCCTGTCGGAAGCTCCAACCCCTCTGTCGGAAGATTTCTGGCGCCACCTCTGAGTGCCATTACCTCACTCAAGAAAGTCAGTCTTTAATTTGGCAGGATTAAAAAGTCGAAAATGAAGATGACATGATTAACAATCAAAGATTACCTATCTCTTTCTGGATCATAAAAGCCTGTGATAGATGGTGTCAAAAGATTCGTTTCACCAGCTAAAGCAAATGCAGGGGCTGCTCCCAACAGACCGCCGGTTGCATTTCGTTTAGTTACCAATAACGCATACGGGAGCTTGGGCCTTACTTCGCTGTTCTGGTTAATAGCTTTGTTTGGTACAAGGGCGACAATGTAAAGCTCTCTTCTTTGCGAGTCGTAAAAGACACGACCGGATACAGCATATGTTTCATAAATCTTTGACGAATGTATTCCTTTGGCTTGTGAGTCGCTGATCAGCATCGCAATTGAATGTCTGGCATCTAAACCAATCACTTCCGCTAACAAGACATATCCGTCTAAAATGTAAAGGTTTGATATAACTGAAACTTTAAAAACTCTTAAAAAATTAGGGAAAAATTTTTGTTTGAGATTCAAGAACATTATGGTAATTTTATAACGGATAGGGACCGAGTCAGAAAATCCGATAATGAAAATCGAAACTCGCCGATTGAGAACGCTTAAAAGGTTCTATTCTATGTTTTCGTTCTGGAAAGGGCCCGGAGGATAGAATTTTCCAGCGAATGCTGTTGATTTAACATACATCGAGTGGAAAACCTTGATATATCATAGTTAGTCCCAGAATATACCTAACTCAAATGCGAGGCTTAAATGAGAACGAAATCGTGTAAAAATATGATACGATTTTCATTCAGATCAGGCTATGGAGGCAGGTACGCTTTCAAGAAGTGGGATAGGGCTGGGTGCTGGAAAACGCAGTGGCTAGCAACTGAATGGCAAATCTGTTTATCTTTTGGTCAAATATTTCTAATCGGAAAAGTAAGAAGTCTCTTTACGCTATTATGGTTCTGCTTCTGTTTTGGTTCCCTTCTATTATGGTTCTACCTCGATTACGGATCAGTCTCGTAGTAAAAATTTGAAATTTTGTAGTTTATCAACATGATGCTATCTCTGGACCAATTTGTCAACCCTATATTAAACTATGTAAGTGCCTGGATTGATCAAAGGTCTCTGCAATATATAAAACTGAAGAGAGCTTCAAAGAATGAGGAGAGGGAAAGATGCAATTGAAATAGAATCCGAAGAAAATTCGAAATAGTTTTGATATTTGTACTTACTGTTCACTGGATTAAAAAGTAACTGAGGATTTATAACAGATGTCTGGATGAGACTTCCCAATCTGTTTTCATTTGCATTCAGCAGAAGACTTGGGTTTGTGGCTCTTACCAAAGAAGTTGCTCTTATTCTCTGCCCCACAATAACTGGCTTTCCACTGAAGAATCCAGGTTTTTTGACTTGGAATGCTACCAGATACTCGTTCGTGATCGGGTTATATGCAACGGTAGGCCATCCTTGAACAGCTGATAACAAGCGAGATAAAAGAAAATATTATAAAACATAGCCATATTAAATCAAGATATTATACAGGCAGAAGAGATAGACCATTTTGGCAAATTTTATGATGTCATTATTATACCACTCTTTTTTTTAAAAGAATATGATTCTCTTCGTTAGAGTCACTTATAATATACACACGCTTGATAACAAGGCCAGTAAAACGAAAACAACATGCAGAGAAGAAAAGATTCATAGCCCTACGATACGCAAAACCCCTCCATCTCTCTCCATACACATATATATTTTACCGAAAAACCAATATTTTGTTTAACTTTGTAAACATTATTACAATATTCCTACAATATCAGCCATAAAAACCTCATGCATTTGAGCCTCCGGCAAAAATTGAACATTTTTTTATAGTTCATTTGTATCGCTGAGAGGTTATGCTTTCCTCTTTTAGAACCTTGTTGCCCATTTGAACTTTGGCATAGAGAAAAGGGCATCTGTTAAGCGCCCTAGCTGGCACTGTGTGCCTGAGAAAGGCTATTTTTGTAAGCTCAAGCTAGTACAGCTCTTTGTATCTTTGGATAATGCCAGTGCAAACTAGCTCAAACCTTGATAGTTAAATGGGTGACTCTTCCTACTTAAAAAGGTAGAAGCCAAAAATAGCACCTCCATAACTTCAGTACTTTCCTAACCCCCCCTTTGCCAAATAAAACTGGATGCCTTTGTAATTAAGCACCACAAATAGCAGAGCTGATACCTGAAGGCAAATTAACTGTGACATCGAGGATGTTTCTTCCCACTATTAAACCAGAAGGACTCAGTCTTGCAGTGTATATACGATCAGGCTTCTGATCGCGGTTGGTGTCCACATCCCATGCAATGAAATATTCATTTCTTGTGGGGTTGAACAGAGAAGCATGATTCTTTGTGATGCCTTTCAAAACACCAGGAGTTATTGGTATTCTGAATGTTGATCCGCCAAAAGCTCCAATGTACATTGTCTATGAAAAATAAAAAAGACTTTGAATACAAGGAAATGATCGAATACACCCCCTAAAAGCCTATCATTTTCACAATGTATAATATAGATAAGGGTAAGAAAGAAGAGAGAAGAATTTTCTACTCATGCCAAACAAACTACCAGCAATCCAGGTTATGAGCCTAGGATTTGACGTTTGAAAATCGTGGTCAGGGGCCTTGGAGTCTCCGGATTAGGCTCATGGACTATGTTGGCTAAATAAAATAACTTTTCAGAGCATTCTAACATTTCAGAGCAGGGCAAAATAGAACAGGATTTGAGGAGGTTATTAGGAGAAAGCGCTCCCAACAAGCTGATATATCAAGTCACACAAGCCTAGCTGTCGAAAACTATTCAATACTGCATAATCAAGCCATTAGCTCCTTCACCGTTTTAATTACTGCTCCTTCCTTCTTGGTTTATATAACAAATCGACCTTGCATACACAAAGGGAACAAGTGCACTAGTATTAGAACCCGTAGACAAGTCTCGATGTTTTTGCTTATTATTCAATCTTTGCATACGATACACAAAACCAAGTCAATTTGATCGTATGGTCAATAAAAAATATTAACAAGTACAGAGTTTAAAAGATTTTGAATCGGACAAGATTCTGACCTAATCTTCAAAACTTTTCACCCAACATAGGACACGCAATAGTTAGATCCAACCTATAGGTACATGTAATTTCACAGATATTTTGCCTTTCGCAGAACCTCCTTAATTTACTTTTCGCATGTTTTTACCTATCGGAACACAAATGCAAATTGAAAACAGATATCGGAAAATGTATTTAATTTCAGGCAAACCTTTGCTGGAGTTATTTCCTTGTTTTCTTTACCATCCCTCGTGACTATGGTAACAGCATACCAAACATGGTCATTTGTGATTGGGTCTTTATCCATCCACTGAACTTTTATAAAGTCGCGAAGCTCCAAGTGCTCCTTCCCAGAAGCATATGGAGTCATTTCGTTTACGTTCGTGAAATAACGCGAGCTACGGTATACATTATAATGTCGAAACTCCGAATTCGTGTAGTCGTTACGTGCGCTAGAAACATAAGGAAAGTAAGAGCAGTCATGAAAATGATGTTTATTTTCATTCTCAATTCGGTGAAATGTTTTTAATCAAAGTGCTTGAGAACAAAAGAAACCATGTTCTAAAAACTTTGTTCTGAGAAGAACTTAATAGTTGGACTGAAAAAAGTTTCATACCACCAAGAGGAGAAATTTCATACAACCAGAAATTTGAAGTAGGAATCTGCCAAATAACATAGGCCAGCAGAAAGCATTACTTGTCCGGGGATAAGCTCAGAATTTCAAACGTGTTAAAAAAAATAGAAAAATAGACAATGACAATTTAAATGTGATTTGATCAGGAATATTCACAATCCCTGTCTGGTTACAGGTTTGACCGTCTGAGGTTTTCTCATTCTTGATTGGCCTAGCCCAGTCCCAGCTGGTCTGCTACCGGGGTTCATGTACAGCGAGACTTACAGTGATTACAGGAGAGTATTTGTGCCGCCAGATTCTAAAATTTCTAACCCTTCCTTTTGTAAAATTGAGCTTCAAAGAATCTTCAATCACAGTAAGGAGATAAAAGCACACAATATCACAAATATCCACGACACGAGAGACATCCTGCATTGCCATGCTTGTATAATAGATGTTTTTTTCCCCTGTTGAACATCCTCTCTATTCGGAAAATGCTGATCAAATGAAAGTTTATCAGAGATAATCTCTCAAGAGATGTTTGATTTCACTAGGGATTCTTATTTTTAACTTATTTGTATTATTCTCATTTGGTTGTCAATCATTTAAGTCCTTATTTGCTTCTTTAATGCCATTGGGAATAATAGAGAAGGAGTTCTGTAGTTTGGGCTTCTGCAGAGAAGTGTGGGTCCTTTGACTCAGAAACGTGTATTTAATTGTTTTTGGTCGGGCTTATTGTGCTTCTTTGGTATGATGTTTCCACGTTGTTCTCTTCCCCCGCCCCTCCCTCCCCTTTGATATCAAGAGTAGTGTATTTCTTCAACTCCTTGTTAATTCTATTGTTCTCTTAGGAGTTAGGGCCTATTTACATCACATGGTTCATTCAAATTTCCTGTTGTTTTTTTGTTTAGGAAAGACTTGGCTCTTAATTAAGTCATGTTTTCTCTTCTCCTCTCATTTTTTTCGTTACTTTCTTTCAAGTTGATAAACGTACACTACTAGCTATATTAAAGCCAACTAAAACCAATTTAATATATCATGTCTTTGGTATCTAAGGTAGGACTGGTGCATCGGCTCACTGGTTAAAAAAAGTGAACCTTTCTTGTCCATTTTCTGTCCAGAACTTTAAGCTGCTTGTACTTGAGTCTATTAAGCTATATCAAAAGTTAGGTTTTTGTATGGGATAGGTGAAGCAACTTGTGCCGATGCTCAACGTTGCTTCCTGTGATGAGGGAATGAAGTCTCAAGACCTGATTCGATGGGAGCTGTCTAGTTTCCATACTGCTCGACCTGATGACGTAATTAGTTTACCCTAAACCTAACCCTAACCCTAACCCTAACCCTTAACCTAACCCTAACCCTTTACTTGAAGTAATTAATCATGCTAATTTATGACTATTAAACATGCTTATTTATGACTATCAGGTCGAGCAGTGTGGCAATGTCTGCTGAGGGAGCTATATTATTCAAACTGATGGAATTCTTTTGTTGATGTTTTACCCCGAATAAGAAATTAACGCCAAATCAAAGTACATTGATCCAGTAGCCTGTTAGAAAATAAAAATTTTACAGCTTACCTGACAGGTAGAGGAGGCCTTTTCCATCGCAGGTAAATCCCTTGACAATGCTGCGATGCAGACAAATCAGTAACAACAGGGTTATCATGGTGAATGCTTCCAATTGTTTGCCGACGCTCTCGTCTTCTGACATTTTGCGTTTGCAGTGAGAGAGAAATGGCCGGCGAACCAGCTAAAACGGCGATGTTCTTGCGTGAATATTCTTAATCATATAGAAAATAATCTTAATCAAAGGACATAAATTTTCTGTTTATTTTTGGACATAATCCAACGTTTGCACTCCGAAAGTGCCGGAAGAAAAGTACTTTGATATGATTTGTTTCCGTTCTTTTATGCCATTTTCAAGTAACGACCTTTCCGTCCTTTTTTCTTTGAAGTTGTGTAATCTTTCTCAAAAAGTTGAGTTAAGAATTTAACTTTTACTAACTTTATTGCTAAGAATTGTAGGTAGGATTGATTGATAGTGAAAAATATGAAATAAAAATAAATGAAATTGAAATTAAATGAGCTCTGTACCCTATTCGCGGCTTTCTGAACAAAGAAACTCGACTCCTTTCTTGCGAGTCATGATATACTGGTTACATACTTTGAAGTAGCTTTATGATCAGTCTGCTTCTATCAAGATCATTTTATTTTGCTTCTACGGATAACTTTGCCCAAAGATTAATACACTCACTTTTTTTTATAGGAAACAGGTTATAAGTAACGGTAGGCTCAATTTTTCGAAAGTTGGGAAACAACCCTCCCCAAATTGAAAAAGCTGAGAAACTTTTATAATTTGGAGTTTTGGAGGACGCGGCCTAATTGTTCACGTAGATTAGACATTCGATGTAAACAACATCCTGATTTGAACTGACCTCCCACACTAGAGCCAGGCCAAGGCACTTTTATCGAACAAAACAACAGAAAACGTACCTTCAATTCATTTATTCAAACTTTTAAGGCGGAAAGCTTCGAGTTTTGATCTTCCCGTTTAACTACATCTACAAATAAGGTCTGAGGAAACCCTAAATGAAAAATAAACGAAAATACGTCCTTAAAAAATATGCGTAAAACTTCTCAGAAATTGATGAAACTTGTTCAAGTTGCTAAAATTTCTGTATTTGCGAGTTCTCGTCGTTGTTCCCTGGCTTTGGGTGGTGTCAAGGATGGCCCGGGATTTTGTAGGGATAACTCGTTAGAATACGCATGCGTCCCTGCCCCACGACATTGATTGGCTCGAACAAATCATTAAGCCTTTTGTCTCACACAATGGGAGTGAGATCTCATCTCCCCAACAAAGCTAACATATCAATTGATTTTCGTTTTAAGAACAGGTTCTGAACTGTCAATCACAATATATAAGAGTTTTTTGCTTGGCATGTTGCACTGGGGTCTTAAAGCTAATGCAAACGTCAAGAACAGTTTCCATTGCATAGAAATGAATGAAGGATTCTCTATACTTGAGCCATTGATTTTGAGTTTCTGTGTCAAGCACATGGATAGTTCAGCTGTTTCTTGAAGTTCAAAAATAACTGGCTTTATATCGTTATTATCGCCTTCTCCCTCTTTGTATTGTAATTTTTTCGTGGTATTGCGGTTACATTTGCTTCCGGAAGTGGAAGTAAACTGAATTAGTTCCTAGATACCAAGAAGAAGGAACCACGGGCCATATTGCGAACTTGAGGGCAGGGGGCTACAACCAAACTACGAGGCTAACTGCAAATATATTTCAGTGTATAGATAACAAAACTTATCAAAACTGCGCTCCCCATTTCTATCCTGCTTAAACTCCACTTAACACTAACCCACAATGCCTGCCAAAAGTACTTGGAACACCCAGCAATTTACGCTGCATTTGATATCTTTCATTCCTTTCATGAAAAAAATTGCTATTTCCGCCCCCTTCCCCCTAAAACAATGTTGATAATTTAGAAAAATATCATAAAAGAAGCGCAAAAGAAAGTGCTTCCTAAAATCCTAACCCGTTTGATAGTAAACCAACATTGTTCCGTGGGGGAGAGGGGGATGATTGATTTTGACCTTGGAAATTGATGTCAGTGTTCCAAGACTTTTGGCAGGCACTGTACATACAAAAGCTAGGTTCTATTCACAGCAACAATTGAAACATAAGTGAAACTTACAAGTTCTTTCAAGTACCAGGTTGTTGTATTTTTGACGATCAACGAATGTAAGCAGTGTTTTGTCATCTAAGAAACCTAGAAATATGCGAAAGGCTGGAAGTTAAAAAAATCGATGTGACTCATTTGTTATATTCATACTAAAGCAGTTTCAAATTTTGTGTGGCGGACATGAACAATCCGGAGAGCTACCATGTTTTGCTTGATGTCATATTTCTAGGAGAGCGTTCCCTGACCCTAGGCGACCTGTGATCCGTTGATGTAGTCAAAAAAACTCCTTGACGTGTATGACACGAGGTTAATCGGATTATCCGAACCGGATCCTTCACCTTCGCCATTTTGTGTAAATTTAACTAACCGACTCGGTAAACGATGTTTGATTTTAAAATGAAGACATAATTCAAACTTTCAAACCTTGCGCACTGTCCTTTGTTATTGCCAGCAAGAGAGTAATAGCCAATAGAAGTTTCCTGTCCATCTTGAATTCAGCTAGATACGTCCAACCTTCAATAAACCCGGCTAGTTCCTTTTATCCACTTGAAGGTCATTTGCGCCAAATTTACAATCAAAAGCTTCCTTGCAATCAAAAGTCCAGCTTCCGGAACCTTTTCACTTCCGGTAATAATAATAATGTTAGAACAATATAACTATTACCGTAAGTCCGCGAATACGCCCCTGGGGGGATTATTTTGCAAAAAAATACTTTGGGATGGGAGCTTGTTCGTACGGGGGGATTTATCCGGAGATGTGGGGCTGTGGGCATGTTTAGCAGCAGCCAAAAATATTACCAGGCTAAGGGCTCGTTCAAACAAGCCTGCACAAGACTAATGCAGGAGAGGCAGTGTTGGTGCAGAGCAGTGGTGGCGCCAGAAATCTTCCGACAGAGGGGCTGGAGCTTCCGACAGGGGGGCTAAAATGAGCAGTTTTCGTACGTTCTTTTGTCAAATTTGCTCCGACAATAACCTAAAATTTCCTCCGATGGGGGGGCTAGATGCTTCCGACGGAGGGGCTGTAGCCCCCCTACCCCTCCCCTGGCGCCACCATTGGTGCAGAGGGCAAATATTACGGTATTCATTATGTACTCAGTATTTTCTGCATCGAGTATTATCAAAATCTTCTTTGCAATTGTTTTTAGGCTGCGCATGGCAGGGCCTCCGACGAAAGGGGGCGGAGGGGCGAACTTTTTTGCAATACGATAGATCTTTTTCAAAATATTTTGTAACGATTTTTAAATTTTCTCTGCTCCCCCCCCCCCCCCCCACTTTCCAAACTGCGTCGGAGCCCATGTATGGTTTGGTTTTAGTTAAAGGAGTTCTATGGCTGCTCAGATTTGTTCCATTGTCTTTTTACTTGTTTATCCCAATAAAATGGATTGCATGCTTATTCGCGATAGTTCCATTCGTTCCTCAATATTTTCCTTATTACTTGTTCTGAAAGAGATATTTTTAATCATGTTAGATCCTGCTTAACTTCGTCATACCAACGATGTCTCAAAATACTTCTACACGTTTACATGTACAATGAAACATACTGATGTAACATTGCTCTCAGTAGACCAAAGATTTGATCCCAAGTTCCTTGAGACATTTACGAAGTACCAGACACTCATCCAGTGCTCACCAATTGCAGTTTCTCTGTCGAACCATAGTTACTGGAAAAAAGACTGGTTTGGAAACACTTGAGATTGCGCAATATCTTATTGTTCTGCAAAATGTTGGTCACATGACCAAAGCGCTACCAAGCGAAATCGGCCTAAATGCTATTTATGTCTAATTCGGTGGTTTTCTTGGGCGTCATAGCGAATTACTTCCACTTCGTAAACACAGAATGGTTAACTGTACGTTCAATGAATGTTTTACAAATCGCGCAAACAAGTCTGGTAATATAGTCCTTTTGTAAACGTGTTTGAAATTAGCTATGTCTTTTGTATGTGGCAATGGTAGGTCAACCTAACAGGATAACAATCATCTGTACTCTGTAATTTTTTGTGGCTGACCCATTACATTCTACAACTGGCTATTTCCTTCATACTTCCTCCTATGCTTTTTAATCTGAATTGTGTCAGGCGAGGAAGCTCTGCGGGTAAAAACTGATTTGGAAACTTGTAGGAGAAAATCTAAAAACAATGAACAATATTCAAAAGCTTCGATCTCATAGGACTAAACCCAATCTCATAGAAGCAAATCTTCAAATTCCTTTACATCCATCTCAGTATATTTTTTTTTAAAAAAATGAATCGCTCTCTCTACAGACATTAGCATAATGTTTTGCATTCTCTACTGACCCGATCAAAAGACCTGTTTGATGCCTTTACTGATCTTTTTTTGAAACTGAAATGAATGGTTAAAGGTTTGTGAATAGCACCAGCTTCTTTCTATTCTGTGCAATAATCGAGAAATAAAGTTCAAATTGTTGCCAATATGTTGTTGTTTATCGTGAAAATATATTTGGAAATGAAACAATACATGCTTTATGTGTTTAAACCTCAAACTTTTGCTTGAATTTTTTGCTCAAAAGACTCAGATAAATAAAAGTCAAACTGTTCATAATTATTATTAAGATTTTTCTTGGATTTAACTGCAAAGCAAGCAGAGTTTTTTTACTACCACGCTCTCTAAATTATCTTAAAATACATATGACAGAATTCCTCGCAGATTGTTAGAAAACATGAAGACTCTGCGGAGGACACATTGTAAATAATGAGTATTGTTTAGTTTATTTCCGTGATGTATATAAAGGGATTAATTCGAGGTTGGGGGACTTTCGTTGATGGGACTTTTGATTGATAGGACTTGGATTGTTGGATTGCTTGAATGGAGATGGTTTTCTTGATCGATTGGAACACGAACGCATGATTGAATAAAGGTTGATTATGTTTCGCGAATATATGGATATTGTTTAGTAATCGGTTATGTTGGAATCTAGATTGAAGATTCATTGTTTACAAATACCACTGATTGAGAGAACCTTGGAATTATAACCAGTTTGTTTTCCTCTTGTTGATCTTGAACTGAATTTATCGTACGGGAACATTGCTCGGTTTAATTATTCCGGCAGAAATAGTTTATTTGGCAATGTTATCCATCACAGATATGTTCTTGAATTCTTCTAAAACGTTTTAACTTTATCTGAAATAATATGCACCTTTCTCAGAGACCAATGTTTTGAGAATAAAGATGCAACAGCCCCTCGCCCCCTTGCCTTTGCTATGCAACTGGGTGTAGTACGTTTTTGTGTGACTCCCGAGGTCAGGGGCGGATCCAGAACTAATCCTGACTGCCGCACGAAGAAGGGGGCCAGAGGGCGGAGTCCCCGAAAAACTTTACCTTGGCATGCCCTCTAGCTCTTCAGAAACGCCCACTTTTAGAAAGCATCCAGGGGAACCGCCCATAATTACATTGATAAATATGGTAATAATTTACACAAGGTTGCCACCATTTCAACCGAAAAACATGTGCATTTCAAAACGAGTTTACTCAAACGATCCCTTATTGCCGCCTAATTCCCTTAAGATTGATTTTTTATAAAATAGACTCGCTATTATAAAAAGAGAACTGGACAATCGGAAAAAATAAGAAACTTCAGTACCCGATGTAAAAAATTAAGAAAAGTAAAATCTCGAAAAATCCCAGAATACCGAAATTTTATTGAAAATCCATGAACATTACTAGCTCTGGTTAGCATTAAACACAAGTCAGAGAGAAAAATATACTTCCCTCTTCAATTAAAAGTAAAACATTAGAACGGAAGCAAATCTCCTGGCAGAAATGTCTTGAGCATCGCGGGCATTTGAAAACCTAGAAACGTTGACCAGTGTTACTGTTTGCAGTATTTTGCTTCAAATGAGTCAACATAGACAAGAATAAGTGATATAAAATACCTCCTTGTCTGAGTGGGCCTTGCAAAGTTTCACAAATAAACAACCAAGGGCTTGATTAAATAATCTGAGTAAAGGAGATAGCCAACTGAATTCTCTTCACCAGGCCACGCAAATTTTATCATACAATTCCCTCTCCCTCCTCATACAAACCAGATTCACACTGTCACTTTCATTCGATGATTCTTTTCCGTAATAGTTCGCATTCCCGCCAAACAAGTTAGTTAGGCCACTGGGTTTCAAAGCTTCCAAAGTAGTTTTCTGAATGCTGTACAATGTGCGGCGGTCCTCCTAGATTATGCGGCACTCTGAAGCTTTTGTTATTTGCCTGAACAACATTGCTAAAAAGCACGCCTATTTCAACCAAATTATGCATTAAATGTCTGGGCTCGTTGAAAAGTTGGTAAGTCTCTTTACTATACATGTGTTAAAGGAGTGTACAAATCTTCTCACTAACCAGATTATTTGCTATGCAAAAATAGAGGGTTAATTTAAGGATACGGTAAAGTTTTTGACTTGATCAGGGTCCGCCACCAGTCTAGAAGTGGAGGGGCTGAAAAGTATGTGACCAAAAATTTTGAAGCCACGCCCTCCAGAACGCCGGAAAACGCCCCTTTCAAAAATACCTTTTCATTTCTAATTAATTCTTATTAAAAGTCTGACTTATATCAGCAGAAAGCGCAGATCCTAAGCTACCAAAGTTTGTTTCAGATTTTCCCATTTTCTCCTTTTCTTGAAACTATACCTTGTCAAAAGTTTCTAATAAATTTTCCTACAATCCTGCAGTTAAATTTGGCTATAATAGACGGAATTAAGCAAAGGCAAAAAATATAGACACACTTCGCTTACCCGACATCTGTCCAGGCCGTGTGGAAAATATTTGAGTCAATCGATTGGTTCCTTTGGTACAAAATAGTTTTTTGCCCCTGTAATAGATTTGATCGCACTTGCAAGGTACACTCGTAAACCACTGTGTAATCCGGGTCAAGTCACTTGAAGATTTAAGATCAATAAACCTATTTGAATAAACAAAGCCGTACATGGGATACCTGGATGTGCAATGCGATGTTGTAACTGAGACGTGTAGACCAGAGGGTGGAAGGGGAGCACCACCACCCGAACGGAGAATTTATGAGACCAATCTATTCTGGTTCAGTTTTTTGCGTAGATTTCGAATTTGGGTGTTGATCAACGGTTTAAGGGGGCTTTCCCGAGATATGGGGGGTCTAAAGACAAATTTTAGGGTCAATTGCTACAAGTTTGGTTTTCTCAATAAATTTCAATAAGATAAAGATAGATATGTTCTTTGACTATATCTATGATTGTTGGCTGATATTTGAAAGTGTTTTTCTATATTTAGAATTTAGGGGATTAAGGGAGGTGTAAAAAATTAAATCTTTTCCAAAAGAAAACATTACTGTTACAATATATTTGAATACTATCAAGTCTACCCAAAAAATTATTCATCTTCATCCTTATCCTCAGACATATCAATGCCTCTTCTTAAGTCTTCCACTTCTACAAGATCGTCAACCTCCACTAGTAGTTTCGAACATCCTCTGGATTTTGCGAAAAAAATTCATTAAACAGAATTAGAGAAGTCATTTTTCCACCCGTGGTATACTTGAGCCTTCTTGCTCTATCATTGGTTGAGAGGCTTGTCTGCACATATGTGCAATGTAATTTGAACGCTTGATGTATCTTAAAAGGCTGTTTTTGCATGGTGGCTGCAAAGAGAAGCTCCAACAATTTTCCGTTGAATATCATGAACAGACGATAATCTCTTTTCTCCAAACAACGCACACGTAAACCTTTCAATACCCCGAATTACATAATTCATAGGATTACTTGATGCCCCTAGCTTTGCGAAAGTTGTAACGAATGCTTTTGTGCCTTGCATAAGCTTCCAACTTTTTCTAAAAAATACCTACCTACCTACCTCCCTTTCTACCTTCCTCCCTATCTACTTACCTACCTACCTCCCTATCTCCCTTTCTACCTACCTACTTACCTAGCTACATACCTACCTATCTATCTATCTACCTACCTGCGTTCCCGGACATCGAGCAGCCCCACTTCATGTACACACTCTTTGTACATGAAAATAACGAAATATAGTCATTTGCACTAAATGCATGCAAGCCAAGCGGGGCTTCTTTTTAAAAGGCCGATAATTCACAAGCAGCTAGAGCGAAGATTTTTCTATTTTTACCTGTCCCACTATCAATAAATATTTAGAAATGAGGTTCCTGCCTAGCAAGCAAGATAACAGGGATGTTAATATATTATATATCTTCAAAACAAGAACGCAAATCGTTTCTCGACCTTCGTTTTGTTGTAGAGCATGATGCAGAAGGAAGCAAACTTAAGCTAGTGATATTTATGCAGCGATATCTATATATATTTTTTCTTTGCGAGAAAAATTGATCACTCTGTTCCCTAAATGACAGCCTTGGCGAACCCAGACTTCTTTAACCAACTCAAACAACCGCTCTTTATTCTTTCTTTTCCTCAGAAACGCAACGAAGTTAGGAGGAATCTTTATGTTTGGCGATTTGATGGAGAAATGGTTCTCTGCATTCTTGATGAACCAATCGGCATGTTCAAATGCAATATATACACAGTTGTATTGTGTCCGTAATTCATTCAGCGACTTCGTTGCAAGCCTCCTGAAAGTGTCCGGTATTCTGTAGATCGATGAAACTGTAGATCGAATGGTGGCAACCAAATCAACAACAAAGCAAATTGCCTATCTCCTCTTTTCTGTCCTTCATAAGGCTGGTAACTGTGGTATTTATATGTGCCTCGTACTTCTTAGGACATGAGCTTCACGAAACAGCGAGGAAGGGGATACTATCACCGAACTCGGCTTCTAACCTCTTTTTAACTTAGTCTGTTGTTCTCGTTAATGAAACAATACATTCCAGTTAAAGTCTTCATTGCGACGGATCGGTTCATGATTTGTTATATATGAACACACAGGAAAGAGTCAGCTTACACTGTTCTTCGCTTGTTTCAAGTACTTCGTTAGTGGGATCGTGGACAGCTGTAGAAGTAAGGGTAGTCGACTTCTTACTACAAAATACTGTGTACTTATTATACCAGGAAAGCTTTACCCTCTCTTAATGCTGGAGCTTTTTGCAGAGTTCGGCATGATGAAAGTTTATATAAGTTTCAATAGTTGCTTCTTCCCCATTATTAACATTGATTGGCCCTTGTTATTAGGCGCTTGCTTTCGTCACTGTTTTCTTTTTTAAGAAGATGCCTTTTTGCTTACTTTCTTCCCCTTTTGCGTTTTGTTTGCAAAGACAGATACGGCCTTCGTAAAGTTCAGGTAACACTGGCGATATCGTTAAAGGGCAAAGGATCTGATCTTCAATGACTAAATGAGTGTAATGAACAGCTCATCTTCTCTTTCTGTTTGCCATATATTCTAACTACCTTTCATAGTTTACTCTTGCTTTAATCACAGAACATTGAAAATGATAATGAATTTGTAAGCAATGAAATTGCAGTTTTTAGGTCTAGGTCTTTAGGTTAGTTCAGGTTGAAACAAACCTCTACACTTTTACACCCTCAATGGTCTTCAATGTAAACAGGTAATTATCGTTTAAGGCTGTACATTCAAGTTACATTCCTAGGTTATGACACAAAACCATGTGTTAAAGTACTTCTCATAAAGATTTGCTTTTGGGCCTCATTTCCTTTCTGATCCATAGCAATAAAGCTGTAGTTATATGAAAATCTCCATATCAGTCATTACACATGTCTGAGAAAGCCACATTCCTGGTGAGTACAAACAGCCATTTCCCTATGTGATCATGCTACAGTACTCCATTCAGTTGCGAAAATCAGTTTTTCGTGGAATTTACAGTATTTTGTACTCCTGTTTCGTTTTCTACGGCCCCCTCACTTCCAAATGAGAGTCAACAAGCATAGATATCATCAAAGAACTGACCTGTCTATATTTTATTGACATTAATATTAGCCCTAAAATCGGACTTTAGACCCCCTATATCTCTGAAAAGCCCCCTAAAACGGGGAATCAACACCCAAATTCGGAATCTACACGAAAAACTGATCCAGAATTGATTGATCTCATAAATTCTCCGCTCGGGTGGTGGTGGTCCCCTTCCACCCTCTGGTCTAGTGGCCACAGCCGCAAATCAACAAAAATCGATGGCTTAACAGGTCAAACGATTTCCAGACCTTAACTAAAAGTTTTGATTAAGAATTTATGGAAACCTCCGTTTACATGGAATTTTTTATATTTTCAAAACTCTTGCTAGTTTCAGTTTGTTGGCCTTAAAAGTTCGGCTACTAGAATGTGAAGAAATCGAGAAATGGATGTTTTCATCCAGAGAACGCTTAGCGTGACCTTCGGTGTTTTACGCCTGTTTGAAAAGTCGACCGTTTATTGTCCCGAACCCAATGCATAATTCATTTTCCATCCCACAATTCCCTTCTTTGGCGGAGAGCGCATGCCTATCATTGAATTTTGGTGCGAATCAGCCTGGAAACAACAAAGCCAACACGGAGTCTTCATATGCAAAGGTTTGTTGTGTTTGCTCTCTTACCTCCAAGTCAGGGGCGTGGTGGCCCACCGGGACTTGGGAAATTTCCCGGTAGGCCCCTTAAAAGCTTTTATGTGTGCCCCTTGGTTTGTGAGAAAACAATCAGCATCAAAATGATGTGCACCTAAAACTTGATTTCCCCGGCCCATGAGAATTCGCCTCTGCAGTCCAAGTATCGTGTTCCAGACATGATCGAATAAACTCTATTGTTATAACATTGTGCTTGAAAACACATTTTGTAGCAACAAAGAGTTTTTTCTCATAGGACCCAATGTTTTTTCACAGGGGCGTATCTTTTCATCTTGAAATCAAGGATTGTCTCTTTAAAGCTCTTGCCCAACTGGCATGCTTAGCGTTACCTATTTTGTAATTTTATGGAGTACGGTATTAGGCCGGTTTGGAATTATAACCGAAAAGCATGCTGGTTGCGCAAGAGCCTTTAAGTCTAATTTTACTTTTGCTTGCCAGGATGATGAGGTGCCGGGTAGCAGGCTTCACTTGGGGCTAGACGATGACAAGCTCACACCTTGGCATCTACTTAAATTTTAAACATCTTGTTTAAAATTCAAAAGGCAAAGCTCAAACAGTTAATGATAATCTAAAAGAGGTAATCAAGAAATGGCCACATATAGCATCAATATATTATGGCTAGATAAACGCTTAAGATGGAATAAAGTGGAAATTGAAATTTAGATAAAAAAATGAAATCGATAGGTCTATGCCCTTTGTGATTTGGTTCTGCCTTCCTTAAAGATGTATATTTTCTATTAGGTAGCATTTAAAGTTTTAGCTTAAATCTATGGGTAGATGTACGATAAACCTTTTTGCCTAATCTCACACTAAAGAAAGCTTGGTACTGGTAACTAGATTCAGAATACATTTGTTCACAAGATATATGAGTTCACCCAGGCAATGAAGTTAGATACTTTGACGTAAACGCCAAATGAATCTTCCTTGCCACAACCTTCTCCCCAGCTCACAATGCCCATAAGAACGTGCTTCTTTGTTTTGGCATTCCATACTGTCAAAGGTCCTCCAGAGTCTCCTTTGCAAGCACCTCCTTTGCCACCTTCAGCTGAAGATAAAATAACAACTTATATGTGTAAGAAGAAGAACCGCAGGATAGGCTGTCCGCCGGTTTATGTGAATCTTGCAATGAGCATAAATACGAAGTTAAAATTCAGGAACAAAGCAAAACGGCGACGAGAATCCAATGTAATTTAATGAAATTCAAAATAAATTAAATAAAACGAATACTTCTTTCTTATTACGGTTCGTTATTGCAAACAACTATACTCTTTATTTCAGGCTGGCTATGCACAACTTCTTCAAAATTCAGGGGGGTCAGTTGAAGTCTTTAGGGGATAAATCTTTGCCTCTCGTGACATCCCATAACGTTATCTGTACAAATAGGTTGCCATGGCGATTTCAAGTAGGAAGCAAGGGTCTCTTACAACTTACTATCTTTTTTTTATAAGAACCAGTAAATTAAAGTTCAGGCTGACTGTTCTTAATTTTTTCGAAAATCTGAGACTGGGCTGTTCTTAATTTGTTCTTAAATTAAGTGGGTTCTAGCTTTTTCGCTCGGACACATTTGCACCTTCATTTGCCGATAAGTTGAATGAGACAACCTTCATTTGCCGATAAGTTTGAACATTCACCGAAAAGCACCTACACTTGAATAAAAGTCCTTTCTTTAGGTAAAACGTTGTTAAAAATTGCATTTTACAGCGCAGCTCATCCTCAGCTTGTTCTTAAGTTGTTCTTAGCTTTAGACAAATTTTGAGGATCGTGTTCTTTTAAAATTGTTCTTATATAAAAAGAGATTACCTGCACAAAACATGTTTGCTGTCAACGGATATGCCATCCTTCTGGCACAGAGCTCATAGTCAACCAATGATAACCTCACTTCTCGCAGTCTTTTTGATGTCTCGCCTTCTTGTGCTTGGATTTCATCTTCACTTCCCCAGCCCGCAATCATTGCTTCTACTCCCGGTTTCAGTAGCTTAAAGTCACTGTCATCATGAGGCAAGCATATCGGTATGACGTAATCAGTTATTATAACTGGCTTATCGAGTTCGACCAGAACGATGTCTGAATCCAATGTTATATTACTAAATTGGGGATGAGTGTAGAATCTTTTAATGGATCTAATCTGCTCAGTTCCTTCATTCTTGACTCTTGTTTTGCCAAATTTCACATGAGGATCTATCATTGGGGGATCTTGACAAAAAGAGCAACATGTCAAATAGAGTTATATTACTTGATATTTTGATTACTGAAGGCAGATAATTGTAGAAAATATTGTAAATTTTTTCGCTTACAGAACTGAAAACATGAGCATGCGCTTTATTGCGTGTACGGTGTAGGCATGGAAATATAAATCTTTCTCCTTAAAACTAGATGAAATCATACAGTAGAAGGTGAATCAAACCTTCTCCATATCCTTTGTTATGGCTCCGTTCACAAACAAGTTATTGCAGATCGTTTCAACAAATTCAAATTTAGAACAGAGAAAACAGCACTTGAGCGCAAAGCGCAAAGCTCAAAGCGCAAAGTTGCAGCCATATCAAATCAAAGTTGTTGATTAGAAGCTCACCAAGAAAACAAATAGCAGCAGTAAGAACCCATTTTCTTGCGATAAGCGACCCGGTACAGAGAACTTTCTTATCTGACTTCCTCCGAAACATTGCTATCCATGGGTGGGTGCCAGGCCTAGAAATGCGTCCTCCAGCAATGCGATGCCTCGTTGTGATCTTGGGAACACCACATTCTGTATGAAATTTCGAAAACAATTGTAAGGTCAAATCAGCCTCAGCTATAAATTTTCTTCAAAGGTTAACATGACATGTTCTTTGCACTAAAGATTTCTTCGAAAATTTATGGCCAATAGAGAAAATTATGTGGTGGTTAACTTAGCTAAATCAAGGAAAACGGTGATAGTTTTTGAATGAAAACCTATTTCTAACAGTATTTTCAATTTACCTCCAGAATTTGATGTTGTACATAGTAGAGTGATACATAAAAAAATGGAAAGTAAACACGTATTTAAAGCCATTACTCCATTTATAAAGACGATTTTATATTTGATTAATTGTCAAGTATTTCAATTACCCAGTATCTTACGAATCTTTAAGCTTTTATCTGTTTACTTTTCTAGAAATGATAATAATTCTATTATGACCCCCTCCCCTCGTCGGAGGCCCGACTTGTGAAAAAGACCTCCTCAACCTTCAGGACATTACCATTTCTTCATTCTCTAGAAAGGTCTTTTCTGCCTAGTGCAAATCGAACTTTGTAACGTTCTCCCTAATTATTTCTCATAATTATTTCTCATTATTTCTTTAACTTATAAACATTATCCTATAAAACCCAACCTCTGGGCCTATTTTAGTGTGTAGTATTACACACCTTGTGCAGTATTAATTTAAAAATGTGCAGTATTGATTTCAAAAATTTGCAGTATTGAATTTTGGGATTTGTGAAAATGTCTAATTGCCGCTATCCCAGATTCTCGCTTTGTTCACAAAATGTGAATTTTCCCCGTCAGTTCGATATAGAGGTCATGTAATGCAAATCTCGTATGACCATCGGAAAGACTCTCTTATCAAAACTTAAAACAAAACGAAATGACTAGAAATTTCCAAAAATTGCAACAACAAAATTTCCTATAAAAAATGTAGTTATAATTGTGCAGTATTAAAAATTTCTTAAAATAGGCCCTGCCCAACCTCATGCCAACTTAAAACACTCTATTGATGGCGAAAGTTTATAAGTTTTGATAATAATTTTGGAACCTACAATTTTCTTCTACATAATAAGCATTAACCAACTCATGTACGTCATGAGAAAGGATGTCTGTGAACAAAGCATAGGCAGTGTAGCAGAACCATCGTTAAACACCTTCAATTATACCCTGGGTACCAGAGCCGCAAAAATTAAAATGAAAAAAAAATGAGAGCTGATTTTAATTTTTGCGGCTCTGGTACCCAGGGTACTTCAATTACTGGGTTTAATGATAATCAGCATTCAAGAAGCTGCAAATTTTCACCCAGCACGTAGACGCTGTTGTTACACAATGAAAGTTTTTATGAAGATTTTAATCATCAACCATAAGAATGACCATCTGTCTCATCTTCTCTCTCTACCTGCTTGCAAATAGCTATGACCCAACTACCAGTTCGTCAAAAAATTGGCACCTTCGATGGAGAAATGCTACAGCTGACTCTACAGAACGGCTAAAACCAATTCTAGAGAATTTTGTTTTTGCAATATTCTGTATCTGCAATATTTGTGTTTTTGCAATATCCTGTTTTTGCAATAATCTTGTTAATTCCCTCATCCTACAGATCGTTTTGAGTCGTACTTTCACAGCTATCAACCTGGGTTTTGAGCTCAGTAAACATTTGCTCATCATAGTCATGACAACAGAAAAGCTCCAACGCAGCAACCTCAGAACAAATTAAAAAAAAAATTTCTGGAATTTTAGGATAAGGATTTCAAAAGACCGTGTGAGGGACATCCGAATTGAAATGCCCCTCGCCGACAGTTGTCTGCTACGTTCTAAACACAGACTGCCGACAGGGAGTCAGTTGAAATCTTTAGGGGATAAGTCTTTGCCACTCGTGACATCCCATAATGTTATCTGTACCTAATTTTAATTGCCGAGGGCCGTTGGGTGATGCCTTTGCGGCTCTATCCTTTTCTCAACCCAACTTTTTGGTACGTTATTGCCCTTGGAAACTTTACTATCAGCTCGAAGAGAACACCCAAATGCAATCATTCCAATATTCCGGTAGTACTCCACTTATCAAAAATTTGCCGACAAGAATTTTGTAGAGGGTGGCAGATTTTCTGCATCCTTGCACCCTCGGTTACGAAGGTAACGATGTTTGCATAGGAGTTATAAGAAAGAATATTCAAAAGCAGTACCTGGTCTCTTTTTCTCAAACACTAGTAGCTTGGCACTTGATGTAATTGGCCCAGCTACGTTCGACACCACGCACGTAAACATACCGGAATCTGAAATGCGGGCACTTTGAATAAAGATGCTTTTTCCCAACGCCAAGATTCTAGATTCTTTATCTTTGACTAGGAATGGCTCTCCGTCTTTTAACCATTTGGTCTTCAAATCACCACCTCCACTTGCAACACACTGTCAAATCACCACCTCCTACTCGGCTCAGCGGCTTTTCTATGAAAACTGGTTTGCCTATTGATCAAGAAAGATTCGATAGAAAATCTAGGAAAGTTGCAAACATATTTTCCAGCAAATTTTTCCACAGCTTGGACTATAGACAAAAAACATGGCGGTTAGGCCCTGGCCAAACGAATAAAACAGCAGCATAAAACCTCATTTAGCACTTTGTGATAAAACATATTTTAATCGTGTTGCTGCCATATTCTATAATGTTTTATAATGTTTTACGAAATTCGATTTTCAACAAACATTTCATAAACATCTCCTTTGTTCTCATGTTTCAACATAGGCGCCGACTTTTATTTTTCCAAGGGGCGGCTCAAAATTTAAATTTAAAAAAAATTAAAAAAAGTTGAAAGGTAGAGAAATTTCCTGTCGCTTTAATAACGCTTAGACTAAATTTTTTACAAGCGATTTATTTGATTCAAATTATGTTTTAACAATAGATAAATTTCACATTTTGAGATAAATCTTCATACAATATACATATATTTTCCTTCAGCTGTTCTGCGCTGAGTTTTCGGCCCAGTGGCGGATTTCAAACGAAGTTCCCAGGGGGGTTGAGCCTCCCCATAGCAATTCCCAGGGGGGGGGGGCTCGAGCCCCTGAGCCCCTACGTAGTCGGCGCCTATGTGTTTCATCAACAGTATGGCGTTCGCTCAAAATTTTATAGCGAACTATAGCACTTTCTTTTATAGCAAATCAGCATTGTTGTTAGGGGAGAAAAGGGAATGGCTGAATTTGCCTTTGAAAACTAACGTTAGTGTTCCAAGATTATTGGCAGTGATTGTAGCATTCGTTGATAAGTAGACGGCAACATATAGCCCTGATATCTAGAAATCACGGACGATATCTAGAAATGGAGATCTAAAACAAGGGAAAACCTTTTTCAAACTTTTTGCTTAAGGTTACGGTAAACGTTTTGAACACGAAAATTGGTTTTTCCTTCCTAAAGGCCAAACGGCTCAAGGAATCTGGATAAACTTTATATCATTCGATGCACAAGATTATGGCGTATCTAGCCAGATAAAAATTATTGGCAAATAATGTTAAATGTTATTTTCCATGCGAATTTACTGGTCAAAAAGTGTACCACCTTCAAAAGCTATTATGTACCCTTGCGTTTGAGGTAACAAAATCTGACTTAGACCAGCAGGAAGTGCAGGTCCTAAGCTACCAAAGTGTGTCTCAGATTTTTTAAATTCCTCCTCTTCTTTAAACTATACCCTGTCAAAAATTGGCAAATAATTTGTCCACCCTCCCGCAGCTGTATTTGGGTATAAAAGACGGACCAGAGAAAATAAAAAAATTTTGAGACACACTTTGTTTGCCCAACGTCTGCCCTGGCCGTGTGCAAATTTTCGAGCCATTCGATTGGTTCCTTGGGTACATAATAGCTTTTTCGTACCTGCATGTAGAGGAATTTCGAGTCCGGAGAAAACGGGATTTTACTGATCGCATTTGCAAGATACACTCGTAAACCACAGTGTAATCCGGGTCAAGTCACTTGAAGATTTAAGATCAATAAGCCTGTTTAAATAAACACGGCCGTACATTGGATATATGGATGTGCCATGCGATATTGTAAATGAGACATGCGACCACGACCGCAAAGCAACGATAATCGGCTTAACAGGTCAAGAGATTTTCAGGCCTCAACTAAAAGTTTTGATAAAGAAATTATGGAAACCTTCGTTTACATGGGATTTTTTCCACTTTCAAAATTTCTGTTTGTTTCAAATTTGGTATCATTGTGTGCCTTGAAAGTTCAGCTACTTGAATGTGAAAAAATCGAAAAAATGATGTTTTCATCAAGAAAACGTTTACCGTAACCTTAAGTCAAATTGTGGTACTAAAGGCCAGCGTCAACCTAGACAATCAATTTCATTGATTTATCAAAATATAAGTAAAAATAAATTCCTACTCAAAATGCAGGTTGGTTGTTTTCCACTCCATTTTCCTCCTGACTGGCACCTTCTGACTTGATTACCCACTAACTTATAGCCAGGGTTACAAGTGTAAACAACAGCATCTCCCACTAGTGATCCAGTCACAACGCGATTTCCACCAACGGGTTTTGGAGGATCTGAACATCTCGATCCTACAAAAGACAAAAATGACGTCAATGCGTTCAGATGACATGATAAACGCTCGATTCCAAAGAATTATCGTTTGCCGAGCTTTCGGGCTTTCTAAAACTCTTCGATTCCCTAGACTTAAGTAGCTAGATATAAGTTCGTGTATTTATACTTTGTTACTAAATTTCGTTAGCAGTCATTTTGCAAGTTTTGAGAAATTTCGTCATGAGTAATGAAACTCTTTGACAAGTAAAAAAATGTCAAAGGCACTTAAATGAAAAGGGCTTTTTGGCCCTCTTGCCCCTCCTATCAAAGGGAAAGAAGGGTGGTTCTTCTTCCCACACCCCACACTCATGCGCACCTGGTCACATCATATTATACAAAGTTTTGGTCTGTCGTGATTGGGCCTTAGAAAGCTGATGCAAAAGTTGATATGCTTGCAACCGATTCTGAGTTTTTATGCTCAGTACTTGGATGTTTAGCTGTTTGTTGAAAAACCTGTCCACAGGGGCGTCTTTAGCAGGGTTCGGTTGAAAAATGTACTAAAATTTGTTTTTAATGGAAGTAAAACTACAATAGGAATAATCACTGTTTGCAGGTCCTCTCAAATTTCGCGTAAATTTGAATAACTGCCTCGGTGAACGATGTTTGAATTTAAAATGAAGACATCAAAATAATTCAAACTTTCAAACCTTGCGCACTGTCCTTTGTTATTGCAAGCAAGAGAGTAATAGCCAACAAAAGTTTCCTAACCATCTTAAATTTAGGTGGATTTGCCTAACCATCCACCATGATCAAATGACTAGATACAGGGGCGGATCTAGAAATTATTCTGAGGGGTGCTAAAACGCAAGGCTTGGTAACCAAGGGTGTTGCTATGCACAAACTCCGTACACCCCCTGCTTATAAGCCATAATGAAATGAAAGTCTTCCATGAACTAAAAAGCCTGGATGCCTTGATTTATATAGTAATTTTTTGCTACACTTTGATCAGAACTTGGAACGTTGGCTTCAGCTTTTATGCCAATTGAACGCAATTTGCAGCTCGCCCCCCTCATATTCACTTAGGGTACAAAAGTATAGAAACTGTAGTCAAATATTATATCATGGCCCGCAGTGGCAAAAGGCCCGATCCCACAAATTTCCAAAGCAAAATTTAATTTTTGACTCTTTGCAGCCATTTATTAGAACTTGATCAGCTTGATCAAAAAATTAACGTGGCTGGTGGAATGAAGCCCTTGAACTTGAAAGGCAGTGCACGTCGTTAGAGACAATAGAACAATAGAAAAAAGTCGAACAAAAGTTGAACACAGGGATTCAAACACATCATGCATTGCATGCATCGACATATGATGCCAAACCAAACAAAGAAGGCAATGAACGTTTCGCTATGGGCCTGCCGTTTTGAGTATTTTTAGTATTAAGAAGGAAACCCCTTTTGGTCAAAAATAGTAAGGGCAAGTTTTTGAGATGTTTTGTATGTAGTTCTTGAATGATTAAAAAAAAGAATAACAAGGGCTCGGGCAAGCTTTATCCTCTGAATATAAATCATACCTCATGGTCTATGAATAAGACGTGAAACACGGAGTTGAAACTTGAAACCGTTCTGTTATATAAACCAAAGCGTTTACAAGTTCTGCCGTTACAGCATCGAGCACCAGGTAAAGATCGTCAAAAGACCTACGAAAACATATTGCAAATTTGCGCCTAAGCATTCGTCGCGTGCTGTATCATAATTCAACACCCCCTGTTCAAGCTCGACTCCCCCTGGTCATAAAACCACTTTACATTTGACTGTAGATTGAAGCGAAGAAACTCCCCCTGGTTTGTCGGTATTCTTTGAAGTTTTGGATTTTCGAAATTCATGGGTTCTCGCGCCAAAGTTTAGAACCCCTCGACCTGGCACCGTGATTGGCTAGATTCACTTCCACGGGTGCAGAAAATCGTATAATTTACAGGCCACGGGTTCCTCAAGTGGCTGGTTATAAGAGGAGACAATGCTTTCCGAGTCTGTAGAATGCTATACAGTACAACCAGGGGGAGTTTGATAACACTTCAATGCATGGACTGAAATAACAATGTTGAACAGTTGTGAGACGGGGCATTGAAGCGGATATAACAATTTTAGGAGATGTGCATACTTCTCGGTAAAAGAGATAATAAATGGTTTTAATAATTATAAACAAAATTGCCGTAGAATAAGCTTTAATCCCCAAAAGGTTTTTCCTCGAATCTGAGGGGTGCTCGAGCCCCCTTCGCACCCCTCTGGATCCGCCCCTGAGATATCTACAAGTCCGGCTATCATTTGCGAATTACAATCAAACATATTACATTACAATCAAAAGCTTCCTGATATCAAAGCAACTTCCGGAACCCTTTTTCTTCCTGAAGGGGTAGTACATTTGTGTAAGGCTCCCAACAGGGGCAAAGCTAAAAGCTTTTACGGTTTGGTCATAAAAGATCATTGTTTATATATTTAGCTTCATACCTTGATAGTTAAGCTGTTACAGAAAAATTACAATTGTTAAAGTTATAGTTGTTACAAGCATTCAAAATTATACTACAGAGTAATAAGAACTGTTTCTTTTATTTGCCCGACAAAAATCCTTTATGTATCGACGGAAAGAAGGTTTTGGTGGGCACAGCACCCCTAACCCCCTCAGTGAGGTCCCTGGCTCCTTAGTCTATACAAACGCATGACCATTAGGGCAGAAGGAATTCCTCATGGCTATGGCTGGCTGTAGGTAGAGGGAGTTTCTGATGTACAGTGTCCAGAAAAATTGTCAATCTTCCTCCGACCAAGCGTATCTTACTATAAAACCTTCTTTCTTTTTAACATGTTTAAATGGGCGTGGTCTTGAGGTTGGGGGTGCTTAGCTAGTTTTAGCCCTTTTTCTTGCAACTCTGTTTCCAAAAGAATTTTAAAAATTGTAGTTTGTTTTTCAATTATAGATATTTTGGGGACAGATAGAAAGTTATATCTTTTTGTTAATTAATAGTAAAATGTGTCATAATTTAAATATATATATTATAAAAAGGTTGCGCCTAAAATTTACAGTACAAAGCAGTTCTGTAGCACATTTAATATAAAAGCACAGGAAGTTTATAAATTTTGATTAATTTTTTTAAAATTTGTCCGACTACATTTTGAAAGCCAAAAGACAATAGGATTTTTCATTTTCCAATATGATTCTTCCTCCGGCCAGTGGACGTGGGACCGTGATGTTTTCCTGACTCTGTGGATGTAATTACAACCCCTTGTTATTATACAAATAAAAGTTTCTACCCGCAGAATAAAGGTTGCGACCCTGAAGATTTTGGTGTACACAAGCTACTGGGTGAGAGAAAATATATACAGTATACTCAGGTAAAGTGGGAATCCCACGGAACCGGATAAATTGGTCCGTCCCCGTGAAAAAGTGTCCCAATTTGAGGCAGAGAGTAAACAAGTTGTTAAGAAAAAGGCAAAACAGAAGCGGGAAAAGAAAATCAGTAGATGATGGTAGATAATAAGAAGGGTAAGAAGAGGGAGGAAGAATAAGAGGAAGAATAAGAGGAAGTAGAAGAGGAAGTGGAAGAAGAAGAAGAAGAGGAACTAGAAGAGGAACTAGAAGAGGAAGTAGAAGAGGAAGAAGAAGAGGAAGTAGAAGAGGAAGTAGAAGAGGAAGAAGAAGAGGAAGAATAAGTGGAAGAAGAAGAGGAAGAAGAAGATGAAGAATAAGTGGAAGAATAAGAGGAAGGATTAGAAAAAGAATACGACAGACAGTGATGGAGCCAAACAACAGGAAGGGTTTTTGGATAAAATTAAAAAAAAAGTAAAGCTGATACAAAACGATAGTAAAATCACCGTTTGTAAACATTACATCTTGTGTTTCATAAAAGATCCCTCACCGTTTTTGAATTTCTCTACTGGTTCCAGAATCATGGATAGTTGTTAAGCAAATGCAGATAATGGTTAAACGTAAAAATCTAATCTACGTGCAAATGCTAGCTTTTTGCAAAAAATTCAAACTCCTGATAAAATAAATTGTACAAGCAAAAAATCTGCCACAAGCGCGATTTAGCGCCTTTAGTGACCCCGCAAAAACCTTTTAGTTCCGCAGAAACAGAGCTTCATAACATATAGATTGCTTTTAGGCATTTCGGAAATAGCAAGGGGAGATTCGAAAGAGATTTATTCTTGTCTGCCAAAGAGTTTCCTTGCTAGGAAAAAATAAAGTTAAGACTGACAAGAATGAAAACTAGAACAAAATTTGTTGTTCTCTTCTATTATTTTCGGCTATCTGCCTTTCCGTGCGCTTTCATCTCAGACACTCGTTTTGGCTAGTTTTGATTAAGCACAATGAGTTAGCATTCGTTTCTTGAAGTGGAGGTGGTGGGCAAGGACTGCGGACCATATTACAGATTGCGGGGGCTAAACATGGTAAAAACCAAGAACAGGGCGATTTTTTGCATGATTTTAAATAGATCTTGGAAAATATTTTGGGTGGGGCTGAAGTCCCTGTTGTCCCCCTTACTTTCGCTGTCCCTGGTGGTGGGTGCTTATTGGGGGGGGGGGGGCGCTATTTCATGTAGCTGAATCCATATACAAAGCAATGGTGTTACCTAAATTACTGAATTGCTCTACACTTATGTTAAAGATCTCTGACCCAATTGGCAAGAAATTCAAAAATCTTCAAAAAGAGCCCTGAAAATAGAGATGTTCTTGCTGGAGGCAAGCAAACTCTCTTCCTAATTGCTTAGAGATGTGACGTGGTCAGAAGACCAGCTCAGAAAGATAGATTTAACAAATTTTCATTAATTTTTATAAGTTGCAGTTACTGCTGGCTTCACATCAACACAACACATAAAGATTTTGAAGAGTACAATTTTCTCCATTAACAAGGGTATATTTGCCTCATTCACATTCTTTGCGGAGAGAGAGGGAGTGCAATCTTGCATGCCTAGAGTTTGAAAATAAGACCTTGAAGGGAGAAATAGCACTGAAAGTTGTCTAGCTGAATAGAAACTAAGAGGGAGAAAGTTGCTTAATTGCTGGAGACATTTTACAAATTTTCTGCTTCTTTGTTTCAACAAACTATCCCCCTATTCCAAGCAAAAGACCTCAATTTAAACTTCGCCTGCATTTGACATTGTTGGAGCTCGCCATCCCAATTCCACAGGCCTTGCTACGGGCTTGCCGAAGAGTTACTCAACCTAATGCCAAAGGAAAGCATATTGATATTTCCTAGGATTTTCCTTTGATCAAATTCGATGTTCTCACAATGCAAGATATATTTTTTCGTGTTGCTAAAATTTTATACTTTCATTTTTTTGCCGCAAACCATGGATAAATTATAAAAAAAGTTCCAGCCAAGAATAATATTTATCAACATTTTTATCTCCAATTTTTTATCTTATTTAATTTTTTCTGCTTAGGAAATATCATGCATCATATTAATTTTGTATATTCAACAGGAGGCAATTTTATGACATCGAATGGGTACTGTAACTTTGCTGATTTGAAAACAATTTACTTAAAAGTATGAAACTATTATAAGAAAATTTCTAAGATATCATGCATACGATTTAGGTATTAAAGTTACAAAGAGCCGTATTTATGTTCTCTATTACTCTAAGATACACCTTTGTACAAAGGAATTTTGGCCAGAACATAGAAATGACGGTTATTTTACTGACGGGAAAATTAGTGCAGGAGTGTGGTGCTATCAAAATATTATGCCATTTCCTGGTCACACCCTGTTTTCTAAACTGATTATTATTTTCTATAATTTTTTATCTAAGAGCGGTCAGAAGACAAGTTAAAAATATGTTCGTGGGGCTGAAAATCATTTCTATGGTGAAAATCATGAAATAACAGCCTCCCAAAGATTACAAACTACTACCACTACGAGGCTACTTAAAAATTTTCTACGTTACCGAGAATCTGGAGCTGTTGAAACATACCATGGAAATCAATGTAAAAATGATACAATTCTGATTATTGAGCTGGCTCGAAAAAGTGCCAGAAGAATGGCTGATAAAAATATTGATGATGAAGCTGAGACGAACGCAACTGGAAATATTGAAAATGGACAGTGCAGCCAGGAAATTGAACAAGACTTGGCATCACTTACAGTAGATGCAAGTGTTCACAGGATTGAGAAAGACAATACTGGTTCGAATTCAGATAAAACTTCTAGTGAAAATAAAGTACCGGTTAAAGTTCACCCTTTGACTGAGAGACAGCACAGCTTGTTCAAAGAGCTCTCTAAGACAAAGGGTTGGAAAGAAAGTTTTGAAAAACTTGAACCATTGCCATTGAATTCGCCAAAGAAAGACGGCCATATCCGCTTTGTATGCATCTCAGACACACATAACGGGCACGGAAAGCTCAATTTACCCGATGGAGATATACTTCTGCATGCTGGGGATTTTACACTGCGTGGAAAGCTCAAGGAGGTTGAGAGTTTCTGTGAGTTTTTAAAGGAAATCAAAAGTAGATATAAACATATAGTTGTGATTGCTGGTAACCACGAACTGACATTTGATGACAAGAAAGACTTGTTTTTTGGCTTATTCAAAACAAATGCAGATTGCAATAGAGGAGCAGATTTGAAAGAAATGCTTCAAAATCATTGCATTTACCTGGAGGATGAAGGCATTGAGCTGATGGGCTTTAGGATATATGGCAGTCCTTGGTAGAATTTCTTTGTACTGCTCATTAAAATTGAAATTCTGAATGTTCTATCACGAGCTAGTAAGTTGCTGAATATCAAGCAGAGAATCACAGCATCTTTCTAGGCCACAACATGAACAATTACATCTCACTGACAAATGTGAGGGCCATAACCCATTTTCTTCTCTTTATAGCTGCCCCTTGCATAGTAGGTTTCCAATAGCAGTAGCATTAGGGGCCTGGGGGACATGCCCCCTACTTTTCAGAAGGAAACATTTTGTGTTGCATCTAAATTTGATGAGAAAATGTTGGAGTGGGAAATATTTTGGAGACTCAAGTATTTCTGGTGGCATGGCTCTATGATTTCAAAACTGCCTTATTTTAACCAACTGTTTGACATGGGTGATAGCAATTGGTAAAATTAGTGTTCTTTGTTTATAAAAGGGTGTTTTCTAACAGTACAAAGGGCATAGCCTAGGTTTCTGAATTTTGTTTCCACCAAAGCCTAGTGGCTCGTGCTACTAGTGAAAGTTTCATTAAAATCAAAGGGTGCACACAAGATATGCAAGTGTGTAGAAATCACTATTATTGCAGTCAATTTGTCTTATTGGGCATTTAAACTACCAGATATGCAATAAAAGCTGCCTTACTGCCTCTGGTTGCACTTTAAACTTTCCAAAATTCAATCTTGGCAATGCCATTGTCATATGCTGCTCTCAGTCTTAGATTGATAACAGCCATTTCTCTGAGATGGGATTAAAGGGAGGATTGAAATAAACAGGGAGGTCATTAGCAAGTCAAAAATTTAATGAACAAGTGGTTTTATGAACAGGGGTGTACCTTTTATAAAGCAAAATGTTAAGGTCTTGCTCGTATGGACATTTCCAGCTTCAAGCATTTTATATTTGTGCAAAAGCTTCAAACTATTGTTGCTGTCTCATGCTGGGCAATGTGTTAAAGCGATCAATTAACATAGTTGAAAACTTCTTTTAATATAATTTGTAAATTCACAAATGATCGAGCAAATGATTAAATGCAAATTCACAAAATCAAGGCATACTACAAATTGCACTTCTAGAGCAGTTCAGGTTTGTTTCAAGTCATGTGAGTGCAGTTGTAACCCTATTCAAGTAAATCCCCAAGTGACGTTTTAGTTCAGAAGAAGTTTAAGTGAAAAAATTCAACCATGAGGACAACTTCCAGAATTGATCTATTGTCATATTCATCCCATTGCACAACCAATATTCCATTTTTAATGACACCAGCTTCAAAAATCTTTTTATAGGCAACCATATCATAGAGGGTGGGCATTCAACCTGCCCAGAGGTGAAGCTCTGTTGGAAAAGTGGAACAAAATTCCAGAAGGAACAGACATTCTCATGACACATGGGCCACCACTAGGTAGGATTGAAAGTCCATCACTTCTTAATGTTTTAAATCCTGCTCCTCAATTATTTTATAATATCTGTTAGGATAGTTTTTAGCTTAAGATTAGATTAGGATAGTATCAGATTAAGAAGAAATTATTCTGTTTTTTGATTAACCCTTTTTGAAGTGATAAAATTTCATTTACACTTGCATGTGTTGCTTTTTACTTAGGCCATGGTGATTTGACATTCTTTGATCAGCATGTTGGGTGTGTTGAATTGTTATCAACTGTCCAAGAGAGGGTGAAACCAAAATTTCATGTATTTGGACACATTCATGAAGGTAAAAAAATTGAGCTACATTTTTCTTTAAATCCTTGAATTGCCTCCTCTCATATTAACTTTGAAGTTGGCCTTGTTTATGTAAATTCCTTCCCCAGAGCTAGCCCCAAACTTGACATGGAAAGTTTACATTTTAATAAGACCCCATGATGGCTAAATTTAGTTACTGTGCACTATCAACCCAAACTGAAAAATAGAATAAAGAAGGGTAGTAAACTGGAAAATGAACTGAACTTTAAAATGAGCTTTAAGCATTTTGGCAAATTTTTTTGGCCCTCCTTGTTTTAAGGTCCTTAGAATTTGTTCTATTCAATAAACTTGCATGCGCTTTTTCATGTATTTACTGTATGTTGCTAATAATACACCATTTTTTTTACTCCATTATCATAATTATCATCAGCATCATCTTCATTATCATCATCAGCTACATCTTTGAGTTATTAAATTTGCTTCTTGATTTTTCCTTTAATCTCCAGGAAATGGAATGACAACTGACGGATCAACTACCTACATAAATGCAGCCATTTGCAACTTCAGGTACCAGCCTGTTCAGAAACCAATTATCTTTGACTTGCCAGTTCAAGTTTGCAGTCCACAAGAATGCTCCAGCACTGTAAGCTAAGCTTTTTTAAATTGTGTCTAGCCAACTGTGGATATTCAAAATTTTGCCGGGCTTTATAGGAGGTCTAGTTGTGTCTACCAATTCAAATTTTTTGTGAGAAAATGTATGCTAAAAAGGTATATTTTGAAGATTTCTATTACGTTACTTAAAAAGTGATCTAGTGTGAGGACGTGTGCTTCAATTAACTAGTTTGTCAATAATAACTTACTTTTTTCTAGTATCTTATGTGTAATGCATTCTTCACACGACTGTATTTTGATAAAAGAATGCTCACTAATTTGCCTTCGTGCCATTTGATAGATCGCTTTCTTAAAGAAGAATGCAATTTTCAAGAATTTCAATTCATTACAGTAATCAACATTGAAATTGATTATTTATTCAAATCAGTTTTGTAGTACAGTTGAGCCCCGATAAGTCGTACACCGGATATATCGGACTTTTGCTAAGCCGCAAAGACCGAGATACAACTTTTTGATTGAAGGGGGGGGGGGCAGCCCTGATGAATAAGTGAACAACAGCCATATTTTGCAAAATAAAAGTATTTTACTAGTAATACTTATGTTTTTTGGGGAGGTCAAGGCCCCCCGGTATCTCGGTCCTTGCTAAGCTGGACTTTCACTAAGCCAGACTTTCACTAAGCCGGACCTGTTCAAAAGTCGTACTCTGAATAAGTCGGACATCAGCTAATTCAGACCATTTCTCTAATGAAGGTCTGACTTATTTATCAGTGATGTGGCAGATATTTGCAGATACCCTCAACTTGTATGATATCAGGAACCTCGCAGCACTTTTCTCTAGTTTTCCAACAAAGCAGTTCACGTAAACATTACCATGTACCTAATTGTATCCAGTGCTTATTTAAGAGCGATCCCGATATCAAAGAGTGAGCCTAGGCCCCTAGAGCTGGGTGTCAGTTTCTTTCTTATGTAGTTGATCATAAATCACAAATTTGTTCTTCACTTCAAATTCTTTTTGGCTTTGGGACGGACGGAGATTTTGCGGGCGGAGTTCGGGCGGCAAAATCGGTAAAAAGGCTTCGAATCGATCTGGATGATGTTAATTGACCTGGGTAAAGTAAAAGGGAGATTTAAAGCTTACTTAAGCTGATAAATGGAATACATAGTCATGTTACATCACCGGCATGAATAAACCAATATGCTTTTTCAACAACTACCGCTTTGGCAGGCAAGCCAATGAATAGTTTTAGGTAATATTTCCATAAAATGTGTCGTGATTATCTAATTGTAGTTAGAAAAATATTTTAAATATTTGATTATTTATTTTTAGCAGGTAGAATTTGTATAATTGTAATTAACAAGAGGAAAGCAATTAAAAAATTATTTTTTTCTTTTTCCTACAATCTACCCTGCTGAGAAGGATTTTGTCAACGAAACGGAAAAACAGAGATTTGAAGCAAGTTCTTCATATTGTCGTGACGTGTTAGCTAATTTAAAGAAAACTGGAGGGCACCTTCGGTCCCAATATACGGCCTAAATTAAACGGTCAGTTATCACAAAACATCTTATTTAGAGATGATGGAACGTTTCTTTATCATCACTTTCCTGAAACATGGCATAGAGCAAAATGTTTAAAGAAAAATATTAATCGAAATTGGATGAGTCAAGATTGGTGAGTCAATTTTCAATGATTGTTTAATTTTGTAGTTTTTCCTTCTTGCATAAATTCAGTTAGCTTCCTTCTCCTGTTTTTTGTATTGCTTTCATTTTATTAAATTCATGTAGCAGAATTTTTCTTTAATTTTATCCACATCTAGGTATCTTTTTATTCTAAAACTTTTTATTTCAGATTGTCGTAAACGCGTAGATCGTCACTCAACACAGTTGTATGTCTAATGTATGCCTTGCCTGAGTTTAGCAGCTATCTGTTTCTCTTATAATAGCACTTGATCAATTTTGTTTTTTGAAATGTACAATTTTGCTTTACGTTAATGTCTGATATGGTTCATTAGCGAAAATACAATACAATATTTTATAGATATATACTGTAAACCTGTAATTTCAGTTCTGACACATTTCACTGTTCACATATTCTCTTCGACTAACATCAGCCAAAGATAACAATAAAGTATTTTTCCCCATTGAATCAGAAAATGAATTCTACAAGAAGTCAAATTACGCGACTGATATCTTTTATTCGGGGGATGTTGGTTAGGATAAGAAGAAGGCAATAAGAAAACTGGTTGTCGCTGCCAATCGCGTGGCATTGGCGAGGTTACGAACGGCAAGGTTTCGCCTCATTGTCTTGCAAAAAATTATCGATCGATATTTCGACGAAATCTACTTAACAGTAATGGACAATGACGAGATGTAAAGACTGTTTAAATTTGCTATTTTCTCCTGACTTTTATTTTCTCTTAATTCATTCAATTTGTTTTTTTCAAATTCTTTCTTTTAACATTCAACAATAACAAATATGTGACAGATACAAATATTATTTTTATGCATTTAAACAAACCCCACGAGTTTATGACCACTAAAAAATTACTGTGGGAAATTTCGAATCGTTTGCTTCAGTATAAATAGAAGGGCTATGAAAGTATCTCGAAAACTTTTTGAACAATTTACCTCGTGTCAACGACAGCTTTTGTAAGTATATTGTTCGATTATTTAAACATGTGATACAGAACAAACGACAGGAGGGGTTTGAGGTAAACCCGTAAACAGGTCTAAAGGGCAGGGGTGTCAAATGCCCTCAAATAATTTCCAAAAGTCTTAAACCAGCTTCACGGGCACCCTATTACCCCTGATAAAGATTTCGCCCCCATAAAAATCATTTGAAAAAGAAGCTTGCTCTAATAAAAACTTTTGTAGACATTTCAATATTAAAAAAAGATAGCGAAAATTTTACTATTTAGTTGAACAGAAGACTAGCCTCAGTTACGCCCGATAGGCGGGCGCGCAATAGCCCCTGTATGTGGACAAAATCTTGCTTCTATCGAAACAGGAGCAATTGCGTGTACATGAATGTTTTTGCTATTTTTTATTATTATTGCACTAATCAATTAAGTTTTTAATCACTGAATATTAATGTAGTGATGACTTCCCACTTTTTGTTTTAGAGAAGAAATAAATGTTCCTTTAGCGGAAAGAGAAGAAACAAACGGGTATGCAATAGCCCCTATATTTACACGGGGTCGTCTGAGAAGAAAAATCAAAGCACAAAATAAAATATTTTAGTCGAGGATGAAAATATTATCTCAAGTAGGAAAGTTATAGCAAAGACTATGAACAACTACTTTATTAATATAACCAAAACATTATACATTCCAGAAATTAAAAGCAAACAGTCAGATATATCTATTAGAAATATGACAGATGATAATAACTTACTAGATGAAAGTTTCTAACATCACCCAAGTATAATTAAAATTGAGAAAAAATTCAGAGGATATAGCGACATTTAACTTCAGGCATGTGTCAGTAAATGAAATAAGGCCTCAAATTAAATCCTTAGATGTCAGTAAATCTACTGGACCAGATCAAATGCAAGCAAAAATACTCAAACTAGCAATATCAGAAATTGAGCAGCAACTTACAGAAATCCTAAAAGTCTGAACTAAAAGAAGCAGATCCCATGCCTTTATTTAAAAAATATTCACCTACCAGCAAGAAAAACTATAGACCAATCAGTATCTTGCCTGCTACTTCAAAAACATTTGAGAAAATTATTTTCAATCAACTATACACTTTTATTTGTCATCTGCTATCCTCGTTTCTTTGTGGCTTTCCTCAAGGTCATGGAACACAACACCCTCTTATAAGATATATTGAAGATCTAAAATAATGCCTGGGTTGTAAGAAAATCGTGGGTACTGTCCTCACGGTTCTCTCCAAAATATTTGATTTTTTCTCACATGAACTCTTACTAGCAAAATTGGAAGCTTATGGACTTAGTAGAGATGCATTATTGTTAATCCAAGAAATAAAAACGGGTGTTCCCCAAGGTTCTGTCCTTGGTCCCCTTCTTTTCAATATTTTCATCAATGACATATTCATAAAACTAGATCAAAGCAAACTATGCAGCTATGCTGATGATAATACCATATGGATTAAAGGTACTGATAAGGAGGACATATCAGCTAAACTAGAACATGAAAACAATATCATAAACCAATGGTTTATAGACAATGCTATGCAGCTCAATGGGGACAAATGCAAACTTATAATGATTTCAGCAAAAACAAACAATCTTGAAAAATTTAGCATTTATTTAAACAGGCAAATAGTTGAAGAGGAAGACAAAGAGAAATTGCTGGGTGTAACAATAGACAACCAATTAAAATTTGATGACCATATCAAAAGTATGTGTAAAAAAGCAGGGAACGAAGATACAAGAAAACCTTTGATGAAAACATCTGTTTTGACATTCTTCAGTTACTGTTTCTTAGTAAGGATGTATTGTACTAGGAAAAACAATAAACTTATTAATAACATTCATGAAAGAGCATGAAATATCAACTTAACTTCTTGCACACTTTTGGAAACGCTTTTCCAAGCTAACGTTCATTTTCTTTGGTTTCCTTACTTTTTTTTACATGTAGTATTAGGGTTAAGGTTAGGGTTCTGATCAACATCCAAAGGCATTCTGCTGGAAGACCGAACTTAATAACATACAGGGGAATTTCATGAAGATAGTTTAATATGAATAAAGGATTAGATACTAGATAAAGGCTGTTTTCCCATTATTTCGGTCCAGGAACATCTTTAGAGCACAGAGAGGTTTATAGACAGTCAGTCAGCATGTTTTGCCAGTCAGAATAGTTAATTTGAGTTTCATCCATAAGCAAAATTCGCAGCATTTGTAAAGATACCCAAACACCAACAATGCATAAATGCATATTATTCGAAACCATAACTCTTCTTTTTTACTTCAGGGCCCACGCAACGAATTTTAAGGTGGAAGAGCTAAGCTGTACAAATCGGACTTGAATTTAGTGCCTCAAAACAGGGCCTCTTTGGAAATATAATTTTGCTAACCAAAAGAAGAAGGGGGGGGGGGGGGGGGGAGCTTGACCCCTTAGTTGTTTTTTGCCATTTTTTCATAATTTTTGACGAATCTGAGTTTAAATATTCTTAACAGATTTGTTCTTATAGAAACGTGTATCCGACCGTCAGCACCAGCACCTAGAGTTAAAACAATGGCAGAAAATATAGCCTTTTTAATGCTATCCCTGCCATTTTTAACCTGGGGTCTTTTTTGACTACGTCTTAGGCTTTACCTGTAAATCTTATGTATCTATGATTCGATCTTTCTTCTTTTCTTAATCTTAAATTGCAATTATTTGATGGCAAAATTATACATACACACATTCAATTATACACGCCTACATACAACCTCTTCGGGGTTCGGGCTCCGGGGAAGGAGCATTCACCTCAATGCAACATCAATTCACATTCACAAGGAGCAAAGATGGCGGACGTCAGGCGTGAGAGAATAAGATCTGATAGAAGTCGTCAGTCTCATTCAAGGTCTCGCTCAAGATCTCCGCGAGTCAGAAGAATGCGGTCTAGATCCCCAGAAAGAAAAGGAGCTGTTCGTCCGCCACTAGGAAGGCCACGCGATAGAGATGCGCCTGATAACAAGGCAGATGACGGGAAACCATCAAATCAAACGACGACAGTGAAGATTGATAGGGAAAAGGTTTCTTAATTTTATTATTGTGCCCTTTTATTAAACCATTTTATTTAACTGCGTTGTAAGATATATCTAAACCTCTCCAATACGAACTGATTTATTTATTAAAAGAGAGGCAAAATTCCACTCTGACTGATAACCAGACTTGCAGAGTGTGCGCACTATATAAAATGCACACTTATACTAAAGTAAGTGCACACTTGAAATTTTACTCGCGCACTCCCAAAATCTCGTTAGAAACTGCCGTACTCTGCAGTCCAGACTGAAAACAGTGCTGGGTGAGTCAAGCCTGTCGCCAAGCCAGTTGAGTAGGGATGGGGACATTCTATGTCAAGTGTAACCAAAAAAAGTCCAAACTTGAAATTTTTGTCATGGATTTTGTTTAAAATCTAGTATTATGTTAAGCAAACCGATCTTTTTCTATATTTCAATTTTTTTTTTGATTGGTCAAGCGGTTTTGGAATTATGACCGGTCAAACTTTTCAAATTTGTCGCAACCGGTCATTACTTGTGCCACACCTAAAATTGATATCTTCCTTCACACTCAACCTATAAAGATGGAATTGGTGTCAAATGAAAGCACTTGACAAGCTGAAAGTAAATTTCCAGTGAAATTGATGCTAGCCCCAAAGGCTCAAGGGCTGAGGTACAATGTTATTTTTCAATGGCTGACCACGCCCAAATGGCAACACCAATTTTCATGAAATATTTATTTCATTAAGATAAATTCATGATAAAGCACTTCATAAAATTTAAAATTGGGGTTGACATGGGTTTTATCACAATCAGTCTCAGAATACTGATGAGTATTATCTTGAAAGGTTAAAAGTCAATGTAAGTCTTCATGCAATGCATACAAGCGGTAGTTTGATTTTAATAACAAGTGTCATGTTCATTGCAGTTAGAGAGAATTTTTGTTTCAGAAAATTATTCCATCTGTAATCTGTTTTGTAAAGACATGCTTTCTGCTTGTGATTCCCCTTTTGATAATGTGTAGGTGCGACCTGTAAAAGTGACCGGATTAAGTTGCACAAGTACGTCTGAGACATCAACAACAAGCTCTTCAGAAGGTTCTGGATACACAAATGAAGGGTTTGGGCCATGGGGATGCAGGAAGCTTATTGTCACTTCATTGGTTTCTGGTTGAATGCTGGAAACATATGCCACCCACCACTTGCTGTCATAAACTACAGCAACATAGCCTGTAATCTTACTGAGCTCAATATGACCACAGCCTGCTTTGACTACTTGAACTTCCCTTGTCACTTCACTTTCACTGTATTCTGAGACAAGAAGAGAATATTTTGAAATTGGTTTGAAGCAATGTAATTTTTGTGTTCCAGCAATCGTTTTAGCAGTCTGAAATCTTTCATGAAGAATTTCTTCTTCTGAATACCAGTCGGCAGCAGTGAGAAATTTTGCATTGATGCCTTTAAGATGGGAATCAACAAACTCAAACAGCTTCAGAGCTGACAAAATTTGATCACGGTAAGGTCGCTGCAGACTTGCTTTGGTTGCTTCTCTTTTGATAGTGCCTCCAATGCCATCTGAAGGCCCCTTGCCATGGCTTGTTGCAAAAAAATGCCATTCAGCCGGCACACCAAAATCATATTGATGCATGCACAGGTTACAAAAATTCTTGAGGTTTTTGTATTGGCCTGCACAGCCATCAGAAAAATAGATAATTGCTTTCAGCACCTGAAACTTTTCTGAAAGATGTCTCATCAATTCTTTCTGAAAAAGGTGGACTGCAACAGTGTTGTGAGTATGGCAATCTGATATTAGTACAAAGTTGCTGTGGTTGATTTGTCCATCCTCTTTGAAATAATAAACAAATGGATGCAGTGTTGCCATGCTGTTATTCCAGTGGAATGATTGTGCTTCATCTTGGACAACAAAAGAAAAGTTTTCTGAAAAGTCACCTATCACAAGAAATTCTCCTTCTACTAGACCTTCCTTTCGTTTGCAAAGATACTGAGATTGCTGTTTTGCAATGAAATCATGTCGCTTAAGAGTGTCAAGTTTCTCAATAAATGCTTCCACAAAATCTTCTATTGGCTCTACCATAGTCTCTAGTTTTGAGCGATCAGTAGATGTCCATTGCTTAAACTCTACTTCATCGACATCGTTATCTTCGTAGCATTTTAAAAGCATCTCTCTCAGGGGCTGTTTACCAGGGCAGTATGGGCACTCACCAAGATGACAGTTTGGTACTGCGGGGTTACACATCATCTTAGCCAATGCGTGTCCATAATGACTAACAGGAACTACTTCATTGGCTGTCACAGACGCCATCATGGATCCGTTCATCATCAATTTTACATTGTTATGGATTGTACAAACGCAGACAGAATGAGTGCCACTTGCTCCAGCTAAAACACATTCTTAAGGTAGAACCATTGCAAACTTTGAGAAGCTTATCTTCATTGATGGATGTTGGGATTTGAATGTTTGATAAATTTCCCGAAGATTTCCTAAAACTAGTCTTTTTTGAAACAGAGTCTTCTTGCCGTCTCAAAGAATACTTAGACAGTCCTTTTTTCCAGGCATAACTCTGCTGATATCATCTTGCCGATAGAAGTTTTCTACAGCCTCTGAAACATTCTCTGGCAACTTTTTTCCAGTTTTTGGATTTGGGGTAGCAAGGATGCCTTTTCCAATAATAAATGCATTGCTTGTGTAGCCATTCTTTGAGAGCAGCCAAAGGTGGCCATTATTTTCCTTCGACTCCATGTTTGCACAAAAATAGTCAGAACTGTTATCTTTTCACTTCTACTTTCAGTGCTGCCAAATTTTGCAATTAGTTTTTGCACAATTTCTGCTGGCATTCCATCTTCCTCATCTGAAGAAACATCCATAATCAACGATGGAGAGGAGCCACATGCAGCATCAAATTTTCTTTCAAGGGTGTCATGCACTCTCTTCTTTTTTTGAGGAAGGTAGCGGGATCTTGACATTATTTCCCGTTGACTCAGAGGGCTTTCTCCAATTTTCCCTAAAGTTTCATTTAGGCTTTCAAATTCAATTTCAGGCGAAACAAAGTCATCCTCCTCTTCAGAGAGCAGATTCTCGAGTGGCGGCTCTACTCCAACCACTCTTTGAAGCTGTTTTCTACAGTTAGTGCATATTTTCATTCCAACTTGAACCAAAGATGGATTGCACTTCGCTTGCTCTGCAGTCACGAGTCTCAAATCTTTTGTTCTTTTGGTTTTATGCACTTGGAATGAGTCACAGCAATATTTTCGGTTGTTTTGTATACTTGTCAGTTTTGAAAGTTGTTCTGCCATCTTAAATCTC